GACTTAGTATAGAAAATAATTACTATACTAGAGAACCTATTAGTAAAGCGCTAGCTAAAATACTTTTAAAGACTTCTCTAGGTCTCTATACTTAACTATAGAGTCTAATAAAACTATATTTAGTATAGAGATTATATATTTATACTACTAAATAATAAACTACGTACGTAGATCTTATACTATACCTATAATACTAGCTCTACTAGCTACTCTAGATAAGTTAAAACTATAAACCTTATCTACTATAACTACTAGTAGCTATAAATTTTCTATAATATTAAGACTTATATATAAGCCTATACTATATACGTAAGAATAAAGGTATCTAGACTCTTACTCTAGAGCTTCTTAAAACTACTACTAGTTCTATTCTAGGTATAGTCTAATATATTAGTTAACTATATTACTCTACTACCTAAGTATAAGTTATATAGTTAAAAATATAAACATATTCTTATAGTAGTCTACTAACTTATAAAAATATACTACTTTATCTCTATAATAAGAATTAATATAGAAGAGCTAACTAATACGTTTATTTTATAAATCTATTTACTCTATAGCTACTCTAATAACGTTATTTCTAATTATAGTATATAGTTTATCTTCTAGTTCTAGATATAGCTTTCTATCTACTTAGAAGTTATACTTAAGTATTTATTCTTATTCTATCTAGAGATAGATAGATAAATAGAGTAAGTTAATAGCTCTATTAAGATATACTTCTAGGCGTTTATAAACTTCTACTAAGATAATTAAGTCTAATAGCTACTACTTATAGAGTTTATAATAAATAATATTATATCTAAGACTATAGAGGTATCTCTATTTTTTATAAACTATAGCTTCTATCTAAGATTAGAAGTTAAGCTAGTATAACTAGTACTACTAAACCTATTAGCTATATAAAAACATAAGTTTTTTAGAGCTAATAATATAGCTAATTATTTTAGCTATATTCTATTCTAGCTAAAAGTACTAGCTATCTAGTCTATTACTTAGTATAAATACTATATAAATAAGAGACGTAAAGACGTACTATAATTTATAATAGAAGACTTTATCTATATTAATACGCGTAATATAAAGATAAATAGATCTATAAAAAAGAAAGATAATAAGCTTATAGAACTATATAAGGTACTAAAGATTTATAACTAATTATATATACTAGAACTTCTACTATATATATAAATTTTTCTAGTATTCTATAACTTACTACTTTATTTCTAGCATGCTTTTGTAGGCCTTCTAGATTAATAAGTAATTAATAAAGTAGAGTTACGCTATCTCTATAGAAGAGTTCTTAAAAGAGAGAATAGAATAAAAGAACTTACTAAGAAGTAGAAGTTTAATATAATATTAGACTACTATAATAAGTAACTAGAACTATAGTATCTTATTAAGTAGAAGAACTATACTATAATATAGTAACTAGCGTTAGATCTAAAGAGTTAGAATAATATATTACTAAGATTCTATACCTAGTATCTAGGTAAGCTAGACTTACTATAATAGGTAAAAAGGCTATAGACACTAGTTAGTCTAAATTTTTTATTATTTTATAAGCTATCTAAGACGTATAGCTATTTAGAAGAGAGGTACTATTATAGTACTAATCTATCTATATAGCTATATAATCTTAGCTATCTTAGCGCCTTAGTATAGTAGATATCTTTTCTATACCTTTATATCTTTATAGCTTAATATTATATAACTTATTATATATCTTAAATTCTTATTTCTTATTCGCGCTATAATAACTATCTTATTTAGATTACTTTAACTCTAAGCTACTTAAGATAAATCTAGATAAGCTATCTAACTTATTAGTATTATTTTTAACTACCTAGTATATTTATATATTATACTCTAGCTTACTATAGCGTCTATAGCGTTGCTAAGCTAGCTAGCTATTATATACTACTACCTCTTCGCGCTACTTTTTACTCTTATTCTAATCTATAGTCTCTCTTTAAGTAACTAGCTATAAGCTAGCTTTAATTATAAGAGTATTCTCTTTCTAAATTTACTTTCTTTTATATAAATTATACTTCTTTTTCTATACGTTAGCTACTTAAAGCTAGATAACTTTAGACTTTATAAGTACTAGCTAATATACTATTAGCTTATTACCTTTCTTAAGCTAATTAAGTAACTTAATAATATAAGTTAGTAATAAATTAAGATACTATATAATCTTTCTCTAAATTAGAGTTAATTATAACTTTAATTTAGTAGAATTACTAGATATTTTATACTTCTAGATAGTAGTATTATTAGTAGAAAGTATTAGTATATATAATTAAACTTTAAGCTTTAATACTACTAAATTTAGATTAAATAGAACTAAGCTAGTATTTCTAAATTCTACTCTAATATTATTATCTATAATTAATATATAAAAAGCTATATAAAACGTAGATAGAAACTTAGTTTTTATAATATAGATAATATAGCTATATATTAGAATTTTAACTTAGTAGCTATATACTATCTTTAATAGTAAGAAGTAGCTAAAGTTAAGTAGCTATAAAAGATAATATATAGAGCTAATTATTTATAAATAATTAGAAGGCGTAGTAAGTTACCTAATATAAGATAAAAGAGAGAGCTATACCTAATTAAAAAGACGCTAAGTCTATACAAGTAAGCTTCTACTAGTACTCTTAGCAAGAAATATTAAAACTTTAGAAAGCTAGCTATAGTTAGCTCTATAATAGCTATAAGGTATAGAAATTATAATATTATTACTATATATTATATAAGAATTACTTATAAATATATATAATAGCTATATAAAATTAAGTAAGTACGTAGCTAATAAAGTTATAGCTAGGTGTACTAGTATATCTAGTTATAGTTACTTTATAAGTTACTTCTAGATAACTCTAGGCTAGGTATACCTATAACGCCTACTAGCGCTATATTATTACTATCTATTACGCTAGAATTACTTAGAAATACATGTAATAGCTATATAAAGCTAAGTAAGCACGGCGTAGAGTATAGTTATAGATAGGCGCGTATAGACTAGCTAGCTAGCTATAGGTATAGCTTTCTAGATTTTAACTAACTCTAGTAACTCTAGCGCGCTAGCTATAGACGGCGTAGAATTTCTAAATTTTTAATATTCTATAGCTAGAGTACTCTATAGTAGCTTATAGAGCTATAGTAGGCTCTAATTAGTAGCTATACACGCTAGCTGTATATAGTAAAGCTAGTAACTAATACCTAAACTAATACTAAATTACTAATCTCTAACTTACTAATCTACGCTACTAGCGCTTTTAGGTATCTAAAAGCTCTTTATAGGTACTTATAACGCTTACTAGCGCTATATTATTACTACGTATTACGCTAGAATTACTTAGAAATACATGCGATAGCTATATAAAGCTAAGTAAGCGCGGCGTAGAGCGTAGTTATAGATTAGGCGTAGGTAAGCTACTAGCTAATTAGCTAATTAATTATCTCTAATTATACCTAATTCTAATTATACCTAATTACTTTTTAGTAGAGACGTTAGAGTCTCTAATTAGGTAATTTTTTCGTCTAAATTAGAGAATTCTACTAATTCTAATTAGGTAATTTTTTTATCTAAATTAGAAACTAAAGTTTTACTAGCGTTCTATAAACCTAATTATAATTACTTTACTTATACCTTACTACGTAATAATAAATATACTAGTATATAAAAAGCTATAATTTTATTCTTTTTATAGTACTATTAGAATTTAATAGAGCTATAGCTTTTATAGCTATTTAAAATTAATAAATAATATATACCTATAATATAACTCTTAGTATATATATTAAAGTACTTTAACTATATAATACTAACTTTATTTATTATTTAGCTACTTTTAGAGATAGCTATAATCTAGTTATATAGTAGCTAGCTACCTTTATACTATACTAAGAGATAGTTCTTATCTATAATAATAAGAAATAGTAGAATCTATATATTATCTACTACTCTTACTATTATAATTACTAAAATCTACTTATAATTATCTAGTTAAAAACTCTTTAGTTATAATTATCTCTTAGAGCTAGTAACTACTATCTAAGGTAATATTATTTTTATTATAAAGCTAGATTTATTAAAATTATACGTATCTTTATTAGTAATACTATACTTTACCTTTATATTATCTACTAGATTAAACTACGTCTAAATAATTATAGAATCTTCTTACTTTATTCTCTAATAGTTATACCTATAATTAAGCTATATTTTAAGCTCTAAATAGCGTATAATAAAGTAGTTTAGCTAGTTCTTATCTATAACCTTTCTTCTCTACTTAGTAAGTAGCTAATTAGCTATATCTTAAATAGTAGTAAGCTAGAGAGTAAATTCTTACGTATTTAGGTTAAGTATATAGTTAATTATTACCTACTCTTTATTTATAGTAAGCTTTATTAAATTAGATATCTTTTTACGTCTTTAAGTTACTCTATTATATTAATAGTAGACTTTCTTCTATAGTATATTATAGAGAGCTATAGTATATTATAAGCTTAGCTCTAAGTTTTACTAAATAGTCTAAAGTATAAGCTATATCTAGAATTTATCTAAAGTTAATTAGGCGTTTATAGAGAGCTTTATAATTAAAATAGTAGTATTTAGTAAGAGCTTAGTATTTTTAGAGCGTTTAGTAGTGTAGAGCATTTGCTAGTAAAGTATATTACTAGAAGAAAACTAGATTTTTTCTTAAAAGTTAGTTAAATACGTATAGCTTTTTAATTACGTAATATATCTTAGTGTAACTTTACTATAAGGTATAATATACTATAGAGAATATATATATAAATTTTTATAGAAAAATATTAAGGTTTTGCTTAGTTATTTAAGAAAACCTCGTAGATTCTTGTTGATTTTCCTTGCCAAGAAATCGTGGGGGGTTTCGGTGATAAAGTACGTTAGGTAATTTTTTCGTCTAAACTAGAAACTAAAGTTTAGCCAGCGATTCTGCGAACCTAAATTGTAATTGCTCCGCTCGTACCTCGCTACGCAATAACTCTCTCTACGGCGAGACTCGCTACTCTTTATATCGATTCGTTGATGTCCCCCGTTCGCCCTCCCATTCGGTCTCGATTCGCAGTTCCCCACATACCATCGTCTCCCGTCCCGCACCGATTCGAAACATCGTCGCGTCGACGGCAAAAGGTCGCCATTCTATCGCAGGGTCATAAACTTCCATCGCCAATTCTTGCGTAGGAAGGCGGGTTCGACACTAGCGAACCTAGTCGCCGTTAGTTCTGGCTGCATCCTCCCCGATCCGCCTTCTAAAACAACGTCCCCACGATCTCTGCGACCGCAATCTCGTCCACTGCCGCCTCCACCCCTAAATCATCGCTTCGCCAGCCCACCTCAACGACTTCGATCTTACCTTTCGCACGACCTAGCCCTATTGCACGACCACCATAGCACGGCAACCGCGCGGCGGGAGGACCATCACTCATGGCCTTCGCTTCTCTTCCTTATGAATACAACGTTTGGACACAAGACCCTGAGAATCCTCATCACTCATTCAGATATATTCAAGAGTATACACCACCTGGAGTGATTAAGCGTGTCGGTGCGGGTAGTTCAAGTGTTGTAGGATTACTTAAAGATGGTACTGTCCTTAAGTATCCTCTAGTAAAGGGCGAGGGTATGGAGAATCTTGCCGTCGAGAAGGCTATCTATGACGCTCTTGGCGATCATGAGAGGATTGTCCGATGTTTGGGCATTACAGAAGATGGGCTTAAACTGGAATTCGCAAGCCAGGGAAGCGTTACTGATCACCTGGGCAAAAATCCTGCACCATCCACGGCCTTTCGATTGAGATGGTGCCGGCAAGCTGCTGAAGCCGTCGCCTTCCTTCACACTAAGGGAGTCATCCATTGCGATCTTCACACGAACAACCTTTTACTAGACGCCGAACTAAACGTCTTACTCTCAGATTTCCAAGGCACGTTTAAAAAACTTGATGGCTACGCCATGGAAAGCGCTCGGTATTTTCTCCCACGGGAAGCGACTAGTCCGCCAAATGAAGTTTCGGACATATTCGCGCTCGGCACACTGATGTATACGATAATGTCCGGGATCGAACCGTACCCTGAGCTGTCAGATGCAGATGTGGAGAAGCGCTACCAAAGGCTGGAATTTCCTGAGACTAATGATATTGTCTGTGGGAGGATGATTCTACGATGCTGGAACAGGGAATATGCAAGGGCTGAGGAAGTGGTTCATGACCTTGTATATTTGGAGCAGCAAGCAATGGGGAACTGATTTCCAAACTCTCCTTTGATTTCGAATACTCTAACTACCGTAGAAACCGTCCCATTTCCCCTACTAGTTGGCTGCTCCGGCGCAACGAGAAAAAAAAGGGCTTTTATGACCAAGACAATCTGAAATATGCTGCACTTTGTTATTGATTTTCTCTCTACTAAAAGAAGTATTTACGAACTCTATGCAAGACATGCATCACATGGGACACGCTTTCTTGTAGATCCCATATGACGGTCTGGGATTGTGGTGCACGGTGATCCACATGGCAAGATTTTATAGTCGATCTTCGTGTGCCCGCAGGTGTATACGTATGTATAGACTTCTCGAACGCACATGCTGGTGAAGTACGGAGGGTTTCTAGGACACGACATGAGTTAGAAGCTGAAGCTTGATGACGGAGAGAACAGGAACACCTACTAACACTTGTTATGATCTGTCTATTAGCTCACAATAGCACGACTTCTCTCAAGAGATGGTAGCTTCTTAGAGCGGGAGGTATAAGACGGCATCTCAGGCAGCAGCAGGCAGCAGCAGACAGCAGCAGGCAGCAGCGGGGCACTTGACAGCGTTCATTGGTATCGATTGTGGGATCGACCCGGCTTGGCACTAAGCCTGGGATCGTCCGTCGCGCCTCGTCGCCATGCACAAGCGACCAGCGATAATTAGTACCCACCGACCTAACAACATTCTCGAGCAGCAAACAATCGAGTCCTCAGACACCCCTCTACTCTCTACTCTCGCTCCGCATGCTCAGCAACTAGCCTGGCTGCGACTCTAGCAGCATCTGGTGCCCGCACACTTCTCCCCCGACGTTCAACTCCGCCGTCCTCTGCGGATGGCTCGTTGATTAGCCAGCCTCGCCCCGCCCGCCTCGTCCGTCTCGAAAACGACTCCCGCAGCTCATTCCCACGGGCGCTACAACCCAAGCGATTCCACCGCTCTAGTCTGCTCATACAAATATGGATTGTCACTCGCCACGGCGGACGGAAGCTCGGCGCAGGGAGAACGACGTCTTATCGGACGAGGGCTCGAGCGAGGAGTGGGCGAACTGGCCTGCATAGTCGGGCTGGCCGGCGCCGGCGGACTCTGCGCATAGGGAGCATTATTGAGAGCAAGCGCGTCATCCGGTCGCGAGGGTTCCCGGTGGGTCTGTGGGTGCTGCCGTCGCGGTGTCGGATTCATGGCGGACGATCAGCGACGCTCTGACGACAGTAACAGCACCAGTCGTTACCCAGTTTCACCGGTACGATGTTCCGCTCGGGCAAGCCGCCAAATAAACTACGAAGAATCAGAGCTTCGCCGCGAATCTCCTCAGGCCTTTTCGGTGTGTGCATTCTAAACGGGCGCCAAGAGGGCCTACCTTAACCGATATACCAACGGAGCGGAAAATATATTTTTCCGAAGTCTTCGCCGCCGCATCGAGTTTCACATTCGGAAGTCATCAAAGCTCTCAACAACGCATTGCGATGAAAACCACCTCCCGTATTTTCAACCCACTTAGATTGAGCTCCACACTCAAGGCGGTTCAGAGAAACGAACTCTGGCACTATCAGCGACGGCGCCTTCGCCGCGCGATGAGTACCTTGGCAATGCCCGTCCTTCGAAAGCAAAAAGACGATGGTTCGGGCAAGCTACAGGTTTTATTCCGAGGTACAGGAATGTTCTTGCTCAGCTCGTACCACAGAGGAAGAAATACTAGAAGAAGAGCTCTACAGATACACTCGATACCGGTGGCTGTAGGTGCAGACCATTTCCATTTGACCAAGCGAATTAACAACGTCCAGATGCAACGAACCCGAAAACCTTGCGGCGCGTTATCGCAAATTCAACATCTCTGCTCTCCTTGATGCCACCGTCAATGCCGTTGGCAACGGAGCTAGATCTTGTAAGATGCAATGCCAAGTCCGATCCCGAAGCTTCAGAAGAATGTAATCTAACTAGCTTTCGCAGGTGTTAAGCTATTGAAATGCACAGAAGGCCAATACAACAAGGCGTTTATCACGACTATGGATAATGGAGTGGAAGTTTTGGCAAGACTTCCTAATCCTAATGCTGGTCCAGCTTTCTACACGACCGCCTCTGAAGTGGCTACACGACATTTTGTACGTGATCCATTACACCTGGTATGCAGAAGTGCTGACGTCTATGGATCAGCTCCGCACCGTCTTAAATTTGCCCATTTCGCGCGTATGCACGTATTCTGCGGACCCACTTAACCTAGTTGGTGCCGAGTACATCATTGAGGAGAAGGCAGAGGGCGTGCCGCTAGAGAGCCTTTGGTATCAGTGGCAAACAGAATCACGACTCAACCTTGTGACTCAGCTCCTTGACTTCGAAACGGAGCTGACGTCGCTTTCATTTCGGAGACACGGCTGCATCTACTACAAGAAGGATTTGGAAATGAAAGGTCTTCCGGCGTATGATCTAGAAGCCAAGCCTCTACTATGTGGCGGCCGTGCGAACGAGCCCGATCCTGCGCTGCTAGAGGATTTTGCGCTTGGTCCGTTAACCGAAGCAAGATTGTGGGAAGACGATAGAGCTACGATGGTATTGGATCGAGGTCCATGTAAGTTATATGTGACACCACTTTGAGCCGAGTATTCTGCTGACCTAAGAAGGGAGCAGTCCGTTGTCCTACATGGCAGCCATGGGAATTAACGAGACACAATGAGCGAACGCGTACGCAAGGCCCCGAATAAATCCTCGCCGATCTCTTGAGGAGCCAGAATCTCCTGACGAGTACATTTCACTGTTGGATCGATACCTTCAACACGTGCCCCATCTGTCTCCACCCCCTTTGCGAACATCGCTCTCGCATCCAGACCTTCACCTCGATAACATATTCGTTGACCCAGACACGAAGAAAATAACTTGCATCATTGATTGGCAGTCAGCCTCGGTATCTGAGCCATTCTTCCAGCACAGTATTCCACGTTTGCTGCTTCCAGTCGGATCGAGAACCACTCATGGCCAATTGGACGCTGCGCCAGAAGAGGGCGACGTAGGAAAATATCCAAACAAGACTGCAGATCTGCTCAGCCATTATCAACGCCTCACCAAACTTAAGAATGGGCAACGGTGGACTGCAATGAATGTACACAATCGCTCCCTTTTAGCCGAGCTCCTCTCTTCGCTCTGCGGCGCCTGGAACAGGGATGACGTGTTTTCCTTCCGTCACGTCTTGATACACATAGCCGCTCGATGGGAAGAAATTGGACCATCGACGACACATTGTCCCATACTATTTACGGAGAAGGAACTGGAGCTTCACAGTAGTGAATTGGAGCTTATAGAGGGCCTCGGAGAAGTCCTGCACCAACTTCAAACCGATAACCTGATTCCACTGGGCGGCATGGTCCTTCGAGAAAATTACGACCGGGCTTTAAGTATCAACAATGCCGTCAGGGAGATGTTTGTTAATATGGCTGAATCTGAGTCGCAGAAAGTTTTGTACTCACGAGTATGGCCATACCAAGACCAAGATTCGTGAATACAGGGGTTTAGTTGTTATAGTGTGTTTCTGCCATCGCCACAATTGTCTGATACACTTCGCAATAGCATAATGATCGCAAGTTCAGGACTGCGCGAACCGTAACCGAAGTTCTAAATGGTTTCGCTATGATATGCGAAAATTATCGGAAAATGTGTGCCCCTCCTTCTAATGTTGCTGGCTCAAGCAAATAGGATTCGCATCATACACTGCCAAATTAAAGTCTAGGGTGCTTGCTCGTGTAGGTTATATATATCAAAGCAGTTTGCAATTCAAGTCTACGTGTACTAACGGTTTGCCCGTAGTAGGCCTTGTCCTGCCTGAGAAACGTGTAATGAATAACGAATATGAAAGAATGATGGCTCATACGGGCGTTTATACGAGGGAAACGTGTGAACATGCCCCCGTAGTACTTGGACCACCACCCAAACAATTTCAAATTCCTCCAATCCCAGCTCTAGTACCACTCATACGCTCCATCAGCCTTGATGCGATAGTATCTACGATGTTCTTGGCTATACGTCCACTCCCCGTCCGATGTAGCTGCGGGTGCCTGCCACCATTCGGTAGTTCCATCACTTTTCGTGCGGTAATATCGGCCATATTGCTCGCTCCAAATCCACCCTGATTGTGAAGATGTATATCCCGTTGCACCTGCCGTGGCTGCTCCGATTGCAGCCGTAGTTGCAGCTTCACCGCCACCCGCGCCTTCCCCTTCAATAGCGCGTGCAACAGCCTCAGCATCGAAGTAGCTTCCCAAACCAAACCTGATCTTGTCCCCAATTATCTGGTGAGTCCCTTTGTGGCCACCGGTCCTCCCTCTGATGAAATTCTTGACGGCATTGTTTTGTGCTTCGCTGTTGGCTTGAATGATCCTGGTCGCCATGTCGGGGTTTTTGGGTGTTTCTGTGCACATCAAAACGGAGATCTTGGGTCTTGACGGCCGTTACTGAAGTCGTAGAGTCCGACAACACCAGGTTCTTGAGTGTCTGTGGGTTCTCTCGAACCTTTTGGGCTAGCGCTTCAAGGACGCCCCTGGGAATTTTTGAAGACATGATTCCCGATCAACTTCTCTGGGTTAAATATCTGACAAATTTCGACATTTGATGCTACTTGTTGGGAGTACTTACGATCAAGGTTAAAAGGGGGTTGGTAAATTGTATGGTATGAGCTTCGGACTGAGTATTACTGGTGTGAACTTCGATATTGGACAACGGCAAACGTTTAGATAAGAGTCCCCCAATGAGCCGTAGCAGAGCTATATACAGAGAAACTAAGGCAGCAGGATAGCTAGCCTTGTTCTCTGTAGCCAATGAACTCTCCGCGGCGACGAGAAAATTCTTACGCGCCATCACCGCGATACACTGATCAGTATTTGACGCATGGTGAGACGAAACGAATAAGACCAGACGATCGAACCTAATGTTGCGGCACAGCGCCGCTTAGGCTAATTCTGGGGTAGAGAACTCTGCTTTCAGCCAATCCGGGTGCGTATATATACAGGAGCAACGCAGACACCTCCTCAGGGTATACGTGTATATAGCCCCATTGGATAGGAATGGCAGGGTTGCCGGATCTTGGTTAGGCTATTCTGCTTATAGATCTTGGCGGCAGTACATGACTGCAGGCTGCAACGAACGGTATTCCTAAACCGATCTGGACGGGCCATTCTACCACTTAAGCTCTACCTCCGCATTGTTGCCTGCGTGGAGGTTTCTCAATGGAGATCAGCTGGAATGGGCGAGCGATAAGTGCCGGGCCTGTGAACCTGCACAAACTTGCAGACCCAACCAGATGTGGCATGTTCTTCCTATGGCTGAAGGACGATTTCCAGCAAGCTACGGCTGAGTTCCCGGCGATTTCCCACAAAGCCAAGAAGGAATTTTCCCTTGCTGTTACCTGCGTCGAAACTCCTCATATAGACTACACGGGTGAGCTATAGGGTGCAGGCATGTGGGACTTAACATTGCGAAGCATCTGCGTGTCTGATTCATAGATGCACATATTTCCACCAGTGAATGCACGAATGACACCAAGATGGGTTTGGCAGCAAAAAGATAGGTGTTCGCTTTTTGCGAGCGGTGCATCAACTCGCAAAGCCATAGCCCAGGTCTTATCGTTCGGCGCAGGACTGCCCGTCCTAGCTAATCAGAGCCACTCATTTTGCTCTGAGCCCCATTATCTAGACGTACAGTCGAGCATTCTGTTGGAGCTTCCGAGGTGAATAGGGCTCAGCGGAGATTGCATGATGCGCGGGCGGCACTGCTATTGGTGGATTGAGTCATAGTACCTAATCAGCAGGAGCGACGTCGCTGGACGCGCCCATCCAGCTGGCATTGGCCAAGGCAGTCGCCTGGGTCTCCCACACAGGCCGCACGAGGTGCATAAATTTACCCCCAAAGTCTTCCAATAGCAGCTCAAACTCCTGCTCGCTGAGATCGTCATTGTCGTTGTCCTCGGACGACCCAATTGAGTCTGGGAATGTACCGCGACTCCAACTCCGTGCAAATTTCCCGACCGCGTCAATCGCATTCTGGCTTTTCGGGCGGATATTTTTCGCGACAAGGTAGAAAGACGACTTTTCGGCATGAAACTTCTTAGGTTTGAATAGTTGTATGTCCGAAAATTTGCTGAACAGCTGAAGCAGAGAGAATGTACGCCACTTGTGTGACTTGTGAAGAAGAGCTATTATCGTTCCTCCGGGTCGAACTCTGTTCAGGGCGAGCACAAGCTGGGAGTTGAACAGACGTGATTGCTCGCACATCTTCCTGTATTCGGCTAGGTTCTGCGTCCGCAATGCCTGTCCATCGCAGATTACAAGGTCGTAGGAATGCTCCGAGTATGGCCACATCGCGAGTAATTTTTGCTCCTCTGGATGCTCTTTTGGGATACTCTGGACTCCGAGTTCGGCAGCGAACATTGTTACGTCGGCGAATGTGACGTGCACATGGTCGTTCCGGCTGCCAAAAGGTAGGACTACCTGATGACCTCCCTCTTTTACAGGCAGCGTAATGGCGTCCGCATGTCCGTCTGGGAACCTCTCGAGGAAGTATGCTACAAATCCACCGGGCGCCATACATAGGTCTAGAACCTTCGGCTTGTCGTTCGCCAAAGCATATGCGCCAGTTTCGTGGTCCATTTCCCTCGCAATGGTACGCATCATGTCGAACATCCGTCGTTTGGCTTTCTTGTTCAAAGAAATAGCTCTAGACTGGCGTTCCTGGAAGTGAGCATTTCCACCTGGTGCACTCCAGCCCTGCTGATTGTTAGTGGTGATGCTGTGAATAGAAAATGACTGTACCTTGTCTCGCAAAGAGCACAGCCTTTGGTACGACTCATCCTTGAGCAGGAAATCTTTGAATCGCCGAAATAGGGGTGAGCCATCCGCAGAGTCTGCACTGTCCATGGTGTATGAGCTCACCGACAGGAATCTGTGGGATGAGGTGGGCGAGTTTCCGGACCGTAATCTTAAGGCTTTAGCGGCTGGTTCGGCATCAGGTGAGAGAGGGGTAATCATGCTTTTAGGAACATGTGGTCGGTTACGATTGGTAGACGCTCGCCTATGTGGTTACACAGCTGCATCTAGCGCAGTATCCCTTCACCAAATGGCGACATTGGAGGGAAATCCGTTTTGCGCGCCCAGCCGCAGCCAAGACAATGCACTCAGACACAGCCACGCTACCAGTGTGCAACGCACTCTACCCTAGATGAGAGTAATCGTCTTTGCGCCGTCTTTTGTTTACGCTAGAGCTGCGCAGGGAAGTAAAGCTACCCGTCTCGCATGATGACGCGTCGCGGGGTCGCTTCATGGAGCTATGTCTGCGGGCGATTTTGGTGCAGTCAGGGGCCAGAGTGGTGATACGGTGAGTGCTGGATTAGGAGGAGCGCAGCTGGTCTTGGATTGAATCGAGGGAGCACGAGGAAAGGGACAATGCAGCCATAACGGCGAGACTATTCGAAAGGAGCTGTTAATACGTATTTAACGGTCTTGCCACCGCTTGTACAGAGCGTAGCTGACCCGCTGCGGCGGGTATTTGTGAGGATGTGTTGTTGGCCAGCCTTTATCTCAATGTTGGGATCGAGGTAAGGTGGTGTTCCTGTGGCGTGCCCTATCGCTAGGGCCACAGATCATTTCGCGAGAACGGCAAAACATTTCTCCGGTCGGACCAACGAACGTTTACGTGCAATTCCTTGTTCATCTCCGGACAACCCCACCACTGACCTTCTACTCTTCGCCACACAACTGCTCTATGCATCCTATCTCATTCATGCCTACGCGGTGGATACGGCCAAGCATCTCCACTCTTGGAAAACATTTCTTGCGACGCAGCTTTTACAGCAAAACTGCAGAATTCGTCACCCGTGATCCTCAGGGACGGCCATGTCAACGCCAAGTCGATATTCGAGTCGGCGATGAGCATGAAGCATACGTGCTTGTGCCGACAGATGTTGGTGATGCTATAAAAGCAGCTTGCAAGCACAACGGGTCTTCATTTCCCCAAGACAAGCAGTCCTTGGAATTCAACCACGATAGAAGAGACTTCACTTGCGGTATGTAATCCCAATGCCACACTCGTTACCCTCGCTAAAGCCTTGCCCAGAATCGGCTCCATATCTACGACTTTCAATCTATCATCAGCTCCCTCGCAGGTCAGATGCCAAAACCAGCTCCGCCACACTATATCTCTTTGGTGTCACACATACGATCGCTTTGGACGGGACGTTTGATGGTAAGTATCCATATATAGAGTTTTATGGTTGCTTACTTTTCTCCAGCTTGGTTTACGGAGCAGTCTCTGGCAAGTTGGCATGAACTAAAGCCTACGTTAGACAAACTCAAAGACATGTAACTCTGTACAAGGTCTATTTACTAGGCGATCACACAATGGCGTACCAACGCCCACAATGGAACTAAGGAGAGGGCTCAAATATTTTTCAGTACTCAGTACCTTCATTTCGATAAGCCATAATGTCCGGAATCCACTCCTCAATCGCTTCTCAGTACTCAATAGCTTCATTTCGATAATCCATAATGTCCGGAGTCCACTCCTCAATCGCTTCTCGCTTCTCAGCACTCAATAGCTTCATTTCGATAAGCTATAATGTCCGGAGTCCACTCCTCAATCGCAGTTGCGATCGAGGCATAGAATTTGCCTAATTCTTCTGCCGACATCTTGTTTTCCACAACCTTAACATGAGCATCTTCAAGTGCTATGTTGTTCTGCTCGTGAAGTGGGAGTCGCTGGAGCCGGTATCCATTCATTTTTAAGAACCTATCAGCCGCGACAAGAGCTATCCTTTTGTTGCCGTCCGGAAACGCATGATTTTTCATGATCTTCGTGGCCAGTTCCCCTGCCAGTACAAAAAGATCTTGTTGGCCACCATAGTGTTTGATGTTCATCGGCGATGTGATTGCTGACTCTAACAGTGCCGGTTGCGACGGAGAGGTGTTGGCTATGTACGTTGTATAGAGTCGTTGGACCTGGTTTGCGCTAAGGAAGCGGTAGGTCTTCGAAGCCATTGTTTTGGAGGACCGAGCGACCGAGCGACCGAGCGCGGCAGCAAGATTTAGAGTTGGGTCAGGCTCGGGAGCATCAGGTACATCGGCTTCGGAAGGCGTTGCCTTGCGATATTCTCCCGCCACGGCGAGAGACGGTTCGTATTCGTGTACGCAAGCTAGGGCGATTGACGTCGCTTGGTTTGTGGTGTCTGAGAACGGGCTGTGGTCGCGCTTTCGGAGAGGCGGGTGAGGCGAGGCTGCCTGGTCAGTGAGCTATCCGCAGATAGCAGCGGAGTTGAACGTGGTGAAGGGGTTTGCGGAGTCCAGAGTCTGCTAGAATCGCAGCTAGACAAGGTGCTGGACATGCGGAGGGAAAGTGAAGAGTGTGGTGAGGGGTGGACACTTGTGTTTGTCGTTTGAGGTGTTGTTGCGCCGGCGTTTGCAGTCCGGTCAACAACATTTCCCGAAAAATGCTAAGTGGCACGCTCTCGCAACCCACGAATCCAACCGCATGTTTTTGTTTCCTATCTTGCAGATTAGCGTAATAACCGCCTCCTTGTGCTCCGCCACGTTTGCTAAAGAACTGTTCTGCTTTAGTAATACTGCGATACAATACAAGCGCATGCCCTCCTCTCAGCGCGACCTCCAACACGTCCTGGAGCTTCCGACCCCCGTCAGCAATGGGTCGGTCTCCTGAGGGCGGGGGACAAGGCCACACACCGCCTCACCTCCGAACAGCGTGACGCCGCCGCTGAGAAGCAACTCCCGCACATGCCCAAAGTCGATAGGGAGAGCGAGCTCTTTATGCGCAATCCACATCCGAATATCACAAGGACATTAGTTCTAGAGCTGGGCACCTACATTTCCTCGGACGGGGTGGTCATCGTGGATTGGGAATTTTCTGGGTGGTATCCAAGCTATTGGGAGTTTGCAACCGCCATGTCCGCTAGTGGTCGGTGGGATGATGATTGGCACGAGTGGGTGAGAGAAATATTATCGGACTGGTACCTCAACGAATACGTATGGATACAGATATTGCGTCAAGAGCTCTGGTCTTAAGCGACTCCAAAGGGGGTAGGGTTTCAATGCAATTATGGCAACATTTCAGACTTTAGCGAACTAGCTGCGAGTGGGAAAAGCTTACCGGCAGTATGATGTACTGTACATAATGATGATTGTGATATTATAATTTCATGGGAAGGATCCGCACTGTGGGAGGTGACTGCATATTTTGGGTGGTGAACGGTAGTGCTATAAGGTGTTTGGACTATTGCATAGGTATGGCCAACGTTTTAACCTCCACCTGGCAAGCCGTCTTCTTCTCGCGCGCTTGTGTAGAGGAGGGCGCTAGAAGCAGCACGAAGGAGCAGCGGGTTCGCGTAGAGGACGGCGGCGGTTTCGAGGATGAAATGGCAGCAGTCATGCGTACAGAGAGTGTCGACGCAGTCTATCGTATGCTCGGAGCCGCTCGTATCTCGTCGCACGCGTTCAGGGTTGCAGGCGGGTGCTAGATAGAGAGCGCGTGTTGCTGGACGTCGCAGGGCTGCTAGCATAGGAGGATAGATATAACGCGAAATATACGCAAGAATAACAGGAGGCGCGGTGCTAGCAAGGGGGAAAAAAAGTGTAGACTGTAATCTAGAGAGGAGCGGTGTTCTGAGATTCCGTGGCTGAAGAAATCCTCTGAAGGCTGCAAGATTGCACAGCCACTTGTGGGGCTCACCGTGAACGGACAAGGTCCATCACACCCACCACCCTCCTATTACTCAGCCCACTTGAGGATTCACACGCATAGGTCCAGCGGCACAAGGCACAGAACTGAGTGTATGTAACCTCTCATCTCATCTTCTAATGCACACGCATTTGTTCCTGGCCTCTACGTATACGCCTCGGTTCATTCTAACAGCAAAACATGCTAACCCCCCTTCTAGCATGGACTGGGATGAGATAGCAGAGCGTAAGCACCTCGTGCAATGCTATGGCTGGGCCAGGTTATTCGTATCACGGAGGTCTGACATTCCCGGTTGGGTCTCTTCTTTCCGGTCAGGAAACCTATCGAGCGAAATAGTTGAAGAGTTTTCTGGCTCCTTCAACCGGAGCTGCCATATCCGCTTTTGCGATGGCGTAGAATGGCTTGCACGTTTTACTATGCCTGGTAAAGTAATGGACGGGGATGAAAAGCTCCGTCGCGAGGTCGCAGCTATGCGCCTCGTCCGAGAAAAAACTAGCATCCCAGTACCTAAAGTTCATTCGTGGGGACTATCAAAGGAAAATAGGCTAGGACTGGGACCATTCATTATCATGGACTTCGTCCGAGGCGGCAAATCCCTCCATCACCTTTGGCGACAAAGTCCTGATGAGGCGGTATTAAGCTCGAACGTTAGCGAAGCGGATCTCCGCACGATATACAGCCAGATCGCCGGATTCTACCTCGAGCTTTCGAAATTGGAGTTCCCCCACGTTGGATCTCTATGCATTCGAGATGACCAGAGTATACACACAGACTTGGGGCCGCTCACGCTAAAGATGCAAGAAATTGAAGCCCATGGGGGAGTTAAAGTTGGGGGTGAGTAGATTCTACCTACATTTTTATAAGTACTAACGAAGATGTCGAGGCAATCGCTCAACAACATTTCCATCCGCAAGGGACTACTTCGAGTACGTTGCTGAGCAAGACCTAGAGCAACTGTATAAGCAGCCCAACTCAGTCGACAATGCCAACGACGCTCGAGCCAAGTACAAGTTCCGCCATCAGTTCAACACTCTTATTCCACGCTTTGTGAACGAGGAGTACCACGGAATGTCGCCAAGGCTGTTATGCGATGATTTCCGATACGGGAATTTAATCGTTAATAACGCGAAGGACCTGAAAATACTCGCGGTTATAGACTGGGAGTGGGCATATGCAGCGCCGTATCAGATGTTCTGCTCAGCACCGCGCTGGCTTCTTATCACGAAGCCAACTGAGTGGCCTACACCAAATGGTGAAGAATTCGAGCGATACAAAGCTTGCTTAGATCTCTTTCTCGATGAACTTCAGCAGCAAGAGGGGGATAGCGACAACTTGGCAATTGGGAGCGACAGACAGCGCCCGAGGAAACTATCGGCACAAATGCGCAGATCTCTGACGGACGGCACGTTCTGGTTCCACGAGTTGATGTACGATTGTTTCACAAATGCCGAGAATACGGCTTGGAAGGCTGTCTGCAGTCTCCATCCTGATTTTGAAAGCATCCCAATTGCGGAAGAGGAACTGAAGGGGTTTGCGGAAAGGAAAACGAAGGAATTGGAGGCTTACAACGCGCAGTGGGGTACCATAAAGGCAGCTATTAAGAGACATGAAATGGCTAGCTAAACAACCGCGTGGAGGATACCTGGGAAGGCCAGGATCAATGCAGGCGTAGCTTTTGGGTGTGGAGTTCGGATCAAATAGGGCGGGAAAAGCGGTAAATGATTTTGCCATCATGATACGCCATAGAAATACCGGCTTGGCACAACCCGAGCACTTCTACCATTAATCAAGCACTGTAGATGCCACTGTATTCGAAGCAGGAGAGGACGGGAGGCTCATGGACTGCCTCCTGCCTCGCACAACTTACGGCTATGCTATATCGTAGCAGTTATGGTCGCTTTCCCGTCTGGTAAGAGTCGGTGGATTCTCAGCTGCTTCCTTTAGTCTGTGATAAACTTTGATCTACATTCTGATAAGCCCTTAGGGAGCCTAATCGAGTCTATTACCTCTGTTCTAAACCAAATCCTGAGGGCACGTATCGTCACTGTCGCGACGCGGTCCTTCTCCTCGAGCGGCATTTGGTTCTACCCAAAAAAGTGGTGATTGTCCTGTTTTCAAAAATGAGCGACTAAAGATAAGAATAGTAAGGCTGCCTCGATATATTGTCCATGACGCCTAGCTAATATGCCTAGTCGTACGCCGACATATAGGGAGGACACCACCTAAGTCAGCTGGACCCATGCTGCTAGAATAAGCATTGGAAAGATGCTAACTAAAGCATAGTGTGAGATCGGCAACAACTTCATCCGCAGAGCTATAAGTGCCATGCCAGCATTTTCTTATAACTTTGGCAACGGGAAGGTTCTCGACGTCTGGGAAGCGGTGGTGTTTGTAGTTATCCTCAACTATATTATCGGTTTCGTTTTCATAAGGCCGCGTAGTGGTCCATAGTTCAAAGATGGTTGATCCTAATGCAAACAATTCATTCGCAATGGAAGGATTCTCCTCGGCATCGCCCCATCGCTGAGATCGTTTTTCATAGCGAACTCCATGAGGCTTTCCATCGACTGAGGCGCCGCTAAAATCGCATACTTTAATGTCGTCGCCCTTTAGAAGAATATTGTGACAGCCAATGTCTCCTTGTATAACCCCCTTTTGGTGGAGGTACGCGATTCCTTCGGCAAGTTGATACGACCACTTTAAGGCCTGTTTGCGTGACGGAGTCTTCCCTTGCTCATAGAGTGCCCGCAGATGTTTGCGGATCGGGTCTCCGAATCTTTCTAGAAGAATGCCCCGTTGAATAGAAGAGAAGTATTGGCATATCCGAGGATGAGACCCTAAACGCTCGTATATAGATCTCTCGATGAGGAGCTCTTGAAGAGATTCGCGGGTAGCGGCGTCGTCGTTGTCCCATATAGGAGCGACCTTTACGGCGGTGTGCTCATCTAGAGCATATACAATGCCCGATACCCCAACCCCAAGCCAATCAAGACCCTTTGTTGAAAGGTTAGGGAGGCTAGGATCGTCATCCATGATATGCGCAGCGCCTACGTAAAGTCTTAATTAAATGTTGTTGAGAAATATAGGGGCACTTTACCTGAAGAAAACGTTGAACACCTCCAGGGTGGATAGCGACGTGTTTCTGCACCTGACGATTGTGGTGGACTTTTTGGCGGGGTGCTGGCGGGGTGCTGGCGCGGCAATGGTATAAGGTGGTGGCCCCGTGGCCCGGTGGCACCAGATCAGGTGTGACTCGAGCTCGCGCAGGAGCAGCTCAGTTCCCTGCACGAGGAGAGAAAGTGCTCGTGGCCAAATTGGGGTGTGAGAGACGTGGTCAGATTGGGGTGTGAGAAGACGTCGTTAGAAGGACGAATCCTGCGGTGTTACTTATAGCTGAATAAGCCGCCTTGGCACCCGCAGTTGCAACCCGATTAGCTCACCGCAACCACCAATCCCGCCTATTGGCACTTCTTCACTCTCCAATTGAGTGCTCGCGAGCCGTCTGCAGATCATAGCGGCTAAGAGTGTTACCACGCGCTTCTCGGTGCGTTCACTCTATTATACAATCAGGCCCGCTCGATCCACCCTTCCCTCATCTCCAAGCACAGCTCCGGCGCGGCACGGCTAATAAGCTCCCTCCCAGAAATACATAGTTCAACCGAAGGGCGTGCATGCCTTCATCAACAGGATCTTCGCCAGTTGATCGCTCCGGATTTGCGCGAAATGAGCCAGTGCTTTGGCAATATCGGCACAGGTCCCGGGATCTTCCATGGAACTTAAAGGCTCTCCGTCAATGAACTCCATAACGATATATCCGATGTTCCCGGACGTGAAAAATCGATACACGCGTGGAACGCGGGATTATTGTTTGATCGATCAAGGTGTATGCTCGTTTTTGGCTTTCCGACTCTTCTTTGGTGACCCCAACCCGCATTTCACAACAGCATCATTCGAAATTTTGACGACCGAATTTCCGCCTTCTATTTCGTTGAGAACGATTCGGTGGAGGTTCGAACGGGAACAATAGTTTGCCAGCTGCTTTTACTCCAACGAGCTCTTGGTTTACCCATCCTGGTAATCAGGATCAACCCCTGCCATGCGCTTCGCTGCCCTCTTCTCCTCCTCAGCGTACATTGCTTCGTCGGCAGAGGTAATCTCTTCTGAAGGAGTTTCTGACCGCTTCCTCTTCTTGATCCCAGGGGCGAGCGGATCCTTGCTGAGCGATCCCCTCTGGTGTATCTTGACTTCCGCTGCGGTAAGGTATTGGCAAAGCTGTTCGGTAGAAACGATCAATTCCGGATCTTGATCCCCAATCTCATCCTTCACCAGTTCTTCGTAGGCGAAATCGCTGAGGTGCAACCGCAAGCCTGGATGATCGGTAGGGTTTCCCTCCTCGTCACGGAAAGTCTATAGGAAGGTTAGGTGTCGTAGAGTAAGAAAGTCCATTGACACAGAAGCATACCTCATCTGCAGGCTCTTGCACCACGCGCAGCTCGTTCCCATCAGGAGTATTGAACACAGAGGTCCGCCACACTGACAAGGCCGCCTTGCGCGAACCCTTCTTGCCGTATTAAATGTCCAGGCCGACAACAGCTTGTACGTTCGCGTCTGAATCCAGAAGATAGTCTTCGGCTAGCCGGCCCAACCGCTTTCTCTTTTGCGAATATGCGACTTCAATTATGACGCCAGGGCATGCTGCGTCACGGTGCCAAAACGAGGCGTCTGGCTCGCACTTTGACCTTGTGCTACCCGGAGCGTCGTCAAATGGAAAGTATATTTCAGTCGAACGGGCTGGGCGAACTCTTTGTGCGAAGCGGGCCGCCCTGTCCGAGCCGCTACGAATTGTTTTCAGCTGACTTCGAATCGCGTCCTCAACCCCGTCAATGAAGAGCTCATGCAGTCCGGTCGGCATGCGAACGGTAAGCCGACGGCTTTCTACGTTGTAATCATACCTGTGTATCTCTGCCGTTAGCCAACCCCTCTATCGTGCTTTAGCACACGCACCGTATCTTGTCCTTTACGTATCCTGACAGCGCCTCGTCTCGATCAAGTTGGCGCTCTAGCTCATCGTATTCTCCCGGCGCAAGCTGGAACTCTGTCCACGGGCCTTGCTCGGTGTGCCTTCCAGCTCGTTTGGCTTTGAAAAGTGCGATAACCCGTCGGACTTGCCCGAAGGGCTTCTCGTCGATTGGCGGAGGCGTTAGAGGCGGATCTGCGAAGCTTGAAGGCGGTGTAATATGCTGGTGTGGTGGTAGATAGTTCTGCGACATAGGTATAGCTGTATGTTGCGCTGTATGGCGGAGTTGCTTTGATAGCCGTCGCGCAGACTGATGGCGCGCTGGTTGACTCAGCAACAACGCCACACCGCGACACTATTGCTGGGGCCAATGACGCGCATGTGGCTGGTGCGTCACATATAGGAAGTAGCGTCGCATTATACCGCATAGCGACGGCATTTCCTCGAGTGTAGCTGGCAGCTCCAGACCGCAACGTCTGGTTCAAGCAGCCAGGTACGAGATAGGGCATCCATGCAGTAATGCCTTGATCATGGTTGGCGCCGCGATATCGCGATGATGCAGCCACGAGGGCGGTCGGTTGGCACGCTAGGCCTATTTGGGTAACGGAATCCTGAGCGATGTTGGGAATGTTGGGAGCTCGGGACGGGGGGCTTCAGTATATTTGGGCTTTGCCTGTGTCCTTTGAATAATGCTGTGAGGGAACGGGGGCCTCAATCGACATGGGAAGACATGGAGGAACGTCGCGGCAGGCTGCTGGCTGCGCGTAGCTGTAGCATGCAAGAGTGGGAGCTTTTTCGAGCTTTGCTCGCTATCAGGTGCGCCAATCAGATGCGGCGCAAATCTAGATCGTTCGCCATGAACCCCTCCGAAGCTCGGCGTGAACGTTGGCCTGCCCTCACAACGCACCACCCAACACACGCATCGCTATCAGTTGCTTTTATCGTGGGCCCTGACACTATCGGTCCGGCTCCTATCGGCTCGTCGCAGCCTTGTCCTCCGCCCTCCATTTAGAAATGCCTGATCCGCAAGCAACGTCAACCATCACTAACTCTCCTCACTCCACCATCGCGCGAGCACCCCCGTTTGCTCCCCACAGCTGCTACTAAGAGACATGCCTCCGTTGGTCCAGGCGAAGGCTGCATCCAAAGATCTCAAAGCAAAGAAGACGAAGAGCAGGAATGGTTGCGGCCGATGCAAGCTCAAGAGGGTATGTGTTCCCACCCCCATTTCTGGTCGTGTGGATGCCCCGCTAACAGTGGCGAAGTTGAAATGCGACGAGACCACGCCCTCTTGCTTGCAGTGCAAGAAGAGAAACGTTCCTTGCCCTGGATATGAGAAGACGCTGAAATGGTCGACCAAGTATGAGGTCTTTCAGCCGACCGTCCAGTTCGGCTCGTCGCCGACGAATGCGTCGCCTAAACCCGACGTCATCTCCAAGACCCCTCAGGTGACCGAAGTCACATTACCCCCAGATGTCGAGCGGGGCTTCGAAGCTCTGGCTGCTGTGCTTCCTACCAGCAAGAAGCCTGCAGAGCCCGCCCGGGAGAATGCTTCTCGTCAGCCAACACCGCCGGCTGCTGCCATTGACACTCCTCCTGTCCTCCTCCAGACCTCGTCGTCGCCCGAGACCTTCGGGAGTGAGTCGTCTCCCCCAGAACCCGAACCCCTCCCCGAACCTTTTTTCCTTCAGGATCTCAATGCCTTTGATCCGTTGCTGTTGGATGGCCTCATCAACGCGATCGGAGACCAGAATGGCGACTTCACTTTCGACGCCTTGGAGGGCTTCGACATTGACCCTGGACCACTGGACGACATTGGCCTAGACCTGGACCAGGTGCAATTTCCTGAAGACGAAGAAGAAGAAGAAGAAGATGCTGCAGGCACAACGCTGGTGAGCCCTCGCCTGTCCCGGTCGCTCCTTCTTGACTTCTACCGCCTTCCCAACCCTTCCCCTTCTGTGAAGACAGTGGACGACGTCGAGTCCATTCTCATTCAGCACTATTTCAAGGACGTGTGCGCCTTGTTTTCTGCTTTCGATTCTGTTCTCAATCCCTTCAGGACTACCATCGGCCGTATATTCCAAGATACTCCGTCCGTCTACTATGCTATCCAGTCGATGGCAGCTGCCCACCTGGCCAACACCTTTCCTAATATGAGTGCCGTGGGCATGGAGCTTCAGCGCAAGGCTGTTGATAGCCTGCAGGAAGAGCTCCCGCTTGTGCAGAGTGGCCAAGCCAGCTGCACTAAGACGTTTCTCAGCATCATCCTGCTCGGTCTGTCAACGTGCTGGCACGAGAGCAGCGCTCTTGGCGAGGAGTTCCTGACCACGGCTCGGAGCCTGATCCTGCCCAAGCTCCTCAGCAGCTCCGAAGAGGAGGAAGTCCAACGCGAAACCCAGTTCTTCGAGGAGTCGCTCATCTACTGGGAGATGCTCATGGGTTTCGTCACCCAGGACTCCATGACCTTCGCTCCTTCTGGGTTGCGCAGCCGAGGAGCGTCTAAGGCCATTCCTGCTGCACGAAAGAAAGATGGGAAGATTGTGCCTCACCCATGGACGGGCATCGCCCCAACGATCCAGATCCTGTTCGCGGAAGTGGGCAGACTGGTCCGCAGGGAACGAATGCTCGATATGAACCCGACTGTCGATTTTCGCCGGCGACAGGAGAATCTCCTCAATGCTGCGACCTTGGAGGAAGACCTCCTCGCTGCGGAGTATCCCTTAGCAGAGGAGCTGGCTGATATCGGGGATGAGAGGACTCCCAAGCATGACTTCGTTGTCATTGCTGAGGCATATCGATGCGCTGGCCTCCTCGAGTTGTACCGCGTCTTCCCTTCAATCCTCCGCAAGCGTCTTGGAACAGACAACTTCACCTGGACTGACAGTCTTGATCTCGAATTCCCGACGCCGCGCTTTGAGACGCCGTATGAGGATACCGATACCAAGCTTTGGATCAACTCCCTCGCCATGCATATCCTGCAAGCGATTGAGTCACTTCCGTCTTCATCTGGAACTATCTGCATCCAACCAATCTTGCTCGTCACCGCAGCTTCTGAGCTCAAGTTCGTGTCATCGGTTGACTACTTTGACATCTATGCGAACGACGCCCGAGTACTGCAGGCGAGAGAGTTTGCTGTCAGGCGCATGCAGGAGTATTCCATGCGCCTGCCCGCTAAGCCTTTGCGCCAGATGATCGAGCTCGTGAAAGAGGTCTGGCGCCGGCAGGACAACGGACAGAATGCCTTCTGGATCGATGTCATGAACGAGATGGGATGGCACACTGTCATGGGTTAAGCCACGACTCGCCCTCTCTACCGACTGGACACCTCTGGGGTCCTCGTCGAAATGAGTGCTCACGTTCACGTACACGAACCAATTCGTCTGCGATTTCGGATGCCCGTATCAGCCCGACCTCTTTCCCTCCCTCCGTATCACGCCCTGGCCTTTCGGTGTATGGAGTTGTCAATTTGCCGATTCAATGTCTCGACAGCTTATCGGTCCTTTACTATCACGATCGACGACGACGGAAACGTACTCTTCGATCGCCACACCTTCATTCCGACTTACGGCCGCTTCGACAACCCTGTATTCCTCATTTATGTCTTTACGAGCTTTAATGCACGACCTTCAACACAATATCCTCTTCCGAGCTCAGCATCACCGGTGATGTTTGACATGCACATCCGCGTGCTACGACCGATACGAATCAAAAGCGAACATAGACCCAATTCCGATGCGATTTCCCTTGCGACACAATGTCTGCCTAGCGACCTCTTTCCCGATCGATACCCGCCGGCGACCTTTGTTTTCCCGGCTACATAGCCCAGCGACTATTCCGCCCTGATACCCTAATGACTGCGCTTTCCTATTATGTCATAGAACCTCTAAGCGTCCTTACAGATATAGACAGCAGCGACTTTCTCCGTTGTATTACCCTAGCGACCCTTTTCCCTTCCCCGTTTTATACCCCAGCGGCTTTCATCATGATGCTGAAGGTAACCCGGGTGGCGTCTTTGCTTTTGTTCTCTGTATTTCGCTTCTTCCGATGTATATATACCACCATATAGCGGGTGAGCGCGATGAAGATGCGGGTTCCGGTGGTCTCGCCAGCGACATTTATGGATTAACGCCTTAGCGACATACTCTCTCATCACACGGGCCCTCTACACCGGATCAACCTGATTATCAAATTCAAAGGGTTTGTGCCTCGCTTCGCTAGGTTTGAACGTGCTTCCCCAAAGGCCTTTTTCTTCTCTCGACACCCATTCTCCCGAGGAATTTCTTTATACTCCCGCCCCTGCCTCTGCACTCCGTTCTCCACTCGAATTGTCAGTCTGGTTCATGTATAGACATTGCCATAGGGTATTCACATATGTAGATATATACAAAGGGCTTCCAGCCCAGTCCAGTTCAGTCCGTTGTCGCTTGAACGCATCATACCAAAATATACACAATGAAAAGCCAGCAAAACACATCCGATGGCGCTTTCACATCACCGGCCTACTCAGCTCATCGTCCTCATCCTCATCCTTGTACGCTTCGAACTCTCTCTTCTCCGCCGACGACGGCCTCGGCACCCAGTTCGGCGACGCGTAGACACGCAGCTTCTTCTCCGCGCCCGGGCTGAACACGACTTCCACCTCAGTGAACGCGCGGAGCCGCTTTTCCGCGCCTGTAAGCCGCAGCGGGGCTTTTATTGAGAGTGGATGATGGTCTCGGGGTTGCGCAGACATGCTGTCTCCGGTATTAGCTCACTTTGATGCATGCGCTAGACGCGACGAGACGTACCACCGGAGCCCTACATTCACAGCCTCCGCAATGCACGCCAGCACGGCAAGGCCCACCACGACCTGGATCGCCAGCAGCGTAACCAAGCTGTCCTGATACGCTGAGAAGAGCTCGTCTTCGCCCCTGCACACGATTCTTTCGCGCGGCCGCTCCGTCGGCGCACTCGGCAGGATGACGCCGAGGTTTTGGAAGCCGTTTCGCGCTGCTAGCTGCAAGAGCACCGTCGTCGACAGCGGCTGCTCTGCGTCGTGCGTTGGCGATGGATGGAGTGGCGCCGCGGCGGTGGAAATGTAGGCTTCGTAGAGGTCTGGGTGGGAGTGGCGGAAGTTTTCTAGTTCGGGGCCGAGGGTGGTGCAGAGGTCGAGGGGTGTTGATGGGGAGGACGTGAGATCTGAGGAGGAGGAGGATGGTGGTAGGTCGCGTGGTAGGGATATTATTGTGCAGCGGCAGTGTGTGCGGGCGGGGAGGGCGGTTGTTGTTGAGGCGAATAATGAGGCGGCGGAAAGGGCGGATATTAGGGATTTGGAGACCATTTTGGGGATTATTGAAGATGTAGCGGGAGTTGTGTCGAGTGGAACTATTTGGGCCGGGGAGGTTTGGTGTTGAGATAATAGTGGTGGTCCCAACTATGAATTGGGGTAACAACCCTGCTCGGGTCCTTTCGCAGGACGTTCGCTGAACTGAAGGAGCAACGCGTTTTCTCTGGGGCGGTGTTAGAACATTTCCGAAAGAAGAGAACGCTATCCACTGGGTAAGGGAAATAAGTGGTGGAAAGGGGAGAGAATAGTCGTGAAGAGGAAATAGGAAAACGGAAAGAGGTGACATGATGTAGTGGTGCGATGGGCGAGGTGAGCTTACCAAAGACGCCTTCAGTACGAGTATGATGGCGCAGGCAATCAGCAGGTCGTCATCCCTCGCGGACCGTATACTGCGTTCGTAGACCACCAGAATAAATCAGTAGATAATTGTATGTTTCGTGAGCAGATGACGCGCGCCGGCAATGGCTGACAGATGGGGCCACCACGCCCATTATGTACCGACCTCCACGCACCCACCACCGGTACCAACTCCCCTGCATCGAGCGGAAAGGCGGAGCCACATGCCCATCGATCCACAGGCTCAGTTTCAATGCCCAGGCGTCTAGGGATGGAAAAGGAAACGCGGCTAGCCTGTTGTAGGGCAATCGCAAACCCAGGGTGCAACTGAGGCGCTGCTGCGACACGGCGGCGTCGAGGCATCGAGCTTCGGTCGTGCTGCTAGCCGTCCGGGATGGCGGGCGCTGAACAAAGCTGCCGTACCGTCGCACGTTTCGACGCTTGGAGAGGGCAGTAAGGTTCTGGAACTATGCGGCCTGGCGCGCTGCAGCCGCACAGATTAGCTTGCAGGTTGCAGGAGGGCTACTGTACAAAGCGCGGGGCTTCCGCTAGACTGGAGTCCGTCCTTTTGCTGCTGTGATCTATTTTCGGGCTGCGAGGCGATGACTCTCCAGCGCTGCTTATCGTTGTTGCTGCTCATGATTCAATATTGAGCGGCATATCGAAATGTCATCGTTGTTTGAGAGCGGAGTGTGCTCCGCGAAATGCCGGCGTGCTGGCTGCAAGGGGCGCTTGGAAGGGATCTGCGCGCGAAACGTTGCTCCAACATCTGCTCGTGTTCCCTACCAGGGGTGCGAAATCGTCCGCTCCGCTCCGTCCTCCCAGCGGACCTCCACGATACTACGGTGACTGAGTACCAGGCCCTGTGTAATTCGCACCTTTTCGCGCCACGGGCAGCAAAATATCGGCTCGACACACCCTCAGTCAGTGCATCATGCCAACGGCTCTGAATCACCGTCGCTCGTTCCCACTCGACTTGTGTCGCATCCCGCGTCCCAACTCCACCCGTCAAGCTTTTTAAGACCGTCGCATCACACTCGCGATGCGAAGCTTGACCAGAACTCAAACTGGTGCGACGTGCCCGCCGTCTTCAAGTGAACCCCTCATCTCCCGCCTTTGCTTTTGGGCAGGTGTTTGACCGGCAAGAGCGGAGACTCAAACAGTTTCGAAGGAGGCTGCGATTTGAGTCTGTTTTAGCGCCAAGAAATGCCGCGGAAAGCTTGATGCGGCGATCCGCCGGGTTGTTGCTTGAAGGTTTGGGGACGGAGCGCTCGGAGCTCGAAACGTGGATGAGTGCCCGAAAGAGAAGAGCGTTGCGAGGCGGTCTAGGCTCCGGCTGAGGCTGCTGTAAGGCTGGAGCTTTTCATCAGCACGGGCATCGTCAAGGTCAGCGCCGCTCATCATGAGTGGTTCATGGAGCTGACAATTCTCAGGTCGCGGTCGGAAAAGAAACTGAAGATGATCACAGCCGACCGTCACCCGTCACTCTTTGTCGCGCGTCTAGGACCGACAACAAGCTCGGCTCGATGCTTCACGAACTCTCTTTCTCCTCTCTTCCTCTCTTTCCAAGCGACTCTCCCTGTTCTACTCCGGTCTTCCGTCCGTTCTCATGTCTTTTCGCGCTTTCTACTGGTCCATCGCTCGCCCTCCGCTGAGCCACGCCCCCTTGTTCTATTTTGTTACTATTGGATGGGCAGCGCCTCTCGCAATGGTACCGTAGTATCGTCCAGCCTCGTGTTGGATGGCGGGTGTGGTTCGAGCTATTGAGATTCAGCCGCAATGGTTGGCCACCCCACGCTAATCGCTCGGCCGGTCCGCATAGGGTCGATATCGACGGACACCTAGTCCAGGCTGCGGTATTGAGTGAGGTCTGGAAGTGTGGGCATTGAGACGGCCAGTACGATTATGGGACCCAGCGCGACAACTCCACAGGCACCGTCTCGGAAGAGAGAGGTGGCCAATGACGGTGCAATCGTTGTTCCGCCAGCAATCATAATGAATGGTGAGAGGAAGGAGAGAAGACGAGAAGTATTTTTGGAAGACGAGTGATTTGGTATTGGAGGCGTAGCCCTCAGGGGGAGTGACCCAGATGACGTGGGGCCAGCGCGTCAGGCAAATGCGACCCACACAATAAGTATATGCACGTCCAGTTTGTCAATTCTCCGCGTTCTAGTCGGCATAGCAACCCTCATGGCTTTCACAGCAGCGGTATCATTGCAACTCACTCGTCGACGCAAGCACTCTGGAGGCAATGTTTCCGAGCCGCCTTCGGAAGAGGTGAGCTGTGCTACCCAAAAGACGAAGCGCGAGCTGAGATCAGCAGATAGTGTTCCTGCCGGAAGTCGAATATCAGCTCCACAGCGAGTATCAGCCTTCGTGGCATTCACTACTACAGGCGATGAGGTGCCTCTTCATATTATGAAAATGACCGAAGGGAGCGAACACCCTAGAGGCATCGTAGTTCGAAGACGGGCTCGCCCATCCTCCCCCCTTGCCGAACTCCAAACCCACTCGCTCCTGCAATGTGATTGTCACCGAAGGAGCTTCTGACGCAGACCAGGCAGGGATGGGTTCCATTCGCACTTTCGAATTCGGAAAATCCGATAGGATATGCCTTATATCCTGGGCCAAGCGCGCTCTACGTGCCGGAAAGGGTGTTCATCGACGGCTCTCCCGGTTTTCGGAGTCGGAGGCAGTTGGAGCAACTGCTCGACAATACGTTCGGCAAAGAACAGTACTTCGACAGTGCGTAGAATAGGACTAGGTTCGGACGATGATACGGGGGAAAATCGCGAAGAAGCTTGTCAGCAGAGAACCAAGACCGTTTGCGCGCGGAGTGACGCGGGCAGGGCGAAGGATAGCTCAAAGCAAGGAAATCTTCGCCGACCTCACAGGTACTGAGAGATGTCATCTGCCCGCGAGAAGATCTGCTCGGTATCTCTGTGGCTGGACTCGGCATTGCAGACTGACAAAGCGAAGTCCACTTATGACCTGGCCAGATGCAGTACCCTGAACGGACCACCCAAGCATACGGGACCATACGACAACGCGCTTGCGGCTCGTGACGCATTCGAATGTCTCCAAGCCCATGGCCCCGTTTCCAACCCAATTAGCGGGAAGTGATTTGCACCAACAGCTGCAGTCTAACCAGGGCCTCGATGCCGATGGTTGCTTCACCGGTTCTCTGACGCGAAGCGGTATCCGACAATCGAACAAACGCACGGGTCGCGAGTAGTAAGCCAGAATCCAACGGTTACACGGCGGACTGCCTCCCAGATACGCAGTATATCCGGTGAGGCTCTGCCAAACTCCGTGTCGTACACGACCACGAATCCATTCATTCACCAGGGCAGCGATGGATTTAAAGCGGACCCTCTACCTTTAATTCCGATGCCATGAATACCCGAGTGCGTGGAGTACCGAGTTCCATCGGAGTGCTACTTAAGGCCTAACTCCCCTACCGCTCGAACTCTTCCCCCGATACATAGAACGTTGTCCGTCCGGAAGTTCGTCCGTGCCACTCTGACACCGCTCCCACCAATCATTGCGACCTTCTGACTCCTTACTAGGCTTCCATTTGTAAGACGTGCAAACGAGCTAACCGCGAACTGGCAACAATCATCTGGACACCACCCATAACGTTATTGCGTGCTCTTCTCATGCAAAACAAAGGTTTGGGGGGAACTCATGCTGATGCTGCGGCTTGTTGCACAAGTGGCTTACGCGCATCGGCTATGCCTTGTTGAGCGACCGGTTACCCGGATCAAGCTTAGCGGCCCGTCCTTATCATTCTGTCATTCCGACTCATTTCAGCCTCATGGCGGTTGCCTTGTATTCCTCCTATCGCGTCTTCCTTGGCATAACGTTGAAGCGAAAATGTCCGCTTTGGCAGCGGTGATGACAAACGTTGCACCAGGCGTAGGCATGGAGATCGGAACGGTGAGTATCCAAGATAAAAGCCACCAGGACGGCCGTGGCTATACTTCCACCTCGACCTTTTCTTCAACCTCTTGCTAGACCTAGACTTTTGTTTTTTCACTTATAGACTGTACCATAATCAATTTCAGCCTCTTTCTTCAACATGGCATATCTATTCGCGCACTCCTCAGTCGGCTCCCTACTTCGATACATCCGAAAGGGCAACCTTTCCTTCTCCCGTCGACGCGGAAAGACTATCTCAGCAAGTTCATCTTCCGACGATGTCGTAGAAGTTGAGGTTCAGCTGCCGGGCCTCGAAGAGAAGATCTCGATCTCAAGAAGAGATCTTGTGGACTGGGATGGTCCAGGTGAGCATTTTCAGCCCACCTGCAGCTTACAAGTTGGTGTGCTAACCTCGCATATAGACGACCCGAGCAATCCGATTAATTGGCCGCTTGCACAGAAAGTCCTCGTGACTGCGGTTCTTTGGTAGGTCTTGTAGAACGAGGGCGGATGACAGGCGCTAATAGAGTTCTAGTGCTTGGACGTTTGCTGTCTATGTGGGATCTTCGATCTATTCCTCGAGCCAAGCAGACGTGGAGAGGATTTTCGGCGTCGGCCATGTTGAAGGTGCACTTGGCATTGCATTATACGTCCTGGTATGCTTCCGCGCGTTCCCCCTATTCCCGCCATCAGGCAACTAACGCGTCTCTTAGGGCTACGGTCTCGGCAGTCTTCTGTTTTCGCCCCTCTCTGAAATACCCGCAATTGGACGCAATCCACCGTATGCCATCTCCGGTTTCCTCTTCGTCATTCTTTGCATCCCAACGGCGCTCGTGAACAATTTCGCAGGCCTGATGGTCCTTCGCTTCCTCCTCGGCTTCATGTGCTCGCCATGCCTGGCAACCGCAGGCGCCTCCTTAGCTGATATCTGGAGGCCCACACAATTCCCCTTTGCCGTTGCCATGTGGGCTATGGTAGCTACCCTTGGCCCCGCATGCGGGCCTACCATATCCACGTATGCAGTACAGGCAATGGGCTGGCGGTTTAGCAGCTGGGAGTTGCTGATCATCTCGGCACCGATCTACATCATCATGGTTTGCTTCTTGCCGGAGACGAGCGGTCCCACGATCCTGTACTACGAAGCGAAGCGGTTGCGGGAGGAGACTGGTAACGAGCACTTGTTGTCTGCAGCGGAGCAGAAGCAGAAGGATATGAACCTTTCCAGCCTCCTGTTCGATGCGTTCATCAAACCCTGGGAGATGAACTTGAAGGACCCAGCACTGCTCTTTACGACCTTTTACCTGGGTTTGGCGTATGGAGTGTTCTATTCGTTCTTCGAGGCAAGTAGTGTCCTTCCGATGTCTAAACCCAGAAGTCATGAACCTAACTGTATGTAGTCCCTACCGCTGGTCTACCCGGTCTACTACGGCTTCAGCGGCAATTCCACAGGCCTCATTTTCCTCGCAGTGCTCCCGGCCGGCTTGATCGCCTTTATCGGCCAAGTCCTCTACCTCAAATATCGCGTCTTGCCCCTACTCACTTCGGGCAAGTTCGGAGAGCTGGAGAACCATCTTATTCCGGGACTCCTGGCCTCTCCGCTCATTCCCATCGGTCTATTTATCTACGGTGAGTCCGCATCGTATCGGATTTCGTGTGCCAGTTCTGACAATATTTAGCATGGACATCCCGCCCCTCAACGCACTGGATTGCCCCCACCATCGGCCTGAGCACCATCATTGTTGGCATCTATTCCATCGCGCAATCCATTTTCCTCTACATCCCGAATATCTACCCGCGCTACGCGGCTTCTATCTTCGCAGCGAATAGCCTGGCGAGAAGCTTGTTTGCGTTCGCGGCGATATTGTTCTCGACCCCGATGTTTGAGGGCATTGGCATTGACGGGGGCGTGAGCTTGTTGGGTGGGCTCATGGTGCTTTGCGTGGTTGGAATGGGGCTGTTGTATAAGTTCGGTAAGGTGTTGAGGGCGAGGAGTAGTTTTGCTGTGGCGTAGGTGGACGAAAAGAGACAGAGATCGAGAGAAGGAAACGTCATAGAGTGTAGGATATGTGTAGGAAAAGTCCACCGCTGAAAGCAAGCAGGGACTTGAGGCGGAGTTTTCAAGGAGCGATATAGTGCATGGGCTAGTGTATGGAGTTTTAGATCTTTCCTGAGCCAATTTCTCTTCCTGCTCCTTGTTTAGAATCATATAGACGAAAGCGAAGCCATGATTCTCCCGAAATATGACTACTTGAGCATCGAGCGGCACCTTGCTGACTTTTGGAGCGTTCCACTAGACGATACAACTGTAGATCTAACTTCACTCTTCGCTCGCTATCATTCGCTGGGTGAACGTACGCATCACGTGCTATGGCGGTGCAGTGTGGTTTTCGCGCACTAGCCACATCTCCACCCAAACATCCACGCATCGTCATCACCTCGTCCCGTCCCGCGTCAACACCACATCTCCATCTCCACTCTCAATGCGTCTCCAGTAAATCGCTCTCCCGCGCTCCATGAGCCCGCTTTCAATTCCGCATCCAAAATGCTAGGCTTCACCGCCACGCGCACGCAAATAGCATCCTACCTCTTCGGCGTCGCCCTCTTCAGCATCTCCTTCCTCGTCTTCCTCAACAGCAGCATCAGCTTCGTGATCACGCAGCGCATTGGACAGGACCACGATGTCGGCGATGCGGTCGGGACACTGGGCTTCGCGGACGAGCTGGTCGCGCTGGTTGCGTGTCCCGGGTGGGGATTACTGAGTGATCGCGTAGGCGTGAGGAGTGTGGCTGTCCTGGGATATACGATTGTTGGGATAAGTTTGTGGGTTTTCGTCCAGGCGAAGAATGTGTATCCGCAGTTGTTGCTGGCGCGTTTGTTGTTTAGTTTGGGGGCGACTGCTACGTAAGTCGAGCGTTTGGAGGGAATTGAGGGGACAGGACACTGATGGGTGACAGGGCGACTATGGTTACCGCGATACTGCCTACGATGACTGTTATGAAAGTTGTCCAAGATCCGAGATCTCCTACCCGCCGCCCCAATGGCACTCAGCATGCTATGGCCCCTTCCATCTCATCCGAACTGACGATAACCCCCGCGCGGTTTCGTTCCCGAACACCACCTCCGGATGCGCCGGTAAAGAAAGATACGGCAGCCTCCACATCACACCTCGCTGGGCTGGTTGGCATGTTTACTGGGTCAGGCGCACTAGTTGCTCTGCTCATATTCCTGCCACTTCCTACCAGATTCCAGAGAGCTGGCGAGAGCGCAGCAGCAGCTGTAGCGGATTCGTTTTACGTCGTCGGAGCCATTGCAATACTGGTAGCGCTTGGGTGTTTCTTTGGATTACGGAGGTTACCTGGTGAAGATGAGAAGAGTTGGAAACGTCTCGTTAATAAAACTTCACACAAGATTCCCGAACCTGCACCGTCACGCGAGGTCATTCTGTCCTACCCTCAGTTATTCTTGGAGAGCGTTCGTCTGGGCTTCACATCGCCCAACATTGGGCTTGGATATGTTGGAGGCTTCGTCGCGCGAGCTTCATCCGTCGCTATCAGCCTCTTCATTCCGCTCTTCACTAATACCCACTTCCTTCGTACCGGCCAATGCCACGTCACGGATCCCTCCGATCCGGCGGACGTCAAAAACGAGTGTGCACGGGCATACAAACTCGCGGCTATGTTGACCGGCATCAGCCAGCTCATCGCGCTCCTCTGCGCGCCAGTATTCGGATACCTGTCTGCTCGCTATCGAAGATTTAATCTGCCTCTACTGCTCGCTGCGGTCGCAGGCATCGCCGGCTATTCTGCCTTCGGATCCCTTGCGAGTCCGGACCCTAGGAGCGAGGATGGTTCCGGCGGTGTCTTTGCTATCGTCGCTTTGCTGGGTATCAGCCAGATAGGAGCGATTGTTTGCTCGCTCGCTCTACTGGGGCGCGGCATCAACAACGAAGAGAGAAGCGAGGATGAATGGACGCCAACGGAGACCGCCAATGGTACCAGTCATCCCTCGGCGGGCGCAACACCACCGCGCAGTCCTACACTTACGCCGGCCTCGGAAGAAGCGCCGCTGTTAGGTCAGAACCTCTCAAGGCCACCTTCATCTTCAGGACCAAAGTCGCATAACCACCTCAAGGGGTCGATAGCAGGCACATACAGTCTGCTAGGCGGCTTCGGCATCCTCCTCCTGACGAAAGCGGGAGGTGCGTTGTTCGATTCTAGCGGGCCAGGTGCGCCATTCTATATGATGGCGTCGTTTAATGCGCTCTTGCTTGTAGTGGGGATTGGTGTTGCGGTGCGGGAGGTAATACGTGGGAGGAGGAAACAGGAACATGCGCTGCGATGAGATGAATGTATGCGTAAAGAACTATGCGATGCCATTTTCTTGCGCTTTTGATTGCTTCCGAGGTCTATACGCATGCATTGAAGTGCAATCCGCCGTCCCCTGCTCCACGCAAACGCAGTGCTTACGGCTAGGAGACGTCAAAAGTACCCTTGAGACGTGTGCATAGACAGAGCTATCCAGTGTAGGTAATTTCTTCGCGGCCGAATGCGAGGTACTTGTTTCTTGATACTCATTGGTCTGCGCATAGCTCCCTAGCAGCGTCCCCGATCAATCTAGCGAGGATCAAGCACCCGAGTGAACAGTGATCAAGTAAAGGAGTGAGCATCCAGTATGCGCCGACTGAGTTGCGTGTACTGCGTGATCAATATGTGAGCGTAGTGTGTTCATGGCCCGCCTCAAGGCCTCAAACCAGCTGTCCAGCGAGCATTGCCCTATTTAGGCTTGCAAACCCATAAGCTGTCATCATTGGAGTTGGGACTAGCAACAAAAGATGCTCTCGCGGGGATTCTAGGTTCTGTGTCTTACGTGGTATGACGGCGTGTCGACGGCCAGATGCGAGTGGTACTTGGGCGTGGATGATAGATTAAGCGCAAAAGTCATGCGCCGACCAACAGACTATGCTCTTTTAGGAAACATTCTACGCGCGAGCGTGTGCAGTTACCTTCGAAATTATTTATTAGTCTTCTCGTTACGGATAGCCAATTTCGAAGCGTTGACGTGAAAGTCCTGCCGTATCCGTCACCAGTCGCCGTTACGGAGACCAGCCTGCTAACTAGCGGAAGCACCAATGTGATTACCTAGGTGATCGTCCGTTCTCGATACTTCTCTACCCGGAGCCTTACAGTTGCACCAATATATTTCTAGCATCTTTAGGGCGGTGCAATATCTCTGAATATGATGCAGCGCACCCCAAAAAAGAAAGCTAGAGGTAGAAGTTTTGTTGAGGTTGTTGCCATAGTACGTGTTGGTTCTCGTTTGAGTCACTTTCTCGGGCAGTACAATATTTGATAGTCTGATCACCACAGTTTTGTCTTCGTACCTGAAGGGCACGATACTATTCACGCGCAAATCGCATGGCTTTTGGTTGGACACCAGGTTCCGGGACTGGAATTCATTCACCGTGCTCCACCTGCTACCTCCTAGGGATACTACTATACGATACTACAGTCTAACCAAATGCACTCCGGCCCAAACCCTGCACCGAGCATTGTCAGAGGAAGAGCAAATCGTCAAACCACTTCTGCCTCGTGATTCGGTTATCCCGCCCGGGTAACCGCCTCTTCCTCTTCCCGTGCAATGTCTTCCCCCTCCTCTTCTCCGCCCTCAGCCCCCTTGCCATATCGAACTCAAAGCTCGGCGCTTGAATTGCATAGTTGGGGCCGGTACTCGGATCCCAAACCAGCGACTTGAATCTGGGGCGTTCGGTGCGTGTGCAGACAGGACCCAGAGCCATTAAGGAGGCGGCGAACCAGGGTGTGCGGGCGCGGACCATTTTTCCGCGCGCTGGGTTGTCCCAGAGGTGGAGGATGACGTATGTTGTTGGGGAGGAAGAGGGCGTGGAGGATGTGAGCGGGAGCACGAAGCCTTGTGCAGGAGGCGGGCCCATGCCTGGAGGATAGTCGATCGGAGAGGAGCTTGTCAGGCAGCGAAGTGTTTGGAGCGTGTTTCGTTTCTCTTTTGAGATAGGTTCGCTGAAATTGAGGAGAGTGATACAGGGCCAGTAGCTCCAGAGGTGTTGTAGAGCTTGAAGAGCCGCCCGATCGAATCCAATGAGCGACTATTGAACTGGTGTGGTAGACAGCGCAGCGAGCTTGGAGTACAGAAACCGGGCGTTCTCCGTATCCTTCTGGGCGTCATATGCGTCCTTGTGCTCCCAAAAAGTCCAGATGGACAGTTTATCACAATCTTGCTGTTCCCGGGCCCAATGGTGACCTCGAAAACCAGGTAACGTCTTTTGTGCCCAGAGCTCGCGCAGGAGGGCTAGCCATGCTTGACCCAGCTCCTTACCGGGTTCGTGCATGCTCCAAGGTACGATGATTGTGATCCATTCACAGAGGGCTCTTTCCATATTGGCGAGGAGCGTGCGTAGAGGGAATGCGTTTAGATGAAGTGAATGTGCGGCACTTGTGTGGTGGAGGAGTAGGAAACAAATGAAAGGTCAAGTGTGCGAATTAAGTTATTCCATGAATTTGTTGAGGCCAAACACACGTCGTACCTTTGGTACCTAGGTGACGTATGAGCGAGGATAAACCACGAGGGTTCTTTTGCCTGCTACCCTTCCTTTTGGTAGCGAAATTTTTGGTGTCGCGACGACTCCCACTTCCTAGGTAGGGCGTAGTAGCACTAATAAACATGCCTTCTGCGTGCTTCCCAGATGTATATTAATATTTCCGAGCAAAGGGAAAGGCGGATATAGATGGTCATGAGACTTGTTACCGACTGTTCTACGATAGAATACGATGGAAGACCCGGAGGATAAGTGGCCAGGCATTTACTGCATCTTATCCTATGAGGTTTGGAAGGGATATGATGCGTCGAATGGTCCCATGTGCCCGCTCATAGTAATGTAGGGATGGATGTGAGTTCCCTCTGCGCAGGTTTGCATGCTTTCGCAGGTGAAACTATGAGCCGGTGTATTTAAGCTGCAACCCCAGTATTTAACTTCTACTTGCCCTCCTTGAGACTCCTGGCTGATGCCCCCTGCGGAAGCGGTAGTACCTGTACTGTACTTGGTCCTCCCACTGGTGTCGCCGACATTGACAAATACTCCGACGATGGCCCAGACAAGTTCCCTCTTCGGGCTATAGAAGGCATGCCGCAGGGATGCCGCAACTATAAGCCGTATATCTGTCAGTCTGTGAATCTAATACGTAGTAGAAGGCGAGTCATGGCACTAGGCTACCATAAACAGGACAGTGCTTCGTCGCATTCGTTGAGATTCGCTCTTCTAGAAGCTATCGAGCTGGGTAAGCAAAGTGCTTTGACGCCGGGCTCCAAACGGCGGTAAGTGTCCATAACCATAAGAGCAAGAGATCTACGATGGCATCCTTCATGGGGTTATGTCTCTTTGTTTTCTTGCTGCTGCGCAGCTTCCCATGCTTCCCACCGGCCGAACAGGGAGCGGGTTTCTGCAAGCTCCACCAGAAGTTTATCCCTTTGGCGCGTATTTTCGGCAAGTCGCTCCTCAATCCTGCCTTCCCGTGCGCGTAAAATGCTTCCGATCTGCGTACTCCGGATCCGCGTCTCGTTTTCGTTCGCGCTGTTGATCCAAATAGCCACATATCGACTGCTCAATGATTGCGCACAGCTCCATATCTGCGTTCTGATAGATGTTCTACTGGCATACGCTCTGGTGATGGCGGTGATCTCCTCGACTTTCTGCACCTCGTCGATATCGATATCACCCAGACTCTCGCCAACGTTGAAGCGATAGTAAGCGCCCGAGTTTCTTCCTCTCATGAAGAGGCTCGCGAGCTCCTCGTGCGTAGACTCGCTCTCGGTTACAGAATGAACCAATGCCTTGGCTAGAGAGATAGAGCTGAGAGGGCCACTTCCGAGCCGATGCGGTCTGCGAGTCCCGCACCCGAGGCTAACAAAGACACCGATGTCGTCAGGATCAATGTCCCATAACATCTTCGCTTCGCGGACGGCAAACGACGATGGGTTAGAGCCTCCTAAGCTCCCATCCATGTAGGTTTCTCCGTCTATCTGAACTGGGCTGAAGTACGTAGGAGCTGCCATGCAAGCTCTCATGAGGTCTACAACCGAGACGTCTGTCTGATGCATTTCACCGCAAGAATAATCTCTGAAAACCTGGACCTGGTTCTTGTTGGCTGCATAGAGTGTTACGAATCTGCAATGAACATATTTAGAGAATGCTAGTACGTTGACTTCGATGCCACTTACGTTTTGCAACTCGACTGGTTCTCTGTATAGAAGCGTTTGTTCTTGCTCCCAGTTATCTCCTCCGCAAGTCTGCTCAGACTTGCAATTAACGGAGCCGAGCGGTATCGGTTGCCTCCCCGAACGACGGCTATGGTCCGTTCGAATCCCGTTGGCTGTCGACGGAACACCCCGTGAGACAAGTCAAGAGAGAATTTGATGACCTCATCTATGCTCATTCTAAAGTGCCCCAGCATGATAGCAATAAGCCTAGGGGATCAATCAGCTTTCCGTTTCGTGTTGGTTGCTTCAATGGCTAGGGAATCTTGACTTACCCACCCATGCTTGTCCCACCTATCATATCGAAGACATCGCATGGACGGAGCTCAGGCTGGTTAAGCTCATACGAAAGCCGGGCCATGATGTCCTTAAGCAGAAATAGAGAGGAAAGAGTTCGCACACCCCCAGAATCTATAATTTTGTGAGCGTAGGGCTAAACTGAGAGATTCGTGGGTGTCACCGAAACACAGCAGACTCGCCCTTCCACTGAGTGTGAAAATCGGATGCTTTGGCGCAGAATCTTCTACGGGAGAGCCGGGCCCACTTAGCGGCGTCTGGCTTGAAGGCTGAGTAGGTAGATCGTGGATAGACCCTGATTCGTTGCTGTGAGTATGCGGCAAGTCAGTAGGTCCCTCATCAATCTCCTGGACAAGAACTCGGGGAATGGTGGTGGAAGTATCATTCCCCTCTTCAGCTATGGTTTCAGAATTCGTCTGTACCAGACCCGGTCTGCTGGGTCTGCTGCTTTCGGCATCAGGTGTGTCTTTGAAAGTCAGCCGTGGACGAGTAGATCCCGAGAGATTCAGACGGCATACCTGACTGCGCGATACCTGGTTGCCCGATGCTACCGAGCAATGGTAGGATCTGGCCCAAATTTTGAGGCAATGGGACTTGGTTTCGAACTGTGGCCGGCAGGCTCTCAAGATAAGACTGCTGATGGTCGAAAAAGAATAGCTGCACCACGGTGGGGTAGCCTTGGAGCTGGCTTAACACCTGGGGAAGCGAAGGGCCCATAGTAGAGGGCTGAACTAGGGGTTGACCTTGGAAACGCGTCAAATGTTGGTATTCTCTACATCTAAGTGAAGGAGGGAGTGAAGCAATCAAACATTCTGACCTGGCTCTGTCAGCCTCGTCTCCCACCTCAACAGCAGCCCCTTGACGTTGTCAAAGTCTCCATCTTCATCATCCTCGAACTTGACCATGTTGATATGATCAGCATTTATAGGCGTCAGGTCGTTGGCCTTTGAATAGCCAATGGCCGCTGAGAACTCATCGACGACCTTGAAGGACACTGTGAGTATTGGTCCATGGTAACGACAGCAGACTTACCCTATCGCCAAGGCCAAATGTTGCCTTCTGCTCGTAGAAAGATGCAACGAGTAATTTCAGATGCACGTAAAGGCTAATTTTACGAAAGTCCTCGGATAGATCCAGCACCTCGTCTGATCCCGCTTGAAGAGCGTTTTCCAGTTTGGGCGGTATCTCAGCGAAAGCAGCCTTTGCCATCTTTTGCAAGATTTTGACCCGGAACTTTGCGAAGACAGCGCTACCGGCATGAGGAGTCCCGAAGAACATGAAGCCCCGCATAGATGCGTAGAGCTTATCGATGTCATTCGCTCCTGATGCCTCCGTCTTCGACGCTGCCACCGCGGCCTTCGCCCTATTTAGTTACTATTACTCGGCAGGGACAACGATCAACGAACCGCTTTTGCAACAAGCCCACCGAGGCTATGGGCGACGAAGATTACCGGCCGAGTTTGCTCCTACATTAACCTGTTAGGCAACCTAATACGGCGTGGATGCTATAGCTTGGGTGTCATAGATACCTCCGCCTTGATCCTCTTGTTCGCCAATGCACCGTTCAAGGTGGAGGCAATGCCTTTAATACGGATGAAATTTTCGGTCAGCTCCGAGCCCATCCCGGCATTGTAGCCAAACGTCATCACTCGAGCTTTGGTGAACTCTTTTCGCAGCTCCCAAGGCCAGAAGAAGCCGTTGCCATGGGTCCAGGTGTTCTTCGGGTGGCCGTTTAGGCCGTGTACGAAGACAAAACTGCATAGAGCGTCAGTAGCATGGACAATAGCTGGCGGCGGACAGACATACTCGACGTTTTGATTGCCTGGTGTCGTCTTATCGAAGAGCACCGTTAGTCCCGTGTCTCGAATCTTGGGCGGTTGATCATTGGGCGGCTCCATGGTTTGGGATCTCAAAGAGGGCCTACTAGATCGTCGCCAACAAGGTGACCGGAAGCTTAAGTACGGAAGAAGGAAAAAGCGACCAGGGCGATCAGCGGCATCTCATATCCGGATTTGGGCGGGCGTGCATGAAGGCGGCGCGTGGCTTGCATGAGTGAGGCAGACTTCAGAGTAACTACTCTCTCATTCGCCCATGACTTCTGGAATGATCAAGCTGAACTTCTGCCTTGCCGACGCAATCCTCTGGCGCCAGACGGCAAGCTCGATCTGTTCAGTAGGAGTTGGCAGCTCCATCCCTAAGAATCAAGCATATGCACTGTAGACGTGAGTTCTCCCGGCCCGGAAAAGGGTGCAGTGATCAAGGATCAAGCGAAGCTGAAGAACTGTTTCCAGTTTGGGTGATGGCGCAAGGCTGAGCGCTAAACCCATAGGCTGCAAGGCGAAGCATGAGTGAATAAGCGATGTGCATGCTGTAGAGCTGAAGAATGCATCAGCTGCCGGACAAAGTGTTGTCCAACTTCTAGTGGATGCGGACGTCCGCTGTCGGAGGATGCTGGGCCGAAAAGAAAGCACAGAGCATGGACCGCCACCGGATCTGATCTTCTCGTCTTTACTTCCTTTTGCACTTTCACTCTGTTCATACCATATTGGATGCTTCCATCTTTTCAAAGATTTGTGCGCCTCGTAACGAGGACCAACATTCATGTTGACGTCCCTGTTGTTGACGTTCACGTCGGGCTTGTATGGATGTGGGGCGGGACGCGGAGCGGCTAGCGGGCGAATCAGGAATGCGGGCTCCATCTTTCTCAGCAATTCATTCCCTCAAGATTGCAATCGAGATAACAGGTCGTAGCTCTCAATAAGCTTGTCCACGATCCATTGGGCGGTTGTGGGTGCATTTTTATTGAGACATTAGTAGCTATGATGGCTTTAAGTCACGATCCCAAGCCGCAAACCTACCTAGGTACTTGACAAAACTCAGGCTAGCTGTTTTCCTTCCTCGACGCACGCAGATCGAAAAACACAGGAAATTGAGCGAGTCTGAACTTCTAATACAGTCTGGTTCCTCTGCCATACATTTCCATATACTAATGTTTGTATTTCCGCGCTCATATCTTGCCAATACCACAAATTTCCATTCATCCATAATATGTACCGTACTCACCCTTTTCGTAGGCCCGCAGATCATTTGCTGTAAAGCTTCCGGCCCAAGTTTCAGGGGGAGTGTATACATATACAACGACCCCGCGTTTATCGATGCCTGAAAACATCAATTAGCGAGTCTTCTACTTGCAGATGGTCTAATAGCTAACGTACGATGTTACCGAATATATAAGGCATCATAACTAAAGAGCAGAAGGATTGGACGATTCTTTTGCCCAATATACGACCATGGGGGACGTTGTGCGTTTTCCACCTGGAATCCGTGTACATTTGCGGAAGGATCTGAGCCAGGCTCTCGGGCTTTATCGAGAAGGCGATCAAGGCGAGAAAAATGGGCAAATCTCCTGTGAGGCCTCCATAAGCGTGATGTGTTGAGTAAGCGTTCGTGTGGTATATGTCCGGAAGCAGCATCTTTGGCCACATCTGGCCAGGCCGTTGTACGAGGAGGGTTGGATGCTGTCCCGAATTTGTCAAATACGAAGAATAATCAGTACTGTTGTGATCGAATCGGAGCGGATGCCAGATCTCGTGGCACACGGGCTCTGTGGCGTCTCCACAGAGCACCCAAAATCCGTGTCCACTACTGTAATAGACCGACCAGACACTATATATGGAAGCGCCTTGTGGAAACGAGCCACAGCGGTATATCTGCTGACTGTCACAAAGCCACCACATGCCAGATACGCCTTTCCTGGCTCTTACGTTTGCACCTGGGTCTTTGAAGGGCGCCCAGCAACCTCGATTGTCGACATTAGAGATGGCGTCTGCATGCTCTATTATCTCATCGATACGGAAGATAAATCGGGCCTGAAGCAGAGCTTTACGTTAGGGTACATTTCGCATTTTGGATGATTCTACTAACCGTACTTGTGGGGCCATGATCGGTAGGACCGCCTGCGCTCGGTTCGGGACTACGTGAGATTAACGTCAGCAATTGCATATTTCACTGGTCAGATATTGACGTACTTCATATCCCAGGTATCAGCCCTTCCAAGGGGGGAACCACGGCCCGTATTTCGATGATAAATACCGTCGTGACCAATGTCCCGTGGGCTCTGGGAGCGGCCGCGTCCTCCGAGGTTGCTCCCCACCCGGGAATGTGAAGGAAGCGTGTTAGATCTTGGGTCTGATGTCGCTTGAATTCGTTCCTCTCTGCCTTCTTCTCCCGTCAGTCGGGAAGAGGAGAAAGGTGCGATGCGACGTTGGTCCACTCGGGCATCAGAGAAGTCGTGCTCTCTAGGTTCTTCGTCTGGAATAGGACATTCTGCGGGGTCTATCGTACTGAAGTCCAGAGAGGGTCTAACAGAACGGGTATTCGAGGTTACGTTCGCTACGTGAACGGCGGCCATACTGGCTGCTGAGCCAGCACCACCATCTCCTTCCAGATAACCGCGCGGAACCGCAAAGAGAGCGAGTTGTCGCATGTGCGCGCCAACGTGCTGCATGAATTGGGGCGGCGTCACGACCACACTCCCTTCGGGTATGATATCCGGATTTGCCTCCCTCAGCTTGTGTTCCCAGTCGTGACAGAAAGGACATTCGAGCGCAGAAATCTGATCGACTGTACGCCGACCGGCTTCGGCGAGAGCATCGAGCTGATCGTCCGTTAGGTCCAGAATGTGGAGGAGCCGAAGATGCCTCTGGAACTTCTCCAGAGTTTCGAAGTTTCCCGTGTTGCAGAAGTGACAATACCATTGGACTCTATGCCTCTGTTCATGCTCAGACCAGTCGCGAAGACTGGGGAAAAGCTTAAGTTCGCATTCAGCAAACGTGCACACATAAGGCCTCAAGTCGGAAAATGCGTGCTTCCTCCAAGAGCCCTCTTTTTGAATGCTTTGAATTGTGAAGCAAAACGGGCATTCGAATGTTTCTGCACCTTTGGAAACATCGGATAGGCGAGGGAGTTCCAGACGCGATTCGGTCCCACCTTCAACAATCGACTGCGCATAGGAGGTCTGAGACAGGTCTTCCTGGAAATCTTGCTGTGACATTGTGATATCGGTGAGACGTAATGTGGAGGCTACTGTTGCACTCAATGTGCTTTCTGGTCGGTTCGCTTTGGTCTTTCCGGTTCGCAATTGCTTGAGCTGACCTGATGCTGGAAAGGCATGTTCCTCATGTGAAACATCCTGTGGCTGCCATAAATCTGATGGCTCCTTGCTGAGCTTGTTCCGGTGATCGCGGGCATACTGTAAGTATTGCCTACGCTGCGTGATAGCCTTGACTAGTCGTTCTGCGAGCCATGCCTGGTCCTCGCCGTCTAGAAGAGGAAACTTGTGGCGTACATGGTGTATATCAAACGCTGGATCGAAAGGCGCGTGATTGGACGCTAAGGATTGCGCGAACCTGTCTCTTGGACTGGCTTTCCGGATCAGAATGGAGATACGGAATAGGCTCGCGATGGTTTCTTTAGCACTCTCGAAGAACTCTTGCGCTTCGCACAAACGTGCATCCTCCTGAATAGCTGCCTGGTTGTTGCCAAAGGAATCAGTCAGACTTGTTGGCCTTTGTAGCCCAGAATTATCTGTGTCTTCTCTCTCCCCGTCCTCGAACTCGGCTTGACGATTCGGCCTATTCCCCTGGGCAATTGCGAGTACTATGAAGAGTCAGCAGCGAACGACAAGCGCTAAAGGAGTCTCACTATGATCCAGCGTATTTAGCAGGTCTGTTAGGAGCTCTTCGATTTGTGCCGCAATTTTTCTGGAGTAGCGCAACCGATAGTCAAGAGAGGCTTCGGACGGAAGTCTTTGGAAAGCTCCCAAATTCCCAGCCCAGATTCTAAATCGTTCAGACTGGTCATCAACCGCCGCCTGTTGTAAGGCTGAGCGAACCTCGCATTGCGGGTCGTCGAAGAGGGAGGAAAGCTCGATGAAGTGATGTGCGCACTTGATTGAGGAGGCCGCAAGTGAGCGCTGCATGTCGTAATCGCTGGTGCCGAAGTTCAACTTCCAGTAGACGTGGGAAGAATCGCGAAGTCGACAAGTAGGCCATGAGCCAAAGCTATAAGACGAAGCAAAATGGGAGCAAGGCAGGTCCTCTCGATTTTGGCCCCCAATCACCCATTCATCGTTCAGCCTGGTCACGTTGTGCACTGTCACACCTGGGACAGCCTGATTCACATCTCCGTCATGCCACTCAACACAGGGCACTCAATTCAACACTATGAGCGGCATTGAAATAGCAGGACTCGTGCTCGGTGCCTTTCCAATTCTTATCCACGCGCTAGAAAAGTATCGAGAGGGGGCTGAGGTGCTGTGGGACTGGTGGCGGATACAGCGCGCGTATACGAAATGGAGGCACGACCTCAACTACCACCGCATTCTTTTCGAAGGCAACATCGAACGATTCCTCTTGCCCTTGGTCGTGGATGATGATGAGCCGACGAAACTCATGGCTGACCCTGCCGGTCAAGGATGGAAAGACAAAAAGCTAGAGGGCAGGCTGAAGGAGCGTTTGCCTAGGTCGTATGATGTCTTCCTCGAAATCATGGAAAACGTCAATGAGCTCATGGAGTCTCTCAAGAAAGAACTGGGGGTTCATAACCCAAACTTCCAAGTAAGGGTCAATGAGGCAAGATTCCACTCGGCACACCGATTACTTAACGGCTGATAGCTAACCCAAGAATAGAATCACAAAGTTGTCAAGCAGAGTTCATCGAGGAAGGAAATTTTGAGTATGGCGAATGTCGAGTTTCAAGCAAAGCGGCTAAAATTCAGCCTGGGAAAATCGTTGCGAGGGAGCCTCTTTGCCCAGCTTCAGGAGGCTAATGACCGGATGCGCAATCTGCTCGAAAGCACCGACCAAATAGCAGCCGCACGGAAAAGCCGAGGCACGGAGATGGCATCCTCACTCGCCAATTGGAAGGTTAACGAATATTGGCGGCATGCGAAACGCCTACATGGAGCTTTATCGAAGGCGTGGCAATGTGATTGCGCCAATCATGTTGCGAACCTTCAACTCCAAGACGCGACGTCTGATAAGATCGAATTCGGCGTACTTTTTGATATGGGAGCCTCTCTTGGAACTCAGTGTTGGAGGGAAACCAGGATCGAGACGATGCCGGATATTGAGCAGTCACCACCAACGCCAACCGATCAGCACGCAAAGTACGCATCACAAGCCCCAAAGATCAAATTCGTCCACAGGGAAATCCACATCCGATGAACCTAATCCAGGACCTTTGTACTGCACTCTCAACTGCCCATCCGGCCTGCTTTGGGTTCCTAAACGAAGATGGACACCGCTTCGTAGTATACCCAGACTCTCAAACGTCGACTATAGCTAGCGGCGCAGTAATTACTCTAGACAAGCTCCTCCACCCCCTAACCCGCCGCAAGCGCTACTTTCTCGCGCTTACTATCGCCTCCTGGTTTCTCCGGCTTGGCTGCACCCCCTGGCTTCGCTCCCCTCTAAAGGTGAATGTCGTATTCCTCCAGGATGCAGCACCTTCAGGGTCATCAGGACTCGGTCAGCCGTACATTCGCGGTGAACTATCCAAGCATTCCTCTAGACCCGCGACGGATGCCACATCGTGCCTTGGTATTTGCCTCCTTGAGCTCTGTTTCGGCACAACTCTCGAAACCAACAAGTTTCGCAAGCAATTGCCGCTTGGAAACGCTGCTACGAAGCCGATGTTGGATCTTGCAGCAGCCCTCCAATGGAGCAAAGAGGTGGGCGAAGAAGCCGGCCCCGACTTCGCCGAAGTAATTGAGTGGTGTCTTCGCGCAAAGAGCCTCAATGATCAGAGTTGGAGAAAAGAAATGTGGAGCAACGTCATCGTTCCTCTCGACGCTTGCCACAAGCAAGTAACGCAGAGGCCTCCAATCTAATGCGTGTAAGGAGATTTGAAATGATGTCATCTAATAGTTGCGGTAACGCCTTATCTAGAGTGCTCTCGCCTGATTTGGAACGAACTACGTAGAAATACCGAGAAAGACAGATACCTTCACACTTCTATTCCTACTCTTTCGCTCTCAAAACTGGATTGGACGCGCAAATACTCAATACAACCTGAAACCCAAGCCCATTTCCGCTCCGTCGCTGAGAAGTATCGTGTCGTGGTGCATACCAAGTTCCGCTCAGTTGTGGAGAAGGCGGAGTAGAGTGAGGTAGAAATGGTCTGGACGGTGACTGTTCTGGACCTGAAGACAAAGCAGAGGAAGGTGAGGAAAGCGAAGATCTTGGTGAGCGCAGTAGGCGCACTTAGTATGCCCAAAAAGCGTGAGGTCCAAGGCAAGGAGGAGTTGAAGGGACATATGGTTCATTTTACGGTATGGGACCATTCATTTGACTAGAAGGATAAGGAGGTCGTTGTCCACGGTATCATCCTCCCTTCCCCCACCCGTGAAGTGAAGCTGAGCTGACAATTACTCAGGGAACGGCTGCTCCGCCACACAACTTCTTCCCATAATGGGAGCGGAATAACTTTGTTCATCGGGACGAATAGTCAAGAAAGGAGGTGAATGGACCGGCAGCAGCGACGCCGACGTCTTCGTGCCCTCCGGCAATGCCCGCTCAGACCTCACGCGCCTCGGCACCAAGATGCAGCTCGCCGTCAACGGCGTTGTCGACCTCCTCACCACCTTCTCGACCACCTTTCTCGACGTGCGTCTGCTCACCCGGCACCTGCAGGAGCTGTTCGACGTGAGCCATCGCATGTACATGCAGCTGGACCCCAAGACGCCGGAACAAGAGGCCAGCTTCAGGCAGATAAACTGTGACTACTTCGGCATCATGCGTATGCTCAAGGACGACTGGCCTGCTGATTGGTCTCTCCCTTTGACCCGCGCTTCCACGCCTCCGAGGGCGACGGCATCGATGAGCAGCCGCTGTACAAGGAGTGCCTCGCTGCGGATGAGTAAGCCGAGAGGTAGAGGAGACGCAACGGAAATAAGTGACTGCTCTACTAACTCGGATGCTCAGGGAGTCGGTCCCAGCTTCGACTAACAAAATCCTTGGTTAAACCGATAGTAATGCTGAGCGTAGGGTCTTAGTCTTTGGCTGCGGATATTGGATTGGGGGAAGGTGGTGGCATCCAGACAGTCACTTTCGGATGAAGCAGAAATATCCGAAATCAACAATAGAACGGGCAATTCAGCGGGATCCTCACTCACCAGCGATGCGATAGACTGCTGGCGTTTCCATGGAGGCCGTAAGTTGCTCGAGGCGTGGTATTAAGGCTGCAAGAAGAAAAGCAGAAGAGGTTATTAAGACCAATGATGCGCATGGTGCGCGACTGATTGTACAAAGGTAGGCTGACTTCCTCCCGCTCAACTTCTTCGGCTTTTTGCATTGCTATCTCTCCCCGCCGTCGTTTTCCTTTATTTCTCCTAGCATCCCTCCCACTACCCTTCCGCGAGCGTGTTAACGAACGGCGTTACACACGGAACCCTCACGTTGCAAATAAACCTCACCATTGTTGCTACCCCATCAATGCCATCGCTGGAATCCTCGTGACTACCGTGGGGCCCTCGGGCATTGTTATCTCCTCATTCGCAATCACTTCAGTGTCCTCTGCCCTCATTCTCGGAATTTGTTCATTGATAGTGTCGACACTCATTGTTGGGACGCCGGTTCGCGGGGACGGGTTGGATACGAGCAGCATATGGGCGATGTTGTTGACCTGTAATTTTGTGAGCGCGAGAACCCTGAGGGGTAATTAGGGTACGGACATGGTGAGAATTGACGCAGGTTGATGCCGCGTTGTGGAAAAATGACGATACTCGGTGCCAATGCTCTGTCAATGAACAACTTCAACGAGGGTGTTTCAGTGAAACAGGATCCCAATGCGGATGCTTCTTCGACCATAGGAATCGGATAGTGTCTCAGGTGCCGTCCTGGCGGAGCCGCTTTGCCGGGGGAGCCTGTGAGGCCGGGGGAGTCGGGAGCGCGAAGAGAGAAGACTTGCTAGACTTCTTCGACCGTCGAGACGAGGATCGAGATGGGGCCCTGGACGCCTGCTCGGCTTCCATGCGAACACGCAGATCTCCAATAGCCTGCTTGATACGTTCCAATCTGGTACTAGTCGCGTAGCTCGCAATATTCCGCAGCATCTTGCGGAAGTCCACCAAGAGCTTCATGGCGTCTTCGTCCTCCTCGGGCAGCTCAGAGAAGGCGCTCTTGATGCACTTCATATGATGGATGGTACCACGATCACCGCCGCAGTCTTTGCGCCAGTGTACCCACAAGCGGAAGGTCTGGATGTCTGAAGTCACTGAAAAGTGGCAAGTGTCGACTACGGAAGGTGTTTGGCCCGCCTCAGTGAAGAAGTGGTGGAGGTAATTGACAACGCAGGCACCATCGCGACCGCCCTGGAGCGACGCGTGATACTGTCCTTCGGAGCCGGTGTATCCTTTCCATTGGCAGGTGAGGAATGGGAAGTGGAGCGAGGAGGTGAGGGCTTTCCTATCCCATGTGTCAGCGCCTGCATGTCTGCCCACAAGCATTCATCAGCTTGGCTCTAGCATACCTGGCCAATGTCATCTCCTGGTCTTTATCTAGCGGCGCTTCGACAGCGCCGCGTTCGCCCTGGGTGCTAGTAATGTACCCAATGGCCGTGTCGGGCTGAGCCTGGGAGAGCGGCCCGGCTTCCTTTGCAGCGAAGCTGTCTGCGTCTGGCAGGTACGCAGTGTTCAAGTTGAGCTTCGGTAGAGACTGCACTAGTCGCTCGCCGCCGCCGCCGGCGGGCCCTTCGCCCTTGAAGAGCAAGTCGGCGCAGAGGAGGTCGATGGCTGCTTGCTCACCCAGGCCGGACGCTTGTGGGGCCTTCTGCGCAATTGTGGTTGCCGAAGGCGTTGTCTCGCGCTCGGCGCGCACAATCCGTTTGATGAAGTCGGCGAGCTCTGCGGGCAGGGCGTGTATATTCGCGGGGCAGATGCAGATGCCATGCGCCGCGAGCTTGGTGTAGCTGTCGATGGATTTTCGGTTCGCGGCTTCATCGTCACCGGCCATGGAGGGCTCGTCTGGACGACTGGACTCGCTGGACTCGCTGGACTCGATGCACTCGCCGAACTCGCTAGGCGATGCCTCGTCCAGGAGCTGGAGGTTTCCGGGCGTGAGCGGCAGTGGCGTGGATGGCGCGAGGCTGACGGAAGGCGGGACAGACTGGCAGCGCTGGGCCGGGTGCACGCAGCGACGCTTCCGGCGCCCAAGACCGGGCTCGAGGGGGACGGGCTCTGGTTCTCGCGCACGTTTCCGCGGCATGAACGGCTGCATTAACAGGGGAGCATTGGCGTTGAAAGAAGTGGGCAATGTCGGTGAGGATGAGGATGAGTATGAGAGGAGGAGAATGACGTGGTGTCGAGATTCGCATGACATAATCCGCCAAGACCTCGCTAAAGGCGCTAAATGTCTTTGGAGTCTCGAGCATCGTCAGGCTTGCGCGCGATCACTCTGGCGCCCTGCTGAGGGAGAACCAGTTTACGACAAAATATACTACATAACGCGTACGGGAGATGTAGCTTGCGGCTGTCTGTCTTGGCAAGCTGTTTCTTCCTCTTGCGTTCCGTTCTTCCTCTTTTCTTATACACGAGATGACCTCGTCTCATAACTAAATGAAATAAAATATTCGCTTTTCCCTTTCAACAGCACCCTAGACGACTGCCAAAGAAAGCCCATTCTATCGTGAAGATACGCGGAGTCTGGTGTTGCGTGCTGATCCTACTACCGAGGGCGAATGTCAAGGTCACGTGAACCTTTCCAACACCCGACTCAACTGTTTATATCTTGTTCTCCGGCGCCGAGGCTCACAGCAGAATAAGGTATACGTAGCCACAGCCCACAGTCCACGCGTGATGCCCATGCCCATGCATTAGCGCTGGTTTCTATGGCTCGTCCTCGAGCTCAGATGTGAATGTGAGTGAATGACCACAAGACCATATAATATACGTGGAGCGGCCGCAATAAGGAAGCTGGTCAGATACTTGAGATGGAGATCGCAGAGGAGACTCGAAGAAGACCGAGGACGAGTGCATTCGCAGCCTCAGGAGATTAGAACTTATAGCTAAAACCCTTGGAAGGCAATTCGCATGAGTCTATTCACTAGATTGGAGCTCCCAAGCGCCTTGACCCCCTATGATGTATGTATGCGGAGTAAATATTTGCCGTTCCGGTAGGGCATAGTCTATTTAGGCGTTTGGCGATGCAATCGTTAACATGTTCAATGTGCCTCGAGGACAACCCACGGAACTACCATGGCGTCACCACGCAACTCCAGCGACGAAGACTGCACAGCCACACCCTCGTTTCGCTCGTCGTCTCCCACAACACCTGCTACGATTCTCTCTCCCACCGACCAAGCCCTTCTTGTAGTTCAACAAATCTGCAGCGGTACATACCAGAATTCCTCAGACAGTTTCTACATTACTCTTACGTCCGACGAGTACGCTGTGTTCAAAGCGGAAATTGAGAACGATCCTAAGCTCCACTCCTGGGCCATCGACAAGCTGCGTACGGATTGGACCGCGAAGACCGGCGAGCTCGTTATCCACATGGCTACCACCATGCGTGATATCGCTGCTACGGAAACAGAAGATACAGTAATCAAGCATGTCAACAAGCTCGCTTCCGAAGCCCCAGCCGACTCCGCCATTCCCACCATTGCCGCGAACATCGCGCCTCGATATACCTCCAGAGTGGACCTGCCTGGCCTCGGTCCCGGCAGCTACAAAAGCCCCGATGCCTCCACACGTTATAAAGGGTACAAGTTCCCTCCAATCACCCTTGAAGTAGCCTACTCTCATGACAAGTCCAGAGTGGAAAAGAAGGTAAATGAGTATGTCCTTGGCTCAAATGGCGACATAAAGGCTATCATTGGCATAAGCTGGCGTACCAGAATCCGAACAAGGCCACAAGCGAAGGAGCTCGCACCGGCGACCTAAATGAAGCATCATACTGCATCTACCGCGTGTACGCCACGGAACACACCTACGGCGTCAGTGAAACTGGCTGGACGCTTTTCCGCGATACTGAGGGTGAGCTGGTTGATGGTGCGTTAGAACTGTGGCTCTTGGACTTCTGCCCGGCCGATGTCCTGCATCGCGACTCTCCCGACAACAAACTTATTTCCATCCCCCACATTACTCTCTTTGACATTCTGCTCTACGCTGAGGAGGAACACGAGAATGCGCGGAGGGGGAGGGTAGTGGACCCAGATGAATTCCATGGAAAGACCTTTGATGGTGCCTTCATTCGTTACGACACGGCGACCGCGCCGACGGCACCGAGGCAGATACCTCCACGCGGCAAAGATGGAGCTAGGACTGCAGGTCAAGGGAGCGCTAGCAAACAAACTGGGGAGTGAGATGGCGGATGGGGCAAAGGCAACAAGAACTTCGGGTTCGACAAGGGAAAGTGAGCGAGCTTGACATACAGTGCTTAGGGTTTACTACGGGAAGGGCTATACATGGAACTGTATATCTAAGCAACAGGTTTGGGTTAGATACTCTATGTGTAACGAGCTGGTTAGCTATTTGAGCTTAAGTTAAATTGATGATACGGAGATTGCAGGCTAAGCATACCGGTTCTCTAGAATGGTCCCGACAGGGCTGGGTCTATCACCTAGTTCCTGGAGCCCGGAAGCGAGGTGCAGCAGGCGGATAGGGCTGTGGATTGGGGCCGCCACATTCTCGGTGTTGTACTTCTGGAGAGCTGTGTAGAGGACTGCAATACAGAGTTCGTTCTTTTCCCCCACCAAAGAATTCTTGCGTGGCATAGTTATCGGTTGTTGGTTGCTGTGCACGGCTGTCATGGGAAGTTCTATTCAAGATTCCACTGCTCTCAAGGTTTGACGATCGATTCACCAGTCGAAGCTCAACAGCTTCCATTGATGCCGCCTCCTCCTTGGGCGCCTAGAGTGTTCCACAGGCCGGTTCCCTCCCTCGCTGATTTTCTTTATCCTTCTCGTTGGTCCCCTCTTACGAGTTCCCACGCTGGGCAGTACAACGGGACCGACAGGACTTGGGAGGCATGAGGTGTAGCTTCCGGCTTGTCGCAGAGCTGTTACCATGCATACTTTTACGATACTGGCAACGAGCCTTCCACTGTATCTCTACCGGGGTCGCCACAACTCCCTTTTGGCCATTGACTTTTTCCGACCATATCATCAAAATGAAAGACTCCCTGGTTGCGAAGTTGCCAAATGGCCATGCCTTTAGCTTCCAGCATTCTTTTCCCGCCTTCGCGCCCACCCCACCGATATTGAAGAGCGAACTTCAGAGTCCACCATGTGGCAGTCGGGCAGCATGTTTGGCTGCAGTGGCATGGCAATTGGACTCTGTAAGGAGTGATACGGTTCGCAAGGAATTTTCAGAATCGCGCAACTCGACAACTTGCAGTCCGCCACTCGTTGTGGTGGGATAGAGGGTGTAGCTAATACAGCACATTAGCGGCCATCATCTGTGATACCCTGTTCTCTTCTCTTAATTTTGGCGTCTTTTGAGTCCTTTTGTGCGTAGGCAGAAGCTCTGCTTTACCGTTGCGCAGCATAACCTCTATAGGTTGGTGACTCGAAACGAGAAAAATCGATCAATCAATCAATCAATCAAGCGAGCTTGCGCAAAGTGGCGTACCAACGAGGGCAACGACGCTGGACGATCGTAGGAAAGGCGCGGCTACCCGCACCGACACCTCGGGGTGTCCGTAAGCATGTCCACAATCAACCTGCCCGAGGAGCGCTGCGCTGCTGGTGAGCAAGCTAAGGACTCACGACTGGGTGGGAGCACGCAACCGTCTCAAGCCCTTCACCATGTCCAACCCTCACTCATCGCTCAAAACGCCATCGGCTCTATCACGCATTTCGACATCTCCCTTGCTACAACAACTCGTGGTTTCGATATGAAGATGCTGCGAAAACGCTACGGGGCGACACTCTTCTTGATTGGGGTGCGTTTTTGATGCTGTCCCGATACGTGCGGCGCAGCTCCGCTGGGGTTGTGATGAGGACTTCCATCGACAGTAGAAGCGAATGGTTGAAGGACTACGAAGTTCAAATGTCAGTCAGGCAGCTGTCAATATTCCATGATCCGCCATACCGGGAAGGAGGTTGCGGGACAGCTGGTAGCAGCTGTGCCGTGGTTTTCCGTGTCTGAGAGCTTCGTCTGAGCGAACAAGACTTTCCATACGACTGTTCTAAACGGGCGAGGAAAGAATGGCTAGAGGGTTCTCTTTAAGGGGACGCGAAGATGAAGCAGCCTTCAAATATGGCCTTCGGCAAATTTTCCGAACCGGCAGAAAGGCTCAGGTGACCAACGTGAATACTCCACCCTTCATGACGAAGGACGTCGCGAGGCCGTGGGTTTCATTTAACAAGGCTGCCTCGCCTCTCCGGGATCTTAGGCAATGCCTGCAAGAGATCATCAGACTCATCGTCATAACCATGCAGATATACATTCCCTATCTTAATAGCTGTGGGCTTCCAGAACTTGTGCCAAAAGCAGAGAGGGTAGGGCTTGTGCCTTTCCCAGCCCAAGACCTGGCCCAAGACCTGTTCATGTATATGACGTGTACAGCATTTGCCACTTTCCCGTGCTTCGGAACCTCCATCAATCAAGCTGGCCATCCATATAAAACCAAGGGTGGTTGAGTATCTCGTCGGCGGTCGGCCGCCTCTTCGGGTCGTAGACAAAAATCTTAGACAAAAGGTCGTAGAGCAAGGCAGCCTCGAGTTCCGCGATCTTAGGCATTGCCTCTAGCAGCGCGTCCGACTCGTCATCGTAGCCAAAGAGGTAGACATTGTCTACCTTAGTGGCCGTAGGCTTCCATACCATATTCGAGAAGCAAGAGGGAAACGGTTTGTTGTCGTCGTCCCACACTTTATGCTCCGGCCAAGTCGTGCCCGTCTGGACGACATCACCCTCCGGCTGGTCCCATATCTTGTAGACTAAATCCTTCAAGGACCGTTCGCCCTCCCATTTCTCGAGCCGCTTACCTTTGCTAGGATCCTTTGTTGGCTGCCCGTCGTAGTCCCAGAGGGTATCCTGCCACTCAAGAGGCATATCCCCTATGGTTTGGATAATGATCCTCATCAAATCCCCAGGAGAAGTGACCTCATAGTTTGAAAATGGGCCCTCCCCGGACCGGAGTCGAAATATGCAACAACCGAGGGCCCAGGCATCGCTCCCAGGGCTGGCTGGCAAGCCAACTGCTACCTCTGGTGCCAGAAACTCAACTGGAGTACCCAACATCTTTTCAGGCGGGGATGAAATGGGGAAACATTGGTCGAAGTCAATGAGCCTGACATCGTTGCTGATGATGTTTGATTTGGAAGACAGAAAGTCGAGTGTCTTTACGATGTATCGTGGTGCCTCGGGGCCGGTTGCCTCCCCAGACTCAGTTTCTAGCACCGCTGTCACAGGCGATCCAAATAAGCTGTAGATTTCAGTTTCCCCAAGGCGGTCGATATCCAACAGGGTGAAGAGAATGTTCGCGGTTGTTACATCTAGATCTGTTAGGATTGGCCAAGGGGGAGCGGGGGATGGAGCTCTAGGCAGGCAAATAACTTACCTCCGTGACACAGACCTTGCGCGTAGAGGCCAGCTACCGCTTTTGTTGCTTGATAGCTAGCCCTCCGAGAGAGCCATGGTTTGAGTCTAGAAGTGAAGCCTGAAGACAACCGAGACGAAGATGGGCCGAAAACGGGCAAAACGAAACATAGATGGCGACCGTTTGGTCCTTCAATAGTAAACCGTCGATGCTCAGCGACAAATGTCAGTTCACTGGAGAAATTCGAGGCGGCCCGGCGACTTAAGAGACTCTTGTCACCAATTGGTGTAGAATGTTCCGCGACGACAATTTTCAAAGCCACCCACTTCTTCTCGCTCTCGTCTCGCGCTAGCCAAATAGTAGAGAACCCGCCGGCACCAAGCTTGTGCACAATTCTATAGCGCCCATCATCGTAGGTGTCACCCAAGTGAACGGGATGGAAGCCGCCTAGCGCGTATCTCTCAATATCTTCTGTATCGCCGACATTTGGGAGGAGGAAGCGCGGCCAGAGGGATTCGTCATCCTCCTCTTCATAATTGCGAGGCGAGAACATCTTAAGAATGCCGACAAACTTAATGCATAAATATGCAACGAGAGCGAGAGATTTTGGGGGGGTGGATAAGAGTGTAGGGGAGAGAGTGTGGGAGAAAGGAAAACCACGGACGTAGAAGGTAGTGGATGACTAAAGGGCCCTAGCTCTGATTACGTAATAGAACTGAACCGCCAAGAGTCGCCTGGTGAAACACGATGCTGGAAGGATAGGACCCACAACGGCGCGAAGCCATCAAGTTCCCTGGGATAGAGGCCGTCTTGCGAAGCCAGGCGCCGCTCAGTGGATTCCGACAGGTTCGGATGTTCCAGGCCGACAGTACGCGTGGTGGGATGGTACGAGTTATACCGGAGAATCGTCGTGACCCTGACAGCGTGTTTTAGTTGATGCAGAGCCTAACAATAAATTGTTATCCTGTCTGATGCCAGCTACCTGGTTTAAGCACACAGGGTTTCAAAGCAATATCGAACACGGCCAGCGTCCTCGTACCCTCGCGTCGGCCTTCGCTCGATGCGCGGTCGAGCTGTTCCCTTATCCAATCGCATAGCGCTGGCCGGTCGACGTACGCTTTGACGGGTTGGAGCGAGGTATGCGCGAAGTGCGCCGCATAGTCGGCGCAGGCTGAGGCAGGGGGATCTGGCGGGCGTTAGATCATAAGCTCGTAAGTACAGGGCGCCGTTGCGGAGGTGGTGTACTAATGGGCAGCTTGCAAGGCTGAGCCGCGAGGCTGAACGCTTAGCCCCGAATCACGCCGGCGCTGGTGGCTGTGTGCTTGAGCTCCAACACGTTCTAACATCAACGGGTAACTGCAAAACTATCTACCTTCCTCTATCGGAGCTTTATATTTGTTCAGGAATCGGAAACCTAGCCAAGCGCATGAGATGAAGTGCTAATGCAAATAAAGACTTAGTTCAATCGCCATACCAGACCACAGCATTTGCTTGGGATCCTCTTCTTACATGAACTAGTGCCGGCACGCTTTCGAGAGCGAGACTGACGCGACTTGGGACACTTGCGTGATTGATTGTAGTCGAAAGCGAGCTGGTCGAGCGAGGTATCGGTGTCATCCTGCACTATCCCATTGGTGTCGTCCTGCGAGGTAATAGTCTCCTGGCTTTGAGACTCGTAGGCTGCACCCGCCGAAGTTTCGGACGCCTCTCTGTATTCCGCATTTGCCGTCACAGTAGCTGCGCGACTGCCGTCGCATTTGCTTGCGCGATTGCTAAGTCCCTCCACTCCTTCGCCAGATCTCTTGACGTATCGAGAGGCACGCCGCAGCCGGGGGTCGCACACAACATCCCAGGGTGGGCGGGTCTTGCGAGGGCTGGGCTGCATTGGCCTAGGCAGGTACGTGCATCTTAGGCTCAACGAGCCTTCCGCGGTGCACATGAAGCATGCAGTGCCGTAGCACTCCATGGCACCGAGAATTTGAAGGTGACCTCTCCTATCCACACTTGACTAGGTTGATCGAGGATGCAGGTGGTTTCATCTCATCGCCCATATGAGCGAAGATCAAATCGACGGCTGCACGGCCAAGAGCGCCTTCGGAACGGAGTCCATCTAGGATCGGTCGGAGGACGCATAGACCGCAATAGAGCTGAAAGGGTTAGCATAAAGACATATACCGCTGCCTGAGGACACTCACACAACCGCAGAAGGGAAGGAAGTATACGCTGTTATGGCCTTGGGGCGTTCTCTTGCATCCAGCGCAGTGAAAGGTAGAGTGCGACGCAGTTCCTGCAATAACGATAAGCAACGGAAGCCATAGGAAAGGGAGGGGTTTTCGTATCTAGCCGTCTTCTTTTATTCCTCTGCGGTGTCGGTTCTTCGATGGAGTCTGCGATCGTGATAGAGTCGCTGGAGAGATCAATAATGTCCGCTATGTCGATGGAGGTCTCGGTGTAATCGGCAACAGTGGAGTAAGAGATGAAAGACTTGCGGAGGCCAGCGAGAGGACCGGAACGGTTTATATAGATGAAGTCGATGCCTGCAGCAGGGTGCAGCATTGACTTCCAAGATTTCAACGTATCATATATGCTGTGGCGAGCCACGTTGGTCTACTGCGCCTCGAGGTGGGCGGCCCATGAGGGACGCTTCAGGGAAACGCCGCCTGGCATCCTTCTCAAGCCACTGGGCGGACCTTCCGAAGTCTCCGCCAATTGATCAATGCATCTTCTCTTAGTGCATGAAAGAAGCAGCTTGATCAACTGACGCTTAAGGCTCATGGTTCGAACGCTAATCACGCATGATCAAGGTGGCAGAGTCGAGACGATGTGTTTCCGGTTTCAAGGTCACAGCAAGCAATCGCGCTGGAAGAGATGCAAGGGCTCGAGCGATGCAATTTTCGGGCTGGCGATGTGCTGATGTCAAGCGGTTGGACAGGTCCTGCCCTCAGGACGCTCAGCTATCTCACTCTACCTCTATATAACTCTCTTTCTTATTAATATTTTACCCGCTTTAGTTCTTACATGCTCGTTAAGAAAGAACCGCGACGCGTATCTATGTCTCTAGTAACTTTCTTTGCTTACCTCGTGCCTCTAGTCTCTTTAATACCCTTTATCCCCTCTCTTAACACCACACAACAAGTATAGCAATCAAGAACCATAACGAACTTCTTAACTCTGGCCGCAATAACCAAGAGAGGGGAAATAATGGTTCGCACGTCGCAGAGAGCCCAAGCTCCAAGATCGCCATATGTCGTCGCCCGGCGTCGAGCCTCCGAGGTGAAAGAGGTGGACTGGCCTCCACGATAAACCCTTTCACTCCGCTCACCTTTCGCAATCTCCCAGCCTCCTGTAATCGTGCAATTTCTCAAGCCCTCGCCTAGCAGTCCTTTCGCCGCACAAATCTTTTTCTCCCCGTCAACCACGTCTTGCACCGCACATCACAAAGCAGTCTCACTAACCTTTCGCAGGGACCCCACGCGCTATGCGCATACACTTCGCGAGCAAGACAGCAAAAACGACAACGTCTACACCACTAGCCAAAAGCCACGCTCCGAAAGCAAATATGCCGGGCGCCAAACCCGTCCTCCCACCCCTCCCGCCAGCCGCAACCCAAGAAGCCGTCTCCACCACGCCCTACGCCCACGACAAAACCGAAGTAAAGACCGCCCTGCTCGGCATCTCCAGCGACCTGCTCGGCATGCAAGACTGCACTCCGCTCTTCGGCACCTCGTCCCCAGACCCGTACGCCCCCTCCCTGCAAACACTCCACTTCCGCCTCGAAAACGGCTACCTCGCCCCGTCGCCCTTGCAAGCGCACACCAGCGAGGAAGCCCGCATCAAAGCAACCGTGCATATCCGCACGCCCAAGAAGCCGCTGGCGCGCCCGCTGGAGGACTTCGAGGACCTGTACTACGCGATGCTGGGCGCCATCAAGCACATGCATCAGATTCTCGACATGCGGCTCGGCAGCGGGTTCAACGCGCTTCATGATTCGCTGTTCGAGGGCGGGATCACGATCCAAGAGTCCCATGCCTGGTTGGCTGAGCAGTGGGATATCTTGAACCGGCCGGAGCTCGTTAAAGCGCTTGATGACGCGATTCGGCGCTCGCGCGTCAAGCATCTTCACCAGGAGCTGTTGGCGCAGCTGCACGCGGGCGACCTGACGCAGGCAGATGCCGACGAGCTGCTGGCGGATCTGTATGATCCTGAGGAGTACGACGGCGTGCAGGGGTGTGCGTGGATTGGGAGGTGGAGCGCAGCGATGATTGCCGGGTGGTTGGAGGAGAAGTATCGCATTGTGCTGAAGGTGGAGAAGCAGGAGGCGGGCAAGAAGGAGAGGTGGGAGAGGAAGATGGCGAGAATTGAGAGGGCGAATAAGGAGAAGGCGGCAAAGAAAGAGCAGGAGATGCAGGAAGAGCGGGAGCGTCAGCAGTTCGAGACGGCGGAGCAACAACAGAGTGGGATGTTCGACGGCGCGGGCGACATACAGACGGAGAGGATGAAGCAGGGACAGGAGCAAGAGCAGGGACAGAGTGATGTGGAGTGGCATATGAAGACGCAGCGAGTGTCGCAGTACAGTCAGTACCTGCGCGGACTGGCGAGCTACGATGCACGTCAGCTGATGAGCTCGATCAACACCAACCTTCAGCAAAGCCTCTACAACGGTAGCAGTGGTCCGATCCAAGAGGAGGGAGATGGTGATGTCCATATGAGCGACGCTTAATTTCGAGGGCGTTTCCAGAACGACTGGGAGAAGAGATGACGAAACATGAGTCAGTACGAAGCGATGAGATAGAATTGGCGGCCGTAATGTTGAGAGTTGTCTACACAAAGGTTAATAGTTGACCTCCACACTTGGGTAGAGTTTCCATACCCTTGCTAATAACTAATATCATCGAAATGTCAAAAATAAAGCTATGATCCGACCCTTGTGATGCTTTTGGACTTCGTGGGCTAGCACACCCGCCCATCATCATTGTCTGCCTGAACTTGGAAACCCTCTCAGATAGCTCCGCGATACCTACGTATTGTGAGCTACGCCACATCCAAAACTTTCTGCTATACTTACAGTTACGGCACGCTTCCCGGAAGACAAACAGGTGGCTCATTCGTCATTACCAATGTACGCCGGATCAACCTCAATAACCGTTGAAGCGTCCTGCTCTTCAATGCGCGGTAAGGGTGGTATAACCTCAGGAATGTGCCATTCCTTCGTATTCCTCTCCTCCACAGCCTCGCTATCCACACCGTGACACCCTTGCAGGGTCAAGAACTGCCGTCTGTCAGCAACCCCGCCTTCCCGTATCTGCACGCAACTCGCTTACCTGCAGCCTACCCAACGTCCCAATACAATCCAGGCTTTCCTCATCAAGCTGGCCACCGCACCTCATGACACCCAGGATACGCAGCGCGGCTCGGCCCTCCCACTCGCCTCCTAGAAAATCCCACAGCTCTTTGCCGATCAATGCACACCTGCAGAGCCAGAGCTCGCGGCACCAACGGCTTTGGTTGAGAAGCAAGGAGAGCTGCGGTGTGGTGAGCTCACCGGCTTCGATTCGTAAAGCGTTTAGCCGTGGCGCGAAAGTCGCCGTGTTGGTGAGGATGTCCCATGCATGGCGCTGCTCGACCTGTTGGGCTGCGAACCGGCTGCGTGGCACAGCGCGCACGTGAGGGAAGTCCTCGATGCGGATGGATAGGGCCCGGAGTGCTGATAGGCTGGATATCGCTTTCGCAACCGAAGGTGTAAGTGTCCAGAGTGACAAATCTAGGTTCCGCAGGGTACCGCCGTGCCGGATCAGAATGCTTTTTGTGAGCGCCGTATGGAAGCTGAGCAGGGTCATGTAGTCGAAGATCTGGGCGTCCGGAATTAGAACAGAGACCCTGTACGGGTCATCGTCGTCAACTGACTCCTCTGAGAGGAAATCACTCTCGATGCTGGATCGTCGGCTGCTTTGACTGCTCCTGCTGCTGCTCGGATATGAAAGTGGTTGCTCAGGCAGCGAGAAGGCAGAAGCTAGTTTCTTAGGCTGCAGATACTGCGTAGCTGCGAGATTGCTGATGATGCCTGAGACTCGGCTCGGATGGATGCCTAGAGAAAGAGTATGAAGGCTGGAGGCTGCTAGCGACTGAGAATACCGACATGTCTGGGAGAATCTGAGGAGTGCTCGAACCGGGAGAAAAGCGAGTATATGAACAAGAAGTTCAGGAGGGAAGTCCAAAAGTGAGCGAGTCATGTTGGGTTGACCACATCCGACGATTCTTCTTGATGGACTCCTTATATGTCCTCGAGGAGGGCTCGAATCATGCGGCCCCTTGCGTCTCTGAGGGCGGCGTGAAGAGGCGGCGTGGAATGGCGTAGCTACCGGTGAAGCTGGACACGTTGACCAACGGGATCCGAAGAAATGTGCGTCTTGTAGGCTCGCTTATGCTGAAGGACGTGAAGTTGTTGATATATCCCAGGGAAGGACCAGCGTCTGCCACTCAACTGACATTCAACGTATTCCAGGGTTGCACAACGTCAGAGATGCTGCAGAAGGCATCAAATATGTGCAGGAGGCACGCCTATCAGCCATAAGTAGGCCTACCATGTCGGTTTTGCAGGTGCTTGCCTTGCGCAAGTACCCGTCAGGTCATGGTGGCGTTTGACCAAACAAAGCGTCTTATCTGAGCCGATTGCGTCGATATGCTCGTATCTAAGGGCATACGTGATCGCAGAGAAGCTGGGCAATCCTGAGGCCGCAGATAGCGTGAAGACCTTGATACTCAACTCGACTCAGGATGACGTGCCACAAGACGATTAGCGGGAATCAAGGCGCGCCAGCAGGGTCCAGATGCCGTATCATTCAGCCTTATCACGACGGGGCTGCACCCGGCCCAGTCCCGCCTGCTCATCCTCTGCCAATCTCAAGACGGCGATGCGCGCTCGAGTCGGCGGGGCACTGTCCAATGATGAGATCTGCTGCGCCGTTGGTGTCACGTGCACGATGAGACTCGAGGGCTTCGCAGAGTCACCAGAAGCTGCACAAGTATGGCACAACGTTCAGGGAAGCGCGCAGCTCGTAAAGAATCAAGACAACACGGTACTAACGTGATGGGAGTTGGTGTGCATGTGCCCGAAGATGGGGCACGGTGGGGCGCACGCGCCATGGAATGGAACGATCCAGGTCCTCGATCGCAAGCCACACCATGTTTTCCCAAGGAAATACGTCATGCAGTAAACCCATATGCCCTCACGTTCCAGCTCTTCGTCCCGAATTATTTTTCCGCCAGGTGCCAGTATAGACGCCATTACATCATTGGTCAAGAGCTGCTAGTGACATTGCCACGTCCTGTCAAGCTTTGACCCCGTCACGTGTATGCTTAGTCGGGCCTCATGATAAATACACGATTCTCGGCCCCCCGGAGCAACCTTCTTCGCCAATACCAACCATTCGACCAGGATATAAGAACTTCGATGATTCCACCCGCATTTTGTCCTGATCTTTCATAATGCCAATGTGGACATGTGACTTTAGCGGTTGCTCAGAACCTGCAGTGCGCACCGGTGACTGCATCCTCTGTAATCGTCATCTTTGCTCCTTTCATCTCGGTACTCCTTTTCATCAATGCCCTCCCTGGAAGGTCTGTCCTCCACTTCTACTATTATACTGCTAATATATCTAATACCATGGCAGGATGCGGAACGCTACGATCCCGCTGCCCGGGAAGCAGAGGAAAAAGAGATGGAAACTCTGTTCAGAAAAGTCAACAGAAAAGCTCTTGCCGCACGTGCGAGTCACCTATGGGGTGGTATTCATTGTGCTATCCCTGCACTTCAGCATAATAGAACTAAACAAAGCTCTATTATGGGTGGTATGAATTATCACGTCGAAATTGTATTCGAAGATGGCGTTGTTTGGTTGGCGCGGATTCGCCGTTTCAATGCTACATCTCCTCCTTCCCTTTACGAGACCACATTTTCCAGAGCGAATTTGCCACGATGAAGTTTCTCGAGAAAATAGCAGTACCGACTCCGAAGGTATTGGACTTTGCTCTGGAAAGCCAGGACAATTCAGTTGGCGTTGGCTACATGCTAGTTGAAAAGATGGCGGGTACATCGCTGCGATGGTCGATTGCTTCCCCAGAGCAAAGAAGAAGGGTTGTGGAGCAGCTGGCGGAGATCTTCATCGAACTTCGAAAGCATCCATTCGACAAAATGGGATGTCTTGATACTTCTGGTTCTTGTCATATTGGGGCGTTTGCTCGCGAGTCTCTAATGGATTTTGATGGCTCCCGAATGTTGCCTCTTGGCCCATACTCCACACTCCAGGAATATCATACTTCTTCGATCCGGCTCATATTGGACCTTATCATACGAGATGAGATGTACTCTCAAAATCCTATCGACGCATATCTTGTTCATCGGTTTCTCCTCGACCTTGTTCCTTCAGTCCTTCCTTCCCGGGGCGATGCTGGTCATCAATTCTTTCTGAAGCATGCGGATGATAAGGGTGACCACATCCTCGTCGATAAGGACTACAATATCACCGCCATCATCGACTGGGAATGGGCTCACACTGCCCCGGAAGCGATTGCTTTCAATTCGCCCATAGGACTCCTCCCAGTAAACGAGTTCTATGACGGCCTTAACACATTGGGAGAAGAGGAGAAGTTGCTAGCTGAGACGTTTGAAAAAAATGACGAACTAAGACTAGCGCAAGCTGTGAGAAACGGGCGATTGCAGCATCGGTTTGCGTTCTGTTGCGGATATGACCTTTCTGATTGGAAAGGATTCCTTGGCCTTTTCAAAGGGTTAAGGGATGCAGTTAGCATTGACCAGGGACTGGAATGGGAGGAATGGAAACAAATCGCATTGGAGCGCTATCAAAGCGATGGGGGATTGAGATTTTTACTATCCAAAGCGCAAAGAATCAATCAGTAATTAAACGCCAGCATCACTCAATAGCCGCGGCGCAAGTCACCGAATGAATGAATGAATGAAGGATGTCGTGCCTTCGCCTCCACTAAGATCTCAATAGCAGGAACAGCATGCTCCAAACGAGTGTCAAGGTGGCATCTACCTCCAGTGAATTGGTTGGTGTTACTGGACGTCGCTATTTCTTCAAAGAATTGATTTATTTAACACGGTATGTCGCTTGCGGCGGTCTCGAGACTTTCCGTCCGGTTGAACAGTACGGAGGACAGTTCGCACCATCCCAAGGGAAACATAAATCGAGCAGTCGCGACAGGTTGTATCAACCGATGATCAAAGTGTCTAAACGAGCGATTACTCAGTATGGAGTGATAAACGAGGGGCAGAGTAGGGGGTAATTTCGGTGGACGTATACCAATTTCGCGTTCGCAAATTTCGTTGATGGGCGTCGGCATTGGATGGCGCAGGCCTGGGCTCTTGAGACGGCGCATTGTTAAGGGTGGTGAACTCTCCTGTTCGTAAGTCAGAGTCTATCGCAACCTTCATAGAGCGCCCCCGGGGCAGAATGTAGGATGAAAATGGCTTTCATACCGGCTCGGTAACCCCAAAGGTTGTCGGTAAAAATTCAGTCCCGTGTACCATTGACCGAAATCCATCCGAGATTTTCCGGCAGATCTAAGGTATCTCCGTTCTCTCCAGATTCTATCAATGCTGATGAATACTACTTAGAAAATCAAGGAATCTTTGAGAGAGGATATGTTAAACTTACCTAGGTCAGTCAGCGCCTCATTGGCCTTGTACCCATGATGAAACCAGCATTTCTCAATGACGTTTCTTAGGGGCCGCGGCACCGCAGACAAGTCAGGATACTGCCGGTCGCGCAGTTTGCGGCGGATTTCTCCACTGGTCTGATCATTGAAGAGCCTTTTATCAAAGTACACCTCGTAGAGCACCGTGCCAAGCGCAAAAACGTCATCCTCTGGCCCCGTCTCATGGTCGATCCCGTAAGAGTCCGGGTGGGAGTAGCGTGAACCAGCGGTGACAGTGTTCTTCAAGCCTTCCATGCCGGACCCGGCAAAGTCGCATAGGACCAGCCTACCGTCGTTATGGATGAGAAAATTATGAGCCCCAATGTCACCGTGAATAACATGCAAGGAATGGATATAGTCGACAGCTGATGTGGCATCATTGGGCCAGCTGATGTGGAAATTATTAGAAAGATTCTCACGATATATAGCAACAAGAGATAAAAGTAATACGAACCGGGATCGCTCAGTTATGCCGATTGTATCCAGCTTCCCGAGATTGTCCATAAGCGTTCCACGGGGATGAAATTCGAATAAAAGTCCACCTTTGAACAGCTCGTATTCCGTAGGGACTGTCCCGTAGTATTTAAGAATGTTGGGATGTCCCTTACTCCGACTCTGCAAGTACTCATATATCTTCCTCTCGGAATCCTGATACGGGTTGACGGGAGGAAATTGCTTGACAACAATATTAGTGCCTGTAATGTGGAGGACAATGCCTGCTACTCCAACGCCAACGGCCTTTAAATTGGTCCTGGTGATGGTGGGCGGGTCAAACGGAAGAGTGTCCATAGGAGAGACCTGACGCGTTCGAGAATACAAAATAGGAGGCGGCTAGTTTGCCATTCCCGGGAATTAATTATAGGACGTAGACTTGACGCCACCTGAGTGGCCTGTAGTTTTCGAGCCCCGTCGCTAAAACTTGACGATTTCTGGTGAGGTGCGTCTGGGGCTGCGCCGCGCCAAACGACGTCTAGATTCGCTCTAGTTCCGGGCATCTCCCGAGGTCAGACCCAGGACCTCGGTCCCCGCCGAAAACCAAGCGCATCTCCGCCAAGCCAACCTACTATTCATTCATTTCCATCAAGAACAGTCGCAACCTCTCATGCCCGCCATCAAATCGCGCCCTACTCCGCCGCTTGGCCACGAGGGCCGCGTTGCAACACGCTCGTCAAGCTGCCCGCCCTAGACGACGGCGACACAGTCGACTACGATGTAGTCCTCACCATCTGCGGCATCATCTCCAACAACAGCTGGAACACCGGCTGGTTCGCTCGCTCAGCCGATGGCAGCAACGTGTGCGAGCAAGGGGCGCCGTTGGTCGCCGCCGATGGCGACGTCTTCTACCTTGTCAGCCATCGCACCTGTCAGTCACAGTCACGGTCCATTTGCCATCACCACGTGCCGCTGAAAGTCACTCTCTGCAGACAAATATCCCGTCTACGTCTCGTGGGATCACTAGCGCGTTCCCAAGACCGACGCCGACCTCCCTTCCGCCTTCTCCTCCCAATCGATCCATCTCCCCCTCGCCCTCGCCCCGCAACGGCGGCTACATGGAGGACCTCAAGGGCCGCGACCAGTCGTGCCCAGTGTCGGGCATTATTGACTTCTGCGAGCAAGCGCACCCAGTCCCGGCGGGCGAGAGGGAGTGGTGGGACATCAACATGGGTAAGAGCAGCGACCTTGGAGATTCAATCGGCGCTGAACGGGATGCTCCTGCGGGCGGACTTGCACCGGTCGTTCGATGCCGGCACATGGGTGCCGATGATGAAGGAGGGGGCTGGCTGGTCGTGTACGTGGTGCGGACGGCCGACGTGTCGAATCAGTTCGCCGCGCTGTGGCACAACGTCGAGATGCAGAAGCTGGTCGGCGTTGGCCGGCGTTGCCTGTTTGCACGTGTTGCGTGGGCGGTGCTGTCGCTGCACCACGAGTTTCTCTCCATCCGGCGGCTAGCGAGGGACAACTTGTTGGTGCGGATGAAGGGCGGCGGGCTGAAGGAGATGGTGCCCGAGGCGTTCAAGCAGTTTTCGCGCTCGCGGTCGAGGAACCCGAGCCTGACCAAGCGGCCGCGGTTGCAGGCGCTCGAAGAGGATAACGGCGTTATCGTCGCTGCGGAGCTGGGTTGGGGTGACGAGGCAGGGAACGACTTGAAGGAGGACAAGGACCAGCAGCTGCCCACTTGAGGCTCGTCCGAATACGCCGGCCGAAAGAATGGGGTCGTAAGCGTCCACCACGTCAAATTCATCTCTGAACCTTCCAAGCGCTTCGCTAGACACCCAGACCTCGTTTAGATCTCCCCGGACGGGAGTCGGCCCAAAGATAGCATCGGGAACGAAGTCTCTCCGTTGTAGTTCTGTAGAGAACTCCTCTCGAGTCAAGCGTGTACGAACTCTAACCAGCGCGAAATCATCAAGGTACTCCGGACGATATATTTTCAGTGCTTCCTCAACAGCGAAACCCTAAAGCATGAGTATTCAGCTAAAATGATCTGGGATATCGAACACTCACTGGCAGCCTGACAGTCTTCCTTAACTGGTAGTAACACCGCTCCATGAATTTCTTGCGCATAATGTTCCTAGCTATTTCGTCCCCCCAGCGAGCCACTAGATCCTCACTTGCTGGCGATATCGGATCAAAGAGGACCTCGACCTCCCCAAAGTGAGATTGGAGAGTATTCAGGCCGAGAGTATATTGGACGATGATCTCGTATGTGTCTGAACTGGAGGTGCAGTAGAATACTACCTGCTTCCTAATGTCCGTATTTTTCTAATAGATTTCCACCGTCATTCTTTTTCATGCCTTTTAATGTTTGTGCCGCCATCTCCACATTTTCCTGCCTGTTAGGATCTAACGCTACGGCTTTAAATCTGGAGCGGCGCTACATCTCTTGGGCTGACAGGGAGATTGTCCCTCAGCATGCCCGCGGGCCGATACCCGTCACGTGATTTCACTCATCTCCATGTCCGCCGGGTAGTCTCCAGGTCGGTGTCTGCATTCGCCTGGGCATGCGAACAGTCGTATGTATTCGAAAGCATTCTGCAGCTATTGGAAGCGGGACAATCTTCTCTCCCGTCCGCCGTGGGCACGTTCTCCTGTCGATTCTGGAGCCCTTCCCTAGAGTGGAAACTTCGCCGATAAGGTGTCGCTCTCTTTCAGCACCCCAGGCTTCCCTATGTGAAAGAGGCCGCTTTTAAGCCCATGGATCCTGCTAGCTGCTTCATCGCGCCCGCCAACAATTGTAATAGCGAACGAAGTTGAGTTTCGAAACTGGACGAGTACAATGGCAGCCCCGAATATCGGGATTCCAAATAACTGAAAAAGTTCCCATCACGCCTAAAGATGAATACGGGAGTTATTGCGTTGACTGCTAACACGAGAGAAAGCCGTCTCTTATATGACATTCGCTACAGAAATTGGGTTAATGATCGGATATTAGCGGGATCCTTGCCTCTCATCAACCTGAGCCTTCCCCTGCCTTAATAGGAAGCTTCGACAAGGAGTTTCTTTTAGCGCATAATGTGGAAACGTTTTGGTATTGGTTTCCCACGTTTGTATAAGTCGTGATGAAATAGCGATCGAAAGTACGTCGCAACAAGTCTCGACGCCGACGCCTCTCCTCCTTAATCCCATTCCGGTTCGAATCGCCAATCCACTGCCCGCACTGGCTCAATATGCTACAGCGATGAAGAAGCTTCTACTATCCCTATTAGTGGCCACGAAGTCTTCCATAGCATGTCAGCGCGAATTCCCGGACGAGCACTTTTCCTCGCAATTCGCACGCTCCTCCGACACCCTCACTGCACGCGCTGAGCCATTTCCACCAGTCTGGACCAAGAACGAAGCGATCCTGCACCGGGCATTCGACAGCGTAGAGCTAGAGACATGGGCCTCCTACTACACGCACGGCGACCACATAGCCGGCCGCAACAAATCCATGGCGGAGGAAACAGCTAAAAAATGGAATGCGAATGGCGTGCCGTCCTCTCTTGTCGAGTATGAAGTGTATCTGAATTATCCGGAAAGCCAGAAGCTGGTTTTGAATAGGGCGAACGGTTCAAAGTATGAGGCGCAGCTGTGGGAGGATAAGATTGCGGAAGACGAGACGACTGAGTATCCGGGAAGTATCCCTGCTTTTCATGGCTATTCGGCAAGCGGGGACGTAGAGGCGGAGTATGTTTACGTTGGGTGAGTATACAAACCTCCGGGGCATTTGATTGGTTTCTCGAAAAGCGGAGGACTGACCAGAATTAGACGTGCGCATAAGGACGACTTTGCAGCTTTGAAGAGCGCTAGTATAAACCTGGAAGGCAAGATAGCGCTCGCCAAATACGGCGGTCCTTTCCGTGGCATCAAAGTGAAGAATGCCGAGGCGAACGGCATGGTTGGCGTTGTCATCTTCACCGATCCTGGAGATGATGGACCTCAGGAAGCGAAGGGCCAGGCCGCGTATCCAAGTGCGTGCTTGGAATTCTGAAGCCTCTTCGACCGCGCTGACAGATATCAGAGGGCCCGGCAAGGCAGCCTTCGTCGATTCAGCGTGGGTCAGTGGCGTACATCGACAGATATGTGGGCGGTAAGCATCCTTGCGCTTTGGTCTCGGACACGAACTCACCCTTCCCAGATCCAACGACTCCCGGATGGCCCTCCAAACCAGGCGTCCCGCGAGAAAGCAATCCCACAATCCTGCCCAAGATTCCCTCTCTGCCAATCTCCTTTCGCGATGCATATCCAATCCTCAAAGCCCTCGATGGCTACGGCAAGGCCGGCAAGGATATGAGGCGGGATAGCTGGGTCGGCGGCCTCAATGTGACCTACAGCACTGGACCTGCGCCCGGAATTACGCTCTCGCTTTCCAACAAGATGAAGGACGCAACCACGCCGATTTGGAACGTCATCGGAATTATCAACGGTACCAACGCAGACGAAACGATTGTCGTGGGGAATCACCGTGATGCCTGGATTATTGGTGGAGCGGCGGATCCAAACTCCGGGACCGCCATGTTGATCGAGATCACGAGGGCCTTTGGCGAACTCTTGAAGACAGGGTGGAAGCCGAGGAGGAATATGTGAGCGCTCTCTAGCCCTGCAGGGAGTGGGTTCACTAATGGCACTGGACAGCGTCTTCGCATCCTGGGACGCCGAAGAGTACGCGCTAATAGGCTCTACAGAATGGGTAGAAGAGTTTGCACCTTGGCTCGCCGACACAGTAATCAGCTACCTCAATATTGACATAGCCGTTAACGGGCCTCTCCCAGGGGCGTCTGCAACCCCTGAACTGCGCGGTATCGCGCAGTCAGTGATGAAGAAAGTCATCTATGGGAATCGAACACTATATGATGCCTGGTACAGTCTCTACCGCTTCCGACCTGAAGACAATGGCTTCGGCAACCTAGGAAGTGGAAGCGATTACACAGCGTTCCTGCAGCTTGGTATCGGAGCCGTAAGTCCTCTCGCGACTCTCATTATAACAGCGTGATTCCTCGCTAACTATACGGCTTATAGCTCGACTTTGGCATGGGCCCGGGATCTACAGACCCCGTTTACCACTACCATTCTAACTACGACTCATATCATTGTAAGTCAAGCTCACAGTACCCATAGCTCAGCTCCCCGTATGCCTCTCGGCCAGAGGATATTCTATTCCCCTCATATCCTCCCTCTCTCCGATGCTTGGACATTACCTAACCATACACCACCACCTCAAGGGATGAAAACCCTCGTCGACCCCACCTACGCCATCCACACCACCGCGGGCCAATACATCGCCCTCCTCGCCTACCACCTCGCCGACGACCCGCTGCTCCCCTACGACCTCGACGCCTTCGGGCGGAACCTAGACTACTGGGCGCGCGACGTGACATCCCTCACGATATCCTGCTGCGGCAGCGCCGGCGCAACGCAACAAGCCGTCAACCTCACCACGCTGATCGACGCATTCAGGCGGTTCAAGGACGTAGCGAAGCAGTACCAGAAAGTCACCAGCACGGACGCGTTCCTGCAGGACGACGCGAAGGTGCAGGCGACGAACGCGAAGTTGAAAAAGCTGCTGCGCTTGTTCGTGAGGGAGGCTGGCTTGCCGGACAGAGGGTTCTATAAGACTGCGCTGTTTGCGCCGAATCGGGAGGATGGGTATAAGGCGCAGACTCTGCCCGCGGTCGTGGAGGGCCTGCAGGATAGGAATCTCTCGCAGGCGAAGGAGTGGAATCTGTTCCTCGTGGACGCTGTTGATAAGGCGTCGGAGATGTTCACCTTACCGTAGCTTGAGAGATGAAATGAAGTGGAAAGGAGGGGTGTCTCTTTCCTCCACCGCGCGCAGCTGGGCGAGCAGGTACGCAGTCATATTTGCCATACATACTCGCTGTGCGAACTACCAAACATTAAGTTCGACACCCGCCGCACCGGTCTACAACCTTCCCTCTAGCGAGAACCACTCGACGTTGCTTTAGCGACGGGGCTCAAACGCATCAACGCTGCCGAGAAAGCCCGGTGGACTATAGAAGACTTCACGGTTGTTGGTGCCATTCTCCGTATTCCAATTCATCAACGTTCCCCATTCACATGCCATCGTCCTCACGCGACTTGCCCCTAGCCGCCCAACCCGACGCTCCATCATACAGAGACCCTACTGGGCCGGTAGGAGTCAGAAGGCAGCCAGGACTAGCATTCCAAGTGCCATATATAGATGAAGCAACAACGGAAGTCATTGAAACCGCCGCTGGTATACCACTCCTACGTCGAGGGGCAATCGAAGCAGCTCTCCATAAACATTGCTCTCATCCAGCAGGTTGGATCATGCAAGACGTCTCGCAGTCTGCAGTTACACATCGTTATGACTCGTAGGGCGCTCGGGAAGGTGTCTAGATGCCACTCGACCAAGCGAGTACCAAGACATGAAGAGGATGTGATCATGCAACGGAGACTAATCCGACGCAATAGATGATACACAACAGATCCCCATGGTCGGTGGAAGCGATATCATTCAAAGTTTACTGGTTATTGAGCAGGCGATTGCACGTTGCGGAAGGATGACTCTGCAGTGCATTTCTGCCACAGGAAAACTACATCTGGCTGACTCGCTTCAATGCATCGGAGAACCCACCCAACACAGAACACAGGCAGTGTAGTATGCAAGATCGTGTCTCCCCTGTCGGTTGACATGTCTATCGAATACTTCTCCCTTTTCTCCTCTCACCGGCTTTCATTGCGCATTGGCAGCTGGTCTCCGCTTCCCCCTGACGCCTCCGCCTGCAAGTCCTGTTGGATGAGGCGTAGCTGGGCTCTGATTGGCGATGCGATGCCTCGAGCCACTGTTGTGATAAGTTCCGGTTCGGATTAGCGGACACCCAATGCTGCTTGCCACGTCGTTCCTTTGTGCTTCTGGCGTCTCGGGGCGAAGGAGGTTATTCCACTTGAGAGTGAAGCGTGATGCCGGCGAGACTACCTACTACCGCAAGGAGAATTCTCCGGATGGGGCTGTAGTTTAGGGCGCAGGACATATTGAGGCGCACGCACCTCTACACCGACGCCCGACGCATGGTGCTGGGTCCGCGTCAGCGCTTGCTTTACTGTAACCTGTCATGCATGCTCCACCCGCATCATCTTGCAATGCCAATAAAGATTCTCCGCGCCCTGCACTCCGTTGTAGCATGAATCAAGTTTCCAAGCGTACAAATCCCAAGGTCCTGGGACACTCAAATTGCCTGCATCCTTCTCATGAGAAGTGATGCGCCGCTCACCGTTCTTCCACCTATCACACGTGCGTCTGATGTCGGAAAGGCGGAAATTTAATCCGTCCCGCGTCACTTACGGTAGAGCGGCCTTCGAAAGCCTCAGCCGTCTGAGTGAATGCGTTGGTGAGCCGTTTGCCCGTGTGTTGTCGCAATACGAAAGCCGGTTGTGTGTGGTTTATCGGTTTCCCTTCCGGCTAGGCCCTGCGTGACGGCGATCGTGATAGATGCAAGCGCGATTCAGGCGGCGAAAGCAGAGCCTCGGTTCCGAATATTTCCGCTTCGACGGCTAACCCATAGGGGAAGGCGTTCTATTGGACCGTCTCACCGCTCTATCAGATCTCGCCTAGCTGCGCTGACTCAGATATCTACCAGAAATGACGGCATGGAGGATGCCGATCTGATATAATGTCGATCATAATGTGAGGCTGGGATAGAAGATCTGGAGCTTTGGGTTAGCTGCACGCAAATGGTCGAGCGGACAGCTGCCAATATTCTGAAAAGCAACCACAACCACGTGGTGCGGCGTGCTCTGGCTCGATCTCTGCAGAAGCCAGTCGGGAGGTATAGCTTCCTGTAGAACGTGCAGGTTATGGGATCCAGATCCTCGGGAAGACGGCCTCAACGCTACTAAGGCACGCTGCCGCTCTGTGGGACATCCGGTCTAGACCCGCGACCCGTTTGCTGCTGCGGATTTTCGAATCACGCTGTACGCGACTTTCTGTTACGCAGTATCAGCTGGATGGAGCTGAGCGCGAGTAATCTGCCACGGAAGCGAAGGATTGAGTGCAGACGCGCATTGCGCTGCGTAGGTGTCTTCGCGGCCCTGCAACGCCTCAAGAGGCGCAATCCAATACATTGCACCGCCTCAACCCCTCCTAGTGAGATCTCCGGTCCCTGCAGCGCTTAAACCTGCCGATGCGATCTGCAGCCACCGCCGCATGTGAACCGTGGTGAGCGCTGAGCAGGATCATCGTCCATTGTCGCGAAGATCGCAAATCAAGACCAACCATCGGATTGATTTCTCCGCTCCGCCGCTAGCCCTGTAGCGTTTCCGCTCCCTGTTCACCACCAAACTTTAACAAGCGTCCCGTCTTGGCGGCGAAGTGTTGCAATCACCCGCGTCCCTGATTGGTCTAGAAACAGTCTCCGGTATGCTCGTGCATGTGCGTTGTGCAAGCGGTTGCGGAACTTCCCTGGGGGAAATCTCGGAGATGCCAACCACATCATTATCAGAGCTGACAAAGAGGTGTGACAGCAATCCCAAGTTCTCTTGACATTTTCTAGGTTGTGTTGCGATTCATTGTGCTCGGATCGCGTGTAGGTCGGACGGCCCCATGTCCTCCACACCATCACAGATCGAAAGTATCATGATCTGCGCTCAGTTGGGCTGTCGAAGGCTCTGTTGCGGAACCGAAATGGGTGAGGCCCACCCCTGTTGTGCGCGATTCGGGCAAGAGTTGGGCCCCAAATCCGGACAGAATACCACCGCAGAAGCGCCGAACAAGCCTCGACGCGGGATATGCAAGACGAACCTGGATCCTAAGGCATTCAAACGATGCAGCAATAAACTCCAGCCATTTCCCCAATCCTCAACGTCGAAATCCAGCATTAACCGCTTTCTATCGCGCGCGTAGTCCAAATAAGCTCAGAAAGAAGCAATTTCCGGACCAGGGTCTTGGGTCAACGCCGGTTCTGCACCAAACGACGAGCCTCAACCGGCCCCGTCAATACTGAACAACTCAATGCGATGCAGGCGTTGTTCAGCCGCGACGCAAAATTGAGAACGAGGCGACACAGTCAGTCCTTCCGCTTTAGTGAAAAAGTCGACATCTATCATAGCGCTTGATGGAACGTCCCGGCGTAGAAGAGCCTAGTCAGGGTAAAAATGGATACGTCAACTTTCTGGGTTGCAAGAGCTGCACCGAAAGCAATCGGATCGCCAAAGATCCGGCTCCGGACTGATCCGGTGACCGTCAATCCCTTCCTTAAGGTAGACTCGATATATGAGAATACTACGCTGAGTGGTCCCAAGAAAGAGGGCGCGTAGAACGTGAAACATTGGAGAACTTAATGGCGGATTAAGACATGTCCGCGCAAGCCCAACCCAAAAGGCAAAAGTCGGCAATCGAAACCTTAGACAGGGAAATCGGACCGATAGAAGCTCGGTGATGTCCCGTCGTAGCGTATGACCTAATTTTGTAATTGATGCTGTCGTGTGGCAAAGTCCTTGCGTAAAACGTACGATTTTGGCATACTGCAAGGGGCTGCTATGCTGCAATTTATATATGGCGACGGAGTAGGACCATGTCTCCGGCCGGAAGGAGCCCGATAGAGTTCGATATCACGCAAGGGCCAGCGTTTCCCAATGACGCAGTGCTTCTTACGCGTATCAGCGAAGAGAGCCAGGACGAGGGAGTTGTAACGATGAATTTCCGTTAACTAAATTGCTCTCCATCCCAAAATGGACAGCGCTTCCTCAAATGCCGAGTGGGGAGGACGCAAGGTTCATCCCAGCCGACTAGATGTCAACGCGGATGGTGCGGATTATTGGAGGGAAGGTGACGCGAACGGGCGATGGTGCCCAAATACCGGTCGAGCGGGCCGATCCAAGGATGAGGCGTAGAAACGTCGAAAGTTCCGTGAAATGTGCAAGGTGCAAAACGTGACGTTTGAAGGGAAATCCCTTCGAACGCTACCCTTAAAGCCAAGGAACCCAGGTCCCAGCGCGGAAGCTAATGCCTGGTCGTTGCCGTCCGGGCGATCCGACGTAGGCTTGCAGCGACGATGAAATACAGTTCGTAGGTGAGGCGGCTCTTGGCGCTCTTGATTGTTTGTTGGAAACAGGAAGTGTCCTTCTTCGGCACTGTTTTTGGACAGAACGTAGATTGAGATGGCCGTGCTGGGTTACCGTTGTTCGGCAGTGCTGCGGCATTTTTCTATCACCCCGTAAGATCCATTTTTGGCACCCTCCCGCGAGATACACTATTTGCCGTCGTTCCTCGAGACAGAGCTTCCTTCGCATTGATTGTCAGTCGCTTGACATTCCCCAGGCGGTTTCGAAACGGTTTCATGTGCCCTGGGGCAAGACGGTGCTGATCCACGCACTGGCTCGTTGTTCAACTCATGCTGAATTTTCTCTTCAGTTGAGCTAAATGTGGTGCGGTGCGGTGTTCTGCGAACCGGGCGCTCACAAATTAATCGATGCAAATCTTGTGCGCGCAGCGGCGTCAAATGCCACAAAGGACACCAGGTGAAACGCAGAATTTGGAACCGGGTACCTGGGTACCCACGTTTGTTTCACCTGTCAACCTGGATAACCGCCCCTGTGATGACCCCCATGACCCAAACCCCCTCGAGTAGCACCATGATGTCCTTGTGCATACAGTGTGCCTTGACCCTGCATGTGCCCAGCGGCTTCTGCATCGTCAGGTTTGAAAACCATTGACGGATCGACCGGATATCCATGGACATCAAACCGTGGATCGTATGTGCTGGGACTGATGCCTAGTTGGTGACTTTGCATATGGCCATGCTGAGAGTGTGACGATGAGACTTGAGGCGGGGGAAGCCCGTGCGACTGCGTCTGCAGGTGTGTCCGTGATTGGTTCGCGGATGGCTCATACGGTCCTGGTGTTCCAGCTTGACTGGCCGGCGCAGAGCCTGATGAATGCGTGCTATGTGGAGCTGATGAGTCGTAAAGGGAAAGGTCTTCAACGCGAGAAGAAGGCGCTTGCAGGAGTGATTGCTGTGAAGTGTTGAACGGAAGTTGCGCACCGGTTTGGGCAGCCAGTTGGCGGATGAGTTCTGTAGACGGATAGGACGGGGATGTGACAGCCGGCAGGGAGGCAAGGTCGTCGGCCGGATTCGAAGGAACAGGTCCAGGAGCGCCCGGGCCTAAGCCGATCGTCGTAGGGATATTTTGGGGCACATTCAGAGACCGGGGAAGCGGGAGGTTGGGCAACACATCGGAGATCTTGGCAAGCAGCAACTGCAGGTATCGGGTCTGGCCGCCGCGAAGGGCAGAGAAAAGCGTCAGGAAGCGCGAGATGTAGTCGCGGGGCCCGAGTGCAAAAGTATCTGGTGAGAAGGGTATACAAGCAACCACATCGGTTAGGCAGCAAGCAATATCGAATAACTTCTCAATCTACAGTCAAGTTAGCCGGACGTTTAAGGTGATGGACCGACATGCCAAGAAAGGAAGGGGCTGGTCTCGAAGGTGCTTGGATGCAGGATCGCGCGCAGGGAGCGCCTAGCCCTTGACATGGCGGCATCCTTGGATGTCAGAGATAGAACGTTGGAGGAGTGGGGCAATAAGCGAGGACAGATGTAACAGGGCTGGAATGCGGGCCTAGGTCATAATCGGATGACAGGCCCGGATCAACTTCTGAACAGACAACGCTACAGAATACTGGGGACGTTACTCACCAAGCCAGCACCGTGCACCTCCATCGCATGATGCGAGAACTGGTGCGTCATCGAGAGCAGGTCTCTCGAGATTTCAATGGGGTGCTTGAAGGTCATGGCGCTGTCTGCCGCGACGCTGCTGACGAGGCCTTGATTGACGCACAACTGCCAGACCATGGTGCGCAGCCACTGCTGGGTGATTCGCAGCTCAACCGCCTGGCTTTCTGTGCATTCGAGGTATGCCGGCAGAGCGTCCGACACCTCGCTCTGCAGGTGTGCAATCCACGTTGGGTTGGCGTGCGTGTGCGCTTTGTTCCACAGGCCGACAAACGTGTCGTCGATGGGCTTGTACAGGCTAATCATCAGGTCGAGGCCGGACGCGATCTGCCTCTCTTGGGGCGTTTCTTCCAAAGACGGGGCATGTATGGTCGGATAGAGTGAGATTGGGCGATGCTTGTGAAGGGCATGCGTTCTGTGCCACGGGTCAGCAAACTGGCACTGGCGACGTCCGCGCTGGAGCAGAACCTTTCGGCGACGAAGAGCAACCAATACAAGACCCGCTTGCGCGAGACGTCGAGCGGATCGTCCTTGTAGCTTTCCTCGTCGTGGAGGCCCAGCAGCTGCGCCTGAGTCGTGGCTTCCCGAAGAAACGACCAGGCCGTGTTGTCCCTTCCCAATCCAGAGTAGCAGCCATAAAACAGCCAAGAAGTCAAAATGGACAGCTGGGTCGGCGTTTCGAGGTAGTCGAAGCCTTTGCGGACCCGCACTGCTTCTTCTAGGAGGACGTGGCCCACGCCGACGTTTGAGAGCTGGGCCATCTCGGGACGAGGCAGCAGGCTGGGAGGCAGTGTCATATTGGCTTGGATCATGACGTAGGCGCACAGAGCCACAATCACGCAGTAGGCTTCGGTGGAATGCTCAATGCTCATGGACGTCTCCTGGGCGCACTGGCGGTGGAGGACGGGCTGTGCGGGATAGACGTTTGCGAAGTAGAACTCAATGCAGCTCTCCACCAGGCCGGGCGGCAGCAGTCCTGGAGTGCGAGCGAAGGTCGTGGGAAGCGCGCGTGCATCGAATCCGAGTTCATGGGGCAGACCTGCCGCTAGCTGGGCATTTCGCTGCGTTTCTCGCAGCTCCGAGAGCACCTTCGCCCGGCTGCCCTTGGGTCCCTTCTTCTGCGGGATGGCGTTGTAGGTGCATGCGAGGCCGGCGGCGACACAGTTCTTGCACGGATTCGTGCCCTCGCCAATGCACTTGACCTTGCGTCGGTGGCAGCTGCGGGTAGAGGTCAGCAGCAATACGCCAGACAGCATGGCGGCTAACGGACGCACCTATCGCAGGCTCGTTTGACTGGTGTTGAGGCGGTGGAGGCGGACATGATGGAGGGGAGGAGCTAGTGGAGGCTAGAATGCCCCTCAGAGAGAAGCAAGCACTCTCCACGCGCGGAGAACGATAGTAATAGCCAGCTGGACATGGTGCGCATAGGGCCGGCAGACGTTTTTGCATGTCTTGTGTCATTGTGCTGGAGGGAACGGCCACTCGCAACTGGCTAACCTGGACGACCGTAGGGCCAAGCCCACAGCCGCATTAGAGGGTTGCTAGCATCGCCTGCTGGGCCTGCCCGCCAGGGTGAGGCCGGACGCACGCGCAGGCCAATGGCAGATCGTGGAGAAGAGGCCAATGCCCCTGATTACACGGCGGCCGGAAAAGGTGAGTGCAGGGCGGCATGCGTGCCGCTAGACCAAACGCTCACCTCACGGCTGCAGGCGTGTGCCGGGCGGATGCTGGGCTGGAACGCGCGTGGCAGCGTATCTGGGCAGGCCGCTGCGCGTGAGGAATAGGACGATGATGGCGTCGACGGCGGCCCCAGCACGGCGGAGAGCCAAGGGCGCTGGCAGCAGTGCCAGCCGACAATCCCCCGGTTGGCTGCGCGCTGCTCGCACCGCCGGCGGACTCGCGCCGCAGGGTGGCCGTCCGCGAGCGCCCAGGGCCGATGGGGTAGGTATGCCGCGATTTCGGACTCGCACTCGTGGAGGGCTGGAGGGCTGGAATCCTGGATACACCCGCGACAGCTCGAAACATCGGCCCTGTGTGCGCGCGCATCTACCTGTGCGGCCTGCAGCAGCGACAGTCCCGCGCGCGCCCTGCGGACAGATGGAGCAATGCCGCCGCCGACTGTCGCACCTCACCGTCACCGCGTAGTCGTAGTCGCGACAGCCGTGCGGCTTTCTCCGGCCCTCCCTGTCCTCCGTCGTCATGGCTGGCACTCTCCACGTCCATGCGTCCGGCAGCGCGTCGTGAGGGTCGACCGCAGAGGGAATTGTCCCCGCAAGAGGAATGATGCAGCGCTTGCGAGGTGCCGTGTTGCCGGCTTCGAGAGCGCCGGCGGGGACGTTGGGCATCCGTGGTGTTGAGGGGGGAAGGGCCAGCTCCCGTAGTCCGCGTGAGGTTGGCCGCGCTGGAGGGAGTCCAGATGGTTGACTCTGGCGAGGGCCGTCGATGCTTATAAGGCCGCTCAAAGGGCCGTCTCGCACTCGTCGGCTGTCTTGGTCGCATCGGGGTGCCCGACTTCAAGCGGACATGCCCGCCGGATATGGAGCTCCACGATGGTTGACCTCGCGAATGATTGACCGAGCAGTCGCGATCCAGAAGCACCGAGCGTACTGCTGCACTGTGTACGACGTGAAATCCAGACGTTGGGGAAGATCTGATAGATCGCTGTGCCACGATATCGCCAAGAGATGGCACACCGTAAATCACCGGTCCATGGGGCTAGCAGTCGGTCCCATTATTATTCCACAAGCTTAAATCACTATACAAGAGCAATCGAGTATTTACGTCAACCCGACGCCTATGCTCGCCATCCCCAGCGCTCATGCAGCCAAACCCTATCCAGCAACAATGCTAACATTCGCGAGAAAAAATCAAACCACGGGCCCGAGCCGGAAAATGCGCTGCCTGCCCATTTTGTCGTAAAATCGTCATGAGAACTCCACGCGGCCGCCGCCCATCCTCGCCTGCTTCGCCTGCGCCCGTTCCGCTCTCCGCCGCCTCCTGTTCGAATCGTAGGCGCTGACGTCCGTCTCAGTGCCATATGCCTGGGTACCCAGAGGACTGCTCAACCCGCTACCCGCGGCAGCCGGGATCGGTGGCGGGGGAGGGAGCGGAACCTGGTGGTCTGCTGGAAAAGCGGCTCCAGGAGGCGGACCTGGGGGAGGAGGAGGAATGACGGGCTCAGGCATCGGTATCGGTGCGGCTGGTTGCGCGGGCGCTGGGGCCTGGGCCGCTTCCATGGCTTCCGTTCGACGCCAGCGCTCACGATCTTCGAAGTTGCTCAGCGAGCTCACGCTGCCGTTTCGATTCCTTCGCTGACGGTCCCTTCGCCTTGCTTCCCTTTCCGCGGCAGCCTCCTCCTCATTCAGCCTCCTAAGCGTTACGTGCCTCCCGTCATTGTGCATCTTCACTTTTACAGAGACTGGCGGTGAAGCTACGCTACCGCTGCTACGGTGGTGACCGTGGTCTCTCCTGGACGGCGAGCCGGCAGATGCGGCAGCAGCAGCGGCACCTGCTGCCAAGGCTCCAGTACCCCCATTGCGGTGACGACGGTGGCGACCGCCGCCTGCTGAGATGTAGGCTTCGGATCCTGAGTCAGAGAACACACCATGAGGGTCCGCAGGTGGAGCTGTGGACGGTCCAGCAATGGTTTCCGTTTGCGTGACATTCGTCGTGCTTCTCGGCGGAGGAGGGACATTTGTTCGTGATATGGCGGGTGTGGCTCCTGATATGTCGCTCTCAGAGATGATGGTCGATGGAGGTCGATTCCTCCTAGGAGGCGCGCCGTCTCCCGTATACTTTCGCCGCTGGCTTTTCGCACGAGCAATCCGCTCCTCTTCGATATCCTGCTGCTTTATCGCTGCTACATGTTCGTCCTCTTTCTTGTTCCTACGCTTGTTCCATTGGTGCCTCAGGAATCCCGCCAACCCAAGCGCAGCTATTCCATTCCGTAAACCATGTGATTCTTCCGGTTTGGTGTCGTGCTCGTCGCTAAAGCTTGTCCGACTGTCGTAAGAGTCAATCGATGCGCCACTTCGCGGAGGTCGGTGGCCGTGGCGCAAAGGGCTTCCCGCCATAGCTGCCGCCTGCGCAGCCTCCCTCTCTTCGACGCGACGCCAGTGATCACGACCGGGTGACGCAGGCGCTCTACCTTCCTCGACTCGACTCAGGTCTGTCTGGGTGACCTCGGACGGGCCTATGGGACGACTATAGCTGACGTCGCTTCCTGACTCAGTCGTTGTGTGCTTTTTTCGGTCGAACAACTTCTTGAACGCGAATATACCTCCGGCGGCCGCTCCAGCGCCTAGTAGTCGATCCCTCCAGGTACGTCCTCTTCGGCCGTCTTCTGTATATTTCTCGTCGTCGACATATGACTCGGAAGGATGAGAGCTGTGGTGGGAGCTTAGGACCTCCTGTCTGCCTCCACTAGGTCTTCTGCGACTACGGCTTCGCGAACGGTGTCTTAGTGCAGCCAACCCGGCGCCTGCTGCACCAGCTGCGGCGAGAGCACCGAGGCCATGGCCCCTGTGGCTCCGGCTACGACGGCTGCTGCTACCCGTCCGTTCTGAGATGAAGGTGCCGCGATCGTCGAAGCCCATTTCGGGCTGGGTGCGGTAGGACAGGATGAAATACACAAGGAGGAGGGTGAAACCCCAGAGTGCATACAGTATGAAAAGCACTTTGGGTGAGCCGTACAAAGTCAGACCGAGCGCGACTTGCACAATTCCCAGGAGCGCAATCAATCTCCCAAGCCATTGATGGAGCTGCAGATTTGTTAGCATTTCTCTGCAACTGGACAAAGCTCCCACGGACCATTAACTTCAGAGGCACCTTGTATCGCTCTTTGCCTTTCTCGCGCCTGTGTATGATACACCCCCCAAACGCCTGTACCAGGATCAGAGTATAAATGGCTACGCCAATGCCGTGATGCGGATTGGTCAACGATCTCGCCAGCCCAACTGCTTCGAACCCAAGTATGAAGACGGCCGTCGACAGCAGCACGGTGAGAATTTGGAGCCAAATATGAAGGCGCAATGCCATTCGTGGATTGCGGTGGTAGAATCGAGCGATAAAGATGGCGGCGGGGATGACGAAGAGAAAGGTTACCGCTGCCAGGATGCCGTGGCCCTTGACGACCGAGCGGTAGCCGACCATATTGCGGAATCGGTTTCCCATGCCTAGAAAGTCAGTCGCATGCCGCAGCGCAAGCGATATGGGCAGTCTCACCATTATATTGGGTGGTCGCGAGGTTTAAGCCTTGCAGATTCGGCAGCAAGAAAGTGTTTCTCTGCGAGTCCCAGGTCCCATCGCCGACATACATAGAGTCGGACGAGTAGACACTGCTCCCAGGAGCCGAGAGTCCATTGCTTGACATGCCGTCCCAACGCTTTCCAGGTCAACTTCCAACGCCAAAAGAGGGACAATTTTGTCGATGTAACCGGTGGATTCGAAGTTGGCAAAGGCGGATTTCGCAACAGCAGAGGTGGAGGTATCGTAGGCCCAGAATAAAAATCAGATAGAGAATGTGGTTAATCGTAACTTCGTGGCGCCGTAGAAATAGTGAGGTCTGCTCTCTGCTGTCAGGCTCGAGTGTGTTGGCAGACGTCGATGCCTTGCGCGCGGAGCATGGCCGAGGCCGCGGAGAGCTCGGTGGAGGTCGCCAGTCGTGTCGCCGTGTTGTTCGACGTCGCCGCAGAGGTTGGAATACGTGGTATCGAGATGCGCAGCCCGGGAGCCTCTTTCGCGGTACGGTGCAGGTTTTCAAAGTTGGGTGGGCAGCTGCGATGGCCGGTCAGCTAGCTTCCCAAGTGGGGTGGTCCCAGCTTGTGTTTACGGGCGGGTCGTTGGGGCGACGCAATCGATAAAGCTGCGCCCGGTGTAGACGCTCTCCTCCAATCACAGTCCGGACGGCCCTGCATTCAGCTGGCATGGTCATGGCTAGTCCTGCAACTCTCCCTCGTCCTATGCAGCGATACCTAGGTAGACATGCAGCATCAGAATGGTGTTAGCTTGCAAGCGAGCAAGTGCCGTCTGACAAGCGAGCGACTCCATGTATCTGGCGATACCCTCACAAGCTAAGCCCTTCATAACGAAAGCATAAAATATCGTAGAGCTATTTCAACTAAGCAAACCGTACTTCGAACCCTTGGTATCATAATTATCCACCCTATCCGGAACTCCATATAGAAGTAGGTCGTGTAGCCCAGCCGTCCCTCTACCCTCCCATCCCGGCATCTCACCGATTACCCATCCACTTCCAGCATCTCCCTGAGCGCCTTCTCAGAAGCCCTGAGCCACCGCCCCCTCTCCTCCAGCTCATCCCCGATACCGCCGCCCTCCTCTCGCCTTCGCCTTGCCTCCTTCGCCGCTGCTACAGTTCCTTGCTTTTGTGTCTCCAATGGCTTCAGTTCCCGTTCCAGCTTCTCCAATTCGCGCGTCCGATTCGGCAGCGCCGACTGCAACATCGAAAGCTGTGCATTCAATGCTGCCAGATCCGCTTCCCGCTGCTGAAGCAACCTCAATGTCTCCGGCAACGGCAGGCCCAGTTCCGGGTTATTCGACGGCGGCGTTTGCTCCTGCTTTAGCCGCTCAATATTCGCTTCCAAGCCTTCTATCTCCGTTGGCAAAGACTCCAGCTGTTGTGTCCGCAGCTGCACGCCCTCATAGCGTAGCGCAAGCTCTCGTCCCTTCTCTTCCAGTTGTTTCAGGATCTCTGCGACCTCCAGTTTCCGTTCCTTCAAGCTAGCTTTGAGGGCTAGAATCTCCTTCTCTTTCTCATCGTTCTCGGCAGCTTCGACTAGGCGCGGTGGGTTGTCTGTTATACCTCGCAGGAATTTCTCTTTGGTGACCTGCTCGACGTAGCTGAACCGCAGCTTGCTGAAGAGTTCCTAGAGAGCGCGTTAATTCTCTCTTTAGCAAGAACCGCAGAGTTTAATCTACCTTATAGTGTGTCAGGTCTGCTTCCAAGGCTGCCGGATGCGTATCGCCATTCTGCTCACTGTCGTCTGAAACTGCGGAGCTGCGCTTCTGAGCCGATTGTGGTAGGTCTTTCGGCGACAAGGTCTCTGCTAGAGCGAGGAGTCTCAGAGATCGCGACTGGTGTAATTGCTCGAGAGCAGATGCGGGCGTAGGCGGTTGGGATTTTCTTCTGGGAGCCATTGTGAGTGGTATCTTCCTAGGTTGCTTGAAGCATCGCGGAGGGGTGTTTGTTTTGAATTGCGCGTACCTAGGGAGGGCTGAGCCGGGGCCGAGGCACGTTGCCGTTTCCGTCCTAGTGTCCCTCTTACGTTCTGCCCTATCACTTTTGACGTCTCCCGCGTTCCAAGGTTTGGACACACAAAAGACCACGGCTTGACCGCGCCGCCTCTATCCTACCTACCCAACGACTATACCATGGCAGGCGAAAACATTGACGATGATGAATACGTCGCCAACCTGCTCAAACAGGACGCAAAGAATGCCGCGAAGAAGTACGACTTAGTAGGCCTGGAAGCCTTCACCCCGAAGAGGTGCGTTATATACCTCTTCTCCAGCGCATCCTGCGCGCGCCCTTCCTGAGAAAAAAAAGTACACTCATACCCAGATCGCCCGCCTCCTCCGTACTCGCTAACAGTCCCGCAGGTCAAGACCCGGAGCCCCAAAACCGAATACTAATTTCCTCCGACACATTATCCGCCAAACCGACAGCCACAATGCGTCTTTGCTAGCCAAGGAGGCACAAGAGTCAAAGGCTCGGCTGAAGGAGATGAACAGGGAGAAGGAGTGGGAGCGAAAGAGAGAGCGGGGGAAGAAGAACAGGGATTATGGAAGGCTCACCCCGCCGGATATGAGCGATGTCGATGACGAGGATGCAAGATACAAGAAGAAGAGGAAGCTGGATCACAGCGACGAGGAGGATGAGCGTGACAGGAGGCGACGGCGGAAACACCGCGATGGCTCACCCGAGCCTAGGTCAAGAAGAGAGAAAGACAGGGAGAGGGACAGAAGGACGAAGAGGAAGGCTGAAGGCAGTGAGGACGACGAGCGGTCCGCACGAAAGTCAAAACATTCGAGCCATCATCACGGCCGGGATCGACGACGCAGGCATAGGCACGATAGTGAAGAAGAAGAAGACCGGTCACGTCGAGATAAGGATTCAAGGCGCAGACACAGACGGAGGAAATCATATTCCAGATCCCTTTCTCGGTCACGGTCGGCATCTCCTCGCTCAAGACATCAGAAATTCTCCAAACACCGGCGCAAGTCTCGTTCTCCACGACGCGCTTCGAGAAGCCCAGTAAAAGCAAACGGGGATAAACAATCGAGTCGACGGTCCCCTACGCCGGCATCTGATTCAGATCCTCTCGAAGCTATTGTCGGACCTCTCCCACCGCCTGCCCAGCCAGCCGTCCGCTCCCGCGGTCGCGGTGCCCACAAAGCTAACTCCATGAGCATGGACGCCCGATTCTCCTCCACATACGACCCGTCCGCAGACGTCCAGCTAGGCTCAGACGCTGAAGGCAATTGGGGAGATGCACTTGAAGCATTCAGGGACCGTCAGCGGTGGAAGCAGCAAGGAGCGGAGAGGCTCCGGGAGGTGGGGTTTACGGACGACCTAGTCAAGAAGTGGGAGAAGGGGGATGAGAAGAGCGAGGAAGATGTGGTGTGGGCGCCAAAGGGCCAGGCGAGAGAATGGGACCGAGGGAAGGTGGTGGATGGAGATGGCGACGTGGAATTGAAAGCCGAGTGGGGGAGGCTAACATGAGGTCAGGGGACAAAGCCATAAGTAGTGCAGGCGCCAGCCCTGGGGCAGTTGAATAATTTCAAACGCATGCCCTGCTACTGATTTTTCTGACCAACCTCCCTGATGTTCCCCACACCCCCCACTAGCTGGGCCCATTGTCCCGACCAAAACCCAAAGTTGTCGCTGCACGCATATCCAGGCTGAGCAGTAAGGTCATTATGGTCGACCGCTCCTATTGTCTGTCTCTACTAGCTATGCCCAATGCAATGCAGCCGCCAATAAAACCCCATTGCACGACGACGGATAAGAAAGAAGGTATAAGAGCTGAAAGCTCCGGCTATATACGCTAAGCTAGCGCGATCACGTAGTCAACACGTGATCCTCAACAGTGAACAATACTACAATACTCCAGTCCTCCTGTCAGGTGCCGTATGGCGGTTTCCGCCAGCAGCCTTCACTAAGTCTTGCAGCTCAGCTCTTAACTGCCCGCCTTCTGAAGGTGGATGATCGCTCAGCTTCGGAGACACTGTCTCGTCCCGCCCCAACCCAGGTCGAGGACGCTCGATCTTCGCGCGTTCAAAATCGATTACCATGACTCTGCCGGTGCTTGTGTCAAGGAGCACGTTCCGACACAGCGCGTCACAGTGACGGACACCATGCGCATGTATCGCTTTCAGGCAAGCCTCAGCCTGATAGAGGAGCCGCTCCATGTTCGAGGCGTTCACATGTCGCGAAGTTGGTGTGCCACCGTAGCTCAGCAGTAAGGCGTGTGTCAGTGTGGGTATCTCAGAATAATACGGCTGAGGGAGCTCAAGATGGCCAAGGCAGACTGGTATGTAACGACCCTGGATCGGTCGAAGGCACTGGTAGACCGATGCCTCGTACTCAAGATCTTTAGCAAACCAGTAAGGGCTGCACTTTGCGGCAAACGTATATCCGTGTGAAGCAAGAGTGACGGTGAAGCAGACGCCGCGGCTTCCAGGTCGGCTCGCAGGGTCAAAGTTTTCGTCCATAGTCTTGCTCAGTTGTTCTCGTAGGAGGGCAAGGAACTTCTTATGCCCTATCTGATGATGGCCGCGACCGTGCTCTGGAGTGTTAGGGCAAGCCTGGTCAAGGGCCCCTCCATTCAGTAACCCAAGAAGACATTCGTGAGTGCAATGCTGTCGGGCACCGCTAACACTGCGGTTGCTTGTCGACGTCGATGGCTGTGACTTGCGTTCTGCTCTCGTCGATTTGGGTGAAGAACTCCGCCGCCGCGGTCGATGACGTAGGCGAATCGGAGATGCTCGAATCAGCTCAGAGTGCGGGGACGGCTGATACTCTGACCCATCCACCTCGTCGACAGGTATCGCTTCCAGCACCTCGTTGTAGATCACATTCCACTTCGGCAGGTTTGATAAAGCATCGCTCCTCCAGGAATGACTTCGTGGCGTCGTCTGAAGTGCCTGAAGGGTGAAAGCCAGCATCTGGCCGACAGCAGTGAGGTGTAACCGGTTGTCGCTGTCGCCTTCCAAGTCCCATCCTGTAGATTCGCCAACGTCATTCTTGGGGACTGACAAGAAGTAGTAGACAGTCCGCGGATCTTCTGGGGCCCGAAGAAAGATGCTTGCCTCGCCGGTGCGTACGCACCCAAACTCCAATCCTGCCATGATCATGTATGAGAACGCTTGAGTGATCGTAGCCGCAAGCAACCTCCGGCAGAGCTCCTTCGATCCGTCCGTGTCCTTCGAAATGACGACATCTTCAAGTTTCATATCCTCGAGTCCTTCGTAGATGTGGTTCAGCGTCAGCTTGTAAGGAGGCTTGTATTCTATGACGAATATAGCAGTTCGGGAACCCGAGTTTGTCGCGTCGCCTGACATGTTGTACGCACAGAACTGATCTGCGCGCGGCCGTGCAAATTTCCATTTTCCGGCCGGCGGGGAGGCACCGCTTCCAGCAGATTCCCCTACTATATCAATCGCTCTCTCTCTCTCTCTCAGCCGAGGTGAACGTCGACGGCTCTGGCCAGAAATATCCATTTGCTCTGTACCTCTCTCCACCTCCGCCTCAGGACTAAGTGTATTGTCATGATTTTCAAACTTCACCGAACCTCTAAGATTATATTTGCGGCGTAGATGCGGATCCGCGTAGATTCGATTAAGGATGAGGGAGGTTGGGTCTTCGGCTGTCGAGCGTTCGAAAAGATAGAGGTCGAGTTCCGAGGCTAACTTGCGGTGCAATATGTTTGGCCCAAGCTCCTGCAGCGTATGTATCGAGGTGAAGTGACGCTGTTGAATGAAGTCGGCGTCCACAAGGAGCTGCCACATCTTCTCCTGCTGCTCAGGAAAGTCCTCCCAAACACGGATCTCCTCTGGTCGAACCTTGTCATTCGCGTTCGATGGATCGCCCTCCGTAGACAGATATGGGTCAGTCTGGACCGCCAGATTAGAGTGGAGGTGGACATGGCATACGTCGAGGAACTCGGGGAGAGTAGTCTTTTGGATGGCTCGTTCTGCCTCTTGTCGCGCTCGTTTTGCCTCTTGGAGCCCTCGTTCTGCCTCTTGTCGCGCTCGTTCTGCCTCTTGTCGCGCTCGTTCTGCCTCTTGGAGCCCTCGTTCTGCCTCTTGTCGCGCTCGTTTTGCCTCCTGCCATAGGCGTTGCTCCTCTAGAAAGAGTTGTTTATAGTCCGGCGAAGGAGAGTCCATATTATGAAATGAAGGATTACACTATTTCGGAAGTAGAGTTGGGAGGGAATTTTAAAGTCCGAGAACAGGCAACAGTTGTTAAAGTAACGAAGTGGAGTATAACATTGTGGATTGTATAAGAGCTGAAAGCTCTGGCTATATACGCTAAGCTAGCGCAATCACGTGATTAACACGTGATCCTCAACAGTAAACAATAAGCTCCAGTCCTCCTGCCAGGTGCCGTATGGCGGCTTCCGCTAACAACAGTCAACAAAGCTTAATGGTCCGTGCACCACATCACGTTTTCTAAAGCTGACAGTATAGGCAAGGATTGACGCGAGCATCCATAGGAGGAGCATGTTGTGCACTTCACTGTGGTGTGGAATGTGGACGGTCGACGCTGCTTGGCTCTCAGAAGCTGCTTGAAGACCTCTCGAAGAAAAACATACTGAGATAGGTTTTCACCCAGTTCTTGATATTTCGAAAGCCACGATTATATACGAACGCCAGTAATCCCCAGAGGCATAAGAGGGGTATGACCGCATCCAAGTCAATCCCGGTATACTGTTGAACGATAGGGGAGATGCGCTGGAGGCCCGGGAAGAAAAATTCTAATACTGACACTTGCCCTTCTGTTGCTGGTCTGAATGTGGAACTCACGTTCTCTCTGACCATATCAGCGACGGGTAACATGACGAACAAGGTAAGCAAACGCCGATGCAGAAAGGTAGCTGACAATTATTTAGTGACGGTCAGATTGAATGAGTATCTCGGTTCAAAGGCTGAGGAGAACGACTATTCTTATAATCCTCTGGATAGAAGCTGTGCCGTATTTCCTACGCATGCCTTCTCAAATCCTTCTTCATGAAGGCCAAGGCCACATCATCTTACATTCCGATGAATTGGGACACTTGCTAGACTGAGCTGATAGCGCGCTAGGATATCAATTGGTACCCCGTAATTGATTATTCATTTCCTTCTCCGTAATGAGATGATAGTGTGCTCAAGGAGTTCTTCATGATACCGTTCACGATTGTGGCTTGCGTCAAACATGCAGAAGTACATCAAGTGAAAGAGACGCTCACGAAGGGTCGTGCCGATGCATCAGGGGCTGCATAAGCGTTTAGGTTGCATACAGATGTGGAGAGACCAACTCACGGACCGAAGACAGCGACACTGATGCAACCAATGGAATATCCCTTCGCCTCGACTGTCAGCGGGACGTCTCACTTGAGCATTGCTGTTGCCATATGGGGAGAAATCGGCGCACTCTGACCGTGCATCCACCACCTTTGGATCGACGCAGCACCAATTGTCACGCCTATGCATACGTCACAGAATCACAAGTCTATGAGGAGCTGTATGTTTCGTTCGATATGGCTTGCATCGAGCATGCAGTGCCACCGCTTAGCTTCCACAGATGGTTGTTTGAAGTGGATGTCCCGAAAGGACAATGTCTTTGTACCAAGGATAATACAAGCATCCATCTTGTTGGATCAACGTGTACATGGCTTGCATACATCACTAGTTCGTATAGAACACGAGGAGGCATTGAATCGATTAGATACTAGCACGATAAGACGCACTATCAGAGGTGGATGACTGCCTTTCTTAAACTTCGTGACAATTCCATAGCCTCGAACCAAAACAGTGCACCCTCTATGCAAACATACCGTGTTTCCCCACTTAACGCACAGACCCCACTCAACGCACAGTTTAAGAATAGCTACTACTACTACTTTTAAAGCTGTATAGCTCTATATAGATCTAATTATTATAAGATTTTTTAAAGAAGTAACGTACTTTATTAGCGAAAGCTCTATATTACTAAAAGCTCTAAAAATACTAAGTAAGAGAAAAATTAATAAGTATTTCTTAAATAACTAAGCGAAACCTTAATATTTTTCTATAAAATTTTAAAAATATATAGAACTATACTATATATACCTTCTATTAAATTTATACTATATATTTCTTATTACGTAAGCTAGAAGTAAGTCTTTTTCTAAAAGTAGCTATTCTTTAAGTTTAAATCTTAATAGTACTAGTAAATCTTAATAATAAACTATAAGACTTTAAAGATATATTATATACTATAGTATAAAGTCTTTTATAAAGTTTTATAGTATTTAGCTTAGTAATACTAGAGATATTAGCTTAAAGAATTTCTAATAAGTAGTTTAGAGATTTCTATTATAAGCTATTTTCTTAACTAAGACTAAAATATATATTTATACGTAAACGTAAAAAGTATACTTTAGACTTTAATTATTTAGTAATAAAGAGGTAACGTACTTTATTAGTAAACGTCTTATATTACTAAACGCTCTAAAAATACTAAGTCTCTACTAAAAAGCTACTATCTAAATTAGATTACTTTAACTCTAAGCTACTTAAGATAAATCTAGATAAGCTATCTAACTTATCTATATTATCTTTAACTACCTAGTATATTCGCGCGTTATACTCTAGCTTACTATAGCGTCTATAGCGTTACTAAGCTAGCTAGCTATTATATACTACTATCTCTTCGCGCTACTTCTTACTCTTATTCTAATTTATAGCCTCTCTTTAAGTAACTAGCTATAAGCTAGCTTTAATTATAAGAGTATTCTCTTTCTAAATCTACTTTCTTTTACGTAAATTATACTTCTTTTTCTATACATTAGCTACTTAAAGCTAGGTAACTTTAGACTCTATAAGTACTAGCTAATACGCTATTAGCTTATTACCTTTCTTAAGCTAATTAAGTAACTTAATAATATAAGTTAGTAATAAATTAAGGTACTATATAATCTTTAATTAAATTAGAGTTAATTAGAACCTTACTTTAATAAGATTACTAGGTATTTTATACTTCTAGATAGTAGTATTAGTAGTAGAAAGTATTAGCGTACGTAATTAAACTTTAAGCTTTAATACTACTAAATCTAGGTTAAATAGAATTAAGCTAGTACCTTTAAATTCTACTCTAATATTATTATTTATAATTAACACGTAAAAAGCTACGTAAAATGTAAGTAGAAACTTAGTTTTTATAACGTAGTTAATATAGCTACGTATTAGAATCTTAACTTAGTAGCTATATACTATCTTTAATAGTAAAAAGTAGCTAATATTAAGTAGCTATAGAAGATATAATAAATATACTAGTATATAAAGAGCTATAATTTTATTCTTTTTATAGTACTACTAGAATTTAATAGAGCTATAGCTTTTATAGCTATCTAAAATTAGTAGATAATATATATCTATAACGTAACTCTTAGTATATATGTTAAAGTAGTTTAACTATATAATACTAACTTTATTTATTATCTAGCTACTTTTAGAAATAGCTATAACCTAGTTATATAGTAGCTAGCTACTCTTATACTATACTAAGAGATAGTTCTTACTTATAATAATAAGAAATAGTAGAACTTATATATTATCTACTACTCTTACTATTATAATTACTAAAATCTACTTATAATTATCTAGTTAAAAGCTTTTTAGTTATAATTATCTCTTAGAGCTAGTAACTACTACCTAAGGTAATATTATTTCTATTATAAAGCTAGATTTATTAAAATTATATATATCTTTATTAGTAATACTATACTTTACCTTTATATTATCTACTAGATTAAACTACGCCTAAATAATTATAGAATCTTTTTACTTTACTCTCTAATAGTTATACTTATAATTAAGCTATATTTTAAGCTTAGAATAGCGCGTAATAAAGTTATTTAGCTAGTTCTTATCTATAACCTTTCTCTCTTACTCTATAAGTAGCTTATTAGCTATATCTTAAATAGTAGCAAGCTAAGAGGTAAATTCTTATACGTCTAGGTCTAGTATATACTTAACTATTACCTACTCTTTATTTATAGTAAGCTTTATTAAATTAGATATCTTTTTACGTTATAGAGTAACTCTATTATATTAACTATAAAGTCTCTTCTACTCTACGTTATAGAGAGCTATAGCGCGTTATAAGCTTAGCTCTAGGTTCTATTAAATAGTCTAGAGCGTAAGCTATATCTAGAATTTATCTAAAGTTAATTAGACGTTTATAGAGAGCTTTATAATAGAGATAGTAGTATTTAGTAAAAGCTTAGTATTTTTAGAGTATTTACTTATATAGACTATTTACTTATAAAGTATATTAGTCTTTAGTACTATCTCTAATCTAGACTCTTTCTAGAAACCTTCTACCTAAAAGCTAGGTAGTTTAGAAAAATAAGTAGTATTCTCTTCGTCTATTTAGAATAGTAAGTTTAAGAAATAGAACTAGAAGCTATCTAGATAACACGCTTCTAAGTAATAATCTTTCTAGCTATTAACTTTTTCTTAATTTAAGAGCGTTACGCTCTCTATAATAGTTTAACTTAACGCTATAGTCTAACTCGGCTCCGCCTAAGTTATATAACTCTACCTAGCGTCTTAGCGTAGAAGCTCTATATATATAAAGCCTCTCGAAGTATTCTTTTACTTCTTACCTTTAGATAGCTAAATTTAACCTAATCTACTCTACTAGCGTCTCTATTCTTATAGCTTGTAGAGATAGTACTACCTATAGCTAACTTACCTAGCTAGATATTCTAGAATACTTATAGTAGTAGAGACTATAAAGCTAGCTCTTATACTCTTTTCTTATACAAAATCTAATATAAAAAAAAAGAGCTACTAGAAAAGTTATAGTAAAGATAATTATAAAACTAATTAGTTAGAAAATAGAAACCTCTAATAGTAGATCTTATTACTCTACTATTAGATTACTATATAGATAGTAAACGCCTCTAGATTACTATTACTATTTAACTTTTAGAACCTAATAGTAATCTAGTAACTTTCTAAGTACTATATAATAGTAGTATAGAAATTAACCTTATTTAATTAAATACTACTAGAGAGCTATAGCTTACTAAAGCTAGTTAAAGAAAGCTATAAGTATAGTTTCTTAATAATAATTAGCTATAGCTAGTATTCTCTTATAACCTTATAGTTACTTATACTAATAGTTATAGTAACTTAAGAGTAATAGACTTATAGCTCTTCTAGATAGCTAAGTTTATAGATTATAACCTTATCTTAGATTATCTATAGCTAGTAGAAGCTAATCTAAAGATCTAGTTTAAGAATAGAACTTTTAAATAGTAGAATCTAAATACTATAGATAAACGCCTTAAGATTTATAACGCGAATACTCTTATTAAGAATCTTACTCTAGAGAAGAAAGTATACGTACTCTACTTCTAGAACTTTAGAGTAAGAAAACTTATTATTATAGAGCCTAAGCTACGTACTACACGAGAATAACTTATTCTATACTCTAAGATTACTATATAGAGAGAGCTAGGCTCTCTAGTTCTAATATAGTAATCTTCTTTCTTATTTTTCTTATCTAACTAAGTAACTTCTACTAAGCTCTCTCTTTTTCTCTATAGTAATCTAGCTATATAAACTTATTATTATATAAATTATAGTAGGCTTTAACTATATAGAGCTTATTAACTAATAATATAGTAGCTTTAAGTAGTTACTTAAAAGTAAAGTCTTTTTAATAGTATAGTATAGAAAGATAGAAAGATACTAAAACTATCTTAAAATTATTACTTCTAAATATATAGAAGACTTATAGTATATATAATCTTATAGTATATAACTTTATATAGCTAGATTATTTATATATAACTATAGTTAGAGAAGAAAACTCTAGAAAGACTTCTTATAAACTTCTATCTTTTATTACGCTATACCTAGAAGAGCTAGCGCTATAGAAGTTTTCTAGAACTCTTTATTATAATATAGATACTATATACTATAAGTTTTATATATTATTATAAAGATATAATACTATTTTCTAGAAGTAAACTAGATTTTTCTTAAAAGTTAGTTAAATACGTATAGCTTTTTAATTACGTAATCTATTCTAGTATAACTTTAATATAAGGTGTAATATACTAGAAAGAATATATATCTAAAGTTTTATAGAAAAATAGTAAGGTTTCGCTTAGTTATTTAAGAAAAACGGGTTGATTTTTTTCCTTGCCAAGAAATCGTGGGCTATTCGATGGTGTGGGGCTTTCGATGGTAGAATACGTTACTTAAATTTAGTTAGTCTAATATCTTTACTTAGCCTATTAGAGATATTCTACAGAAACTCGCTTAATATAAACACAGAAAAAGAATTTAATCGTGCCATTGCTTCGTCTGCTTCGTTCATCCTAACTTCCACCACTTCCCCTTCTCCACATCCCCTTCCCCATCCGCATCGCCTGCGCCTCTTCCTCTGCCCACCCCTCTCCCTATCCCACCTCTTGCTATGCCTCTTCCCCTCGCACCACCTCTATCACTCCCGGTGTAAAAGCCGCTGCGGAACTGTAACTCGTACACGTCTTCCTTCTCGCCACTCAACTCCTCCAGCCTCGCGCTCTTGCTCTCAGGTACCAGCAGGCTCACCAACATACCCAAGAACATGAAGAGAGCGAAGATCTGCATGACTCCGTGAATCCAGGGCGTTGGGTTGTCATGCGTCGCCCCGCGTTTGATCATAGGCGCGAAGAAGACCTGAGCGATTACGGCGCCGAGCTTGCCTAGGGCAGCGGAGATACCATGGCCCGTCGAGCGGACGCGCGTCGGGAAGATTTCAGCAGGCGTGATAAAAGTCGTTGCGTTCGGCCCTAATTAATCCGTCAGCTGTGGAAGAAGTGGAGACGAAAAGATGGGATGGGCATACCGAAATTGAAGAAAAACTGAGCAAGGACATAAAGAACGAGGAGATCAATCTGTGAGAGACCCCGCCAAGCAAACCCGAGGATGCAGAAAATGACGGTAAGGATGGCAAATCCACCGATTTGAATAGGCTTTCTTCCTATTTTGTCCACGGTAAAGACGGTCATCCAGTAGCCGGGTATGGCCCCGGCGCAAATGAGGACAAGCTGGCCGGTTGCTGTGTTCTTGAGAGCCTCATATAGATTCGCCTTCTTGTCAAAGCCCATAGTGGCGAGTAAAGAAGCAGACGACAAGCCCAACCCGTAGAACGCCAGGTCAAGAAAGAACCTAACGTGGCAAGACGATTAGCGTCTGTCACAGAACGGTACTTGTACCGCAGAGTTGGCTTACCATGAGAACGAGGTTCCGAAGAGCTTGATGAAGTTTGACTTCTGACGGTAGAAACGGACGATTTCCATGACCGTTGGACGGGGTGTCTTATATTTGGCCATGTCGCGGCGCACATGCGCTTGTTCGACCGGGTTCACGGTGTTGCCTTGCTTTCCATAGCGGTACCGGCGGGCATCCATTGAGGCTTTCTCGACATCGTACAGCACGTCGAACGTGTATCTTGGCGTCTCCGGAATGGTCAGACGGTAGTAAAGCGCAAACCAGCCCGGGATACCTCCAAATGAGATCAGTATCCTCCACATCCGATCTACCGAAGCCATGCAGTCGCCGCTGCATGCAGCCACCGAAGGGACGGTCACGAGGTGATCCTTGTAGATAGCGGTGACAATTAGTGCCACGAGTGATGCCGCCAGTTGCCCAAGACCTTGCATGGCAAAGACGGCCGCTACGATGCCACCTCGGTGTTTCGTGCTGGCAAACTCTGCAGTTATCACAGCACTGAGGGGATAGTCGCCTCCTACGCCAACACCCATGACGACGCGATAGAAAATGAGGACCCCCACGACGGATACGGCGTTCGACTCTCCACAGAGTGATTGAGCGAGGGTCGTAGAGATGATGATCATGAGTTCGACACCGTACATCTTCTTCCGTCCAAGAACGTCGGCGAGAAACCCAAAAACACATTGACCAAAAATGGCTCCTGCGGATGTAGCGACTTTGATGGCTGTGTCTGCGCTGTGTGGCATGACGCCCTTGTTGACTTCGTCTTGCCAGTATACAATGCCAAGCATGATGACGGCCAAGTTGATGGCGAACAGCTAAGCCGGGGTAAGCACCCTCCTTCAAGATCATCCGGAAAGACTGACACTGTAGGCATCTGTAAAGAAGCCGATACCGGTGACGACGGCTAGGCGGACATGATACCATCCGAAAGGCTGAAGGAGGATTAGAAGATCACGATACTCTGGCGAATTCTGAGCTTACCGCTTTATCCACCTCTGCAAGGGCCATCCGTCGCCGCTCATTGGGGTCGGCAATGTGCGTCTTTTCCTATTAACGATGATCTGAACGGTCGGCTACATGTATACATACATAGACGCTGTTGGCATCATGGTAGGCTGAATTTCCCACCTTCGGCGCGGAAGGCATCGGCGAAGAGCTTCCTCACACTCTTTCTGGTATGGAAACAGGCCTCTGTGGTCGGATCCGTCATACGAGTAAAGAAGGATCAAAAGGCTAAAGCGCGCCCGGTATCTGGGTAGAGGCCGGTATAATTAAAGCAAATGATGCGCGCGTAGGCTGCTGAGACTGGTGGTCGGGCATGGGTGGACGACGGATATATGGCCTGCAGTGTGGTCAGCCAAGGCTCGCCTTTCCTTTTGCTCCGCGTTTCTGCTCTCCAGACAGAAAAAGACGAGGACGACACGCGAAGTGGAGTGCCATGCAGACGGATAGCAATTGGACAGGCGGCTGCCAGGGCGCTTGATAAGTTGCTTGGGGTCGGGCTTAGCGCGCCCGAAGTGCGGGAGCACGACCACGAGGGGGTGCACGGGCTGCGTCTGCGTCTCTGATTGGTCCTAATGTGCACAACGTCTTTGCTCCCGCGTCGCGGACGAGACATTCAAAAATGCCGTGATTGTGGACTGAGCGCACTCGAGGAAATTCTCTACCGCAAACATAACCAAAATCGCCAAGCCTCTATCGGCGCACCGACCCGCTCCCGGACACCTTTTCGCGTTCTGTACCGTAATCTTTCTGACATAACCAACGCCATGTCCCACCACCCCTGGAAATCTTCACGATGCTACAGCTTCCCTTCTCGTTTTTCTCCGCTTCCAGACTGTCATCTACGGAAGAACGTTCGACACGCTACATGGTTCACCTTGTCAACTATCTCGCCCGTCGATCACAACCAAGTATAAGTCTTCAAGCAAAGATTATCGATCTTAGGTCTAACTCTCTGGGCAAGCATTTAGACAATGATGTAGGCAAGCACGGTTGCAAGGGTTGGAAGCGGTCACGGTGCCTCCTCTGCGGCGATGGTACAAGCGCAAGCTTCCGGGGTCGGGGCGAGCTCACGAGGCATTGTCGGAAAATCCACGTTACATACGGTACATTCGATCGGCCTTTCCCATGTCCAGAGTGCGTTCTTGAGGGGCTAGAGGAGACGACAATTGAAGGAGGCGTATCCGCATGGAGCCATCACGTCGAGGAAGTCCACGGAACGTATCACACGCCTTATCTACCTTCCGATCAGTCATCACCAGAGAGCTCCTCACGGTGTCTGTTCTGTGACAAGACTTTCACCCGACGGGGCCTTCAACGACACATCAAGCCAACCCACATTCGGAAGGAGGCCGTCTTTCAGAAGCCCTTCTCATGCCCCGAATGTCATCGCCAGGGAAAGAATGAGATTACGATCGATGGCGAGGAAGAGTGGGATCGCCATGTGGAACTGTGTCATGGCCAGCCTGCGGAGGAAACTTGTGGAATTCTCCACGGCAGGAAGAGAAGGAAGGATGAGGACGATGTGGATGATGTCTTGGAGACTGAATTTGCAGCCGTCACTGTCGATGGTGCTGCTGCTGGTGAATGGATCCCTAGTGATGAGGAATGGATAACTGATGATGAGGAGTGGTCAGACGATGCGATATCGGATATCGCGATCACCACGCCAGACTTTTCTATCGACTCGACATCTTCTGGCTCGCAAAGTCCAAAGACTCCTGGCACCGCAAGTTTGACTTCTATTAAGTCTTCTGACATCTTTGACGATATCTACAGCTTAGATTCTCGCATTTTAGCAGACGAATCAGACAAGGGGTGGAAACGGATAAAGGTGCATGAGAAGCCGCCCACTTTCGATGTCGGAGAAATCTTTGAGGTTCCCCTTCAAGTCCACTTAGCTCAAGGGTTGGCAGTTGGTGTGGTAGTGTAATGATGCCAAATATCAGTAATCTGGATCAGCATGTAATATATGGGGCGGATATGGTAACCGAAAAGCTTACTATGCAGAAAGAAGGGGTTCAGAAATGGAACTTGAGTACTTTCAGATTCGCTCTATAACCTCCTCAAATTCAAGGTTCGTTGCGCTTATCCACGCCCCTGATGGCAGGCCTTACACATGAAAAAGTAATACCCGCGAAGTGTCCCCCCTCGGAAGCCACCCCTGCAGTACTAAGTCCAAAAAAGGCATCAGGCATTCCTAAGAAGAAGAAGAGCAAAGAGCAGCACAAAAGCGAGAACATCAGACGGCGAGTCGAAACAATACTCTGCAAATGCCATAGACGTGCAAGGTTTGACGCAGAAGTTTACTTTCACGTACGTCGTCGAGGTAAAAGCAACATATTTACCACGAACTAGGGTGTTGCGCCTCCATCCATTGAAGATTATGTATATTGCAAATCACGCACGATTGCGAGACCGCGCTGACACAGAACAGGCAAGATACTATCCGCTTCCAGTCGTAAAGAGGCCGCAAGATTATCAGAAGGAGACTGAGCCTAGCACTAAATGAGGCATGGGATCACACGTGGATGGGAAGATGGGATGATCACGAAGCCAGAGAGTGTAAATTCGACCTATATACAGCTATCCAGCGAGTATCAGTCTGTGTATACATTGTGAGCCCTATGTACTTATCCAGTATCGACGTGGCGATCCTCGCCTTCGACAACGGGATCGAAGTACTGACCCTTGTCAACCATAAAGCTCTACTCATCGCTGTCGTAAGAAAGAAGAGGCTTCGTCTCATTTCCGCCTTCTTCTTCCTTATTCTTCTTCTCCTCGCCAACAGGGCTAAATTATTCGGCTAGGGTATTTGGGTAGGGTAGGACTGCAGGCTGCAGCGCTAGAAATGATCATCTGGTCATCTTATCCCTCCATAAGAAGCACCCGTGTCAATCCTTCCAAAGGGATCACGACATAATCCAACAAAGCGTGTGATTAACGACTTTGCGACAACGGAAGCTATATATTCGAAGGCTTTGCGATGCTGGAAGCTACATGGAGAATAATCAGTTCACGTAGAGAGTGCTGTGGTTCCGTGGGGATCTGATAGCGAGGGTTCTGTGCTCTTGGAAGAATGCTACGATGTTAGATGCCCCTTCATTCCGTCATCTAACGAGATAATATACAACAATATGGAGTCATTTAGAGCGCGAAGTCATTGATGAAGGGCTCGTTGCGGAGCGCTCGCATCCAAAGCATACCACAGTCATTACCCCGACGACCACGTAGCCATGTAGATAGTATGGCTGCTGCAGAATGGTTTATTGAGACAATCAAAGCATATTACGGATGAATACTGCTGTAGCAGACGCTTGCCAGCCCGGAGGAAGATGGTGTGGAGGCTGTAGAAGGGTCTATTTGGGGCACTTTTCTACATATCATGGGAGAACACGGCAGCGGTCGCAAGGGCATGTGCTTGATCTCGACGACGAAGAAGAGTACCGCCCAGCAAATACGTTAACTAAGCTCGGCAATCAGCCCACGAACCAACTGTTCGTCGTCATAAAGCGAGAACCACCCCTTTCTCGTGGCGCTCCACCGCTGGAACGCTGGAGGTAAGGGGCAAGCATACTCCCAATCAATGACGGCGACAGGCCACAATGTTTTCTGGTCTAACATGATATTGTGCGGTCCTAAATCGCCGTGAACCATAACAGAATTATCGCTGGTAGACGTCTTAGGTACCCAGGTTGGCCTCTTGTCGTACCGAAGCACCCAGAGCGGTGGAACCATGAATCCTTTTATTGCGGTCGAGTTGAATCTCAGAGTGCTGAGCCAGAGCAGAACTGTCCCCGTGATGAACTGGTCGGTATTTGTTTGGGCTATGTCGATACAAGCGGTGCAGGAGCCTTCATAGACTCCATGATCTGGCTGCATCCAGCATCTGTCGTCGACCATATCGGCGCGAACAGCGTTTTGAACAAGCTCAGTCACCAGATACCATCGTCCATTGCTGTCTCTGCCGACACCTTTCACCCTAGGTACTGGAATCTTTGTATTATTGGCGATAATCCCTAGGACCGTAGCCTCGTTTTGGAAACGCTCCGGCAGCCATGGAATCACGACGGGTTCTCCGGTCCGTTTGTTGATGGGTCGCTCGTCGAGAGGACGCTCGCGTTTGATGAAGGTGGTATCGGTGAAACTGTAGCATCTTTCGTCTGAGTTGACCAAAAAGCGCTCATCCGGCGATATAGAGGCCATAGTATACACTAATAGCAGAAGATGTGGAGATGATGGAGGAAGTGGAGGCAGCGGTGTGCGGGTTTCTGAGCAAGATCATCTAGACGATGCAAGATCTCAAGAGCGCAGGCTCCAGAGACGGCGGCTTGATTCTGTGCCTCGTAGATAGTCCTGCCGGTTGCATATGCTTTGCCCTCGCGGGGGACCTGTTGTGGGGTTTTACGACTGCTTCCGACCCTTGCCGAAATATCGCCGAGATAAGGCTGTCAGCCTGTGTACCATCAACGCCACCCATGGGTGCACCACTCTTCGATTCCAACCCAGCGTTCTAGCTGTATAACATAGCTATAACCTCTTTCAACCCCGTCTCCTACACCCTAGTCTCTACGGTCGACGTCGAACGGGGACTGAGTCGCTGCTCTCCCGTGTGCTATTAACATCAGACAAGGATCTCTTCGATCGCGACGTAGTATTCTAGCCGCACAACATACCCATGCTCAGCATGCAGCTCACCGCTGCGTGCATGCCGGCCACGATGCGATGCCGCCTAGATTCCGCCATCCTCCAACACCCATCAAGCAACGTCCTCTGCGTTTGGCGAGCGTTCGCAAACCCTCTGACAAGCCAGTCCCCCGAGCGAGCTCCCCGCTCGCCCTCTGCCCTGACAGGATACGCTTTCCGCCGCCGCGAACTAGAACTACCGTGCGACACAGCCACCATTCCAGCTCCGCGAGGCTGAGAACTTGGCGATAATAAGAGACAAGGAGGCACGGATACAGCGTTGAAGGCAAAGCTGCAGACGCTCGACGCAATGGTCGAGCGGCTGTCAAATGTCGGACAGCAATGTCGGCGAAGGCTCAAGGATGCGGATACGTCGTCGGGGAGTGATAATGTGATGGGAGGGCTCGAGGACACGTTTGAACTGTCGGAAGGAGCTTGAGACTGAGGCGAAGAGGAAGTGTCTTAGCGGCGACAAAGGTGCTGCTTGCGTTAGATGCCTGCACCGATGTCGCATCAGTCGTACCTGAACCCACCGTCATTACAATCAACTCTGATACACTCATCAAAAAAACCGTCGAACGATGCGCCCTTCCTTTGTCTCGAAACACGCCTAAACCACATTTCCTTTTATTATATCTAGGTCTTATTATACGTTTACGTAAAATCGACTTTATCTTTCCAATCCGAAGTATAGTTAGATCGAAAGCCATCTAACCTGTTGCCAATTAGATGGGATCTGATGATCTCCGACCGAGACAGGTTCACCATCACCGGCAGACTCGTAGTTCGCGGTTTGCAAGCGTCCGTAGATCCCAGTATGTCGGCGGCAGTATGGACCTCCTGAAGTGAAAGATGATGCGAAGGAAGGTGAGCAGAGGCGCGACAACGCGCTGTGCAGGAGGCTGGTCCGGAAGAACGTTGGCACTACCTCCTGGCAACAGATCTTCTAAGAAAAAGCTGCGTTCATCATTAGCCGACTTTCATCCTTTGATTTGCTCCGCTTCCTGTACCACCGCCGCGGCAGCGTCCATCCAGCTCATGGTGGAGAATATTGGAATTGGGCACTCAGAAATTGTCGGCCAGATTGAAGGAGCTAGTTTAGCTACGATTCACTTAACCTCGAAGCATATGAGTTCGTTAGCTGAGACAAGTAATTACATTCATTTTGCCAATTTTCCCTCAAGCCATTCCACTAGGAGAGCCTGGTCTCTCACAATACGCCTCAGTCTCCAGGAATGTCTCCAGCCCATCTCACTGAAGACTAACGGAGAGGATATCTTAATATCCTTCAGGTGCAGATGACCCTCAATAGCTTGGCGAACAAGACCAAAGATGCTGGGGTCCTCTATTAAATCGAATCTGATTTCCAACTCAATGAACCTTAGCTCCCTCTGAAAACGCAAGAATTCTGCTAGCTTCCTCGCCTCGTCCTCACCGTCCTCACGCTTGTGCATACCAATATGATATTTCGCGCGTCGTATTGAAGCTGCATTGTGATTGTTCTCGTTGATTCGGTGGGCGCGAAATGCATTCTCTCCGTACAATACGTAGTGTGCCTCTTGGTATATAAGACGGCATGTACCTAAGATGGAAGGATGAAGGTTGTTCGGACAGGGGATATGGTATCCGTCTTGTGGAGGTGGTATCATGCGCACGTGTCGCTCTGAACGAAGAAGGATGCGATAGATCAGACACCGGATTTCTGGTGGGAGTCGCAAGAATGGACAGCGCAGGAGCGAAGCACTTGTGGAAATTGCTACAGAGCGTCAGCACATTGCCATTCTACTAGGGGCTCCAAACATGAAAAGCGTACACTGCATTTCATTCGGCACGTCTACGTATTTGCGGTGTTGGGTCGAGTTCGCGAAGCTGCTTGTGTTGTGCGACCACGGCGTGCGTGGGGAGGATGATAGAGTACCGGGTGGAGATGCCGATGCGGTCATGGCGTCGTAGACAGCGTCCCAGATGACTTCGTCGGGCTGTTTGTTGAGGACTGCATCGAGGAGGGGTTTGACCCGTGCAGTGTCAATGATGTCAGAGATCATTGCTATATTCAGTCTTGCGAGATCGTGTAACAAATTCTCGCTCCCTTTCTTGGATGGAAGACATCGAGAAGCAGGAAGAATTTGCAAGGCAACTATCAGATCGAAAAGGGTGGCTTTCAGTTCTTTTGGCAGAATTAGCCGTGATTTCGCGTACGGGGCTGGAAGAATGTTACCTTCATTATCCACTTCTTGGTTATCGTCGTCTAGCGGGTTCAAAGCGTGCGTATTGCGAAAGCCATCTAACCTTTTACCTATTGGGTTAGATTTGATGATTTCCGTCGGCCGAGATGCAACCACCATCGTTGGTACACGGGTAGATAGCGTTCGCGACTATGCGTACGACCGGAGATGTCCGCAAGAGTAGAAGTAACCGAAAAGAAGGGTGATGTGATGCCTTGAGGAACGAAAGCCTCTTATTAGAGGACGGGCAAAAGTCGGGCCGCGCCGCCTCCCAGCAAATTCGCGGGGACCCACATGGTTCCCTCGGTTCCGCCTAACCCATCAACACCGCGATGATGTAGGCTTCCAGCATATAATCCTCAACAGGCCAATTATCTCAACAGGACCGGGTTTTAATGAGTTCAACACTTGGAGCGGTCGCGTTGTTCTGCTGCCTGTTGGGCATGGGTATTTTTCCGCGATCTCTGGTCTTCTGGGGACCTATAGTAACTCATCACGTGCATGCTTCTAATGTGCTTAATCATCTAGCGCACGGTCTTGGCGAAATGCCCACCCACACGGAAGCTATCAATTTTTGGAAAAACCCAAGACAACAGCATCAAAGCACACCTGTCGGTGGCTGCACTGGTCTCTGCAGGCCATCGCGCGTCCCTCCGTGTCGATTTGGTACCTGAGAGCCACCGTTGTGGTCACGGCAGGGATGGACAACCACGCTCTGCGAGCTACAAAATATGACACGTCCATCGGAGGCAGCGGCAGCCATTTAGTCGCGACATAACAACGATGTTGCAATCCATCTGATGCTTGCCTTTGGCTGCGATTAGGCTCTCGAGGCATTGATCCTCTAAATTGGGAACCCCTCGTTACGACACTGCTTGGCTGAGAACCCGAGACCCACCCAACAGTCAGCTAAGCGTTCAGCAGATTACCCCAGCCACAACAATGCAGACAATGTCTAGCAATCGTCCGTATCCTCTTGATTTATCCTCGGATGGCGAACAACCTTCTCGGTATCTCATTCTTCCTGGAAGAACGGCGATTCGCTGCTAGCGATGGCTCTCTGCGCTACGATCTATACAAATACCGCGCTGCACCACTTCCCTTTCCAGCGGTATCGAGAAAGCACATGTGGGATATGCTCTTTGAATATTTTGTTGGAACCAGACGAGTCAGAAAACCGGAACGTCACGCATGCATGTACTTTCTGCGCTGTGATCCCCGGCATATGTGAACGGGGCTTTTCGGAAGCTCTACACCTTCTTGCACTTCTTGCTTGGTGGACCCCAAACAAAGCAGGGGTTTGCCGCCATTTCGAGCGTCGGGTGCCGCCAAGGCTGTAAGGAGATTCTTGGCGCCTTTCCTCGTAAGGTCTTGCAATTGGAGTGCATTGACTACAGCGTCATTACTAAGGCCGATCGAGATATCTGGACGAGGCGTCTTTACATCCCATTGAGGGGTTGGCGGCGGTCCCATTCGTTCAGGTCCGCGATCCTGTTTATGTGATTAGCGACAAACAGAGCAAAGTCGAAGAACGTACCTTGTCTTCCGGGTTTATATCACCAGTGGCGGCAGCCCCTGAGGTATCTGGGGATGTGTAAGCCCCCTCTCCATGTTGTCGCTTGCATGGCCGGTCGAGGGAGTCTTCGGCCTCATCCTGTGGCGAAATCAGGATACCAAGGTTCAACATCGGAGCGGGGATGCGCGGCTTGAGGCTTGGTTCCCAATCTAGCGGTTAAGTGAGCATGAAATGGAGGGCTTTTGAGGAAGGCCGAGGGAAGATGGGGTATCCAGTGATATGCCTCGCAATCTTGCACTCGTTCGACGAGGATTTTCGGACATCTGCACGTGCTGGGAAGACTTCCGCCCGGTATGTCTGGTGTGGGGAAAGGGTGAGATGAGGGTGCCGTTTGCGCGCGAATCTTTAGGCTTTGTCGAGGGCTCGGTTTTGCGCCTAGGAGTCATGTTGGCTGAAAGCAGAAGGACCAGAAGGGAAGATTGATCCGGCAAGAGGATGGGAACTTGGGTGGTTTTAACGTGACGGAGACATACATGAGAAAGCGGGAGGGCGGGCCAAAGCTCAGATGACTAAGCAGATCTCGCCTATGCCATCGCCGATAGAACAGATGCGTCGAACTCAGCTCTAAGAATTGCCGAGCTATTGCCACCTCATCCGCAAGAGATCCAAGAGTTTTCATGTATGAGAATGAGAATACCAAGAAGAGCGGACATCGTATAGTGATGGAGAACGACATGCCAATTTGGTGAGCGAGGCTGACGCTTGAAGTCCACGGGTTGACATACGCGCTAAGCCCCCAGTGGACTAGCGCCCACTTTCTAAGCGAAGCGAATTCTACGCACAACACCTCAGGTCAAGGAACCATCGCGACATCAACGTCCCAATAACCACAGCGCCACCAAGTATGCTCCCCCCAGTTTCTGAAAAGCCTCTTCCAGCTTGCTAACGCCGATTGCTCACAGTTCCTAATCCAAGATGAGTACGCCGCGCCCGCCGAGCCCACCATGAAGCCGAATCGTCGAAACTGACCGCGACACAGCGAAGGGAACTTCCAGCTTCGGCAAGCGCCACAACAAGACGCACACGCTCTGCAGACGTTGCGGTATGTCTCTACATCCTCTCGACTGGAATTGGGCATGGAAACGGCGGAGATAGAGGCGTGGACAAACTCTCGGAAGAACACAGGACTGACAGGACGTTTGCCCAGGCCGCCGCTCTCTCCACATCCAGAAGCACACCTGCTCCTCATGCGGATATCCCGCGGCTAAGACCCGCAAGTGTACGTCTCCCCGCAATCCTTGAAGACAATCCGGTCAGGAAATAACACGAAACAGTCAACTGGGGCGAGAAGGCCAAGCGAAGGAAGACCACGGGCACCGGCCGCATGCGATACCTCAAGACCGTCTCCCGCCGCTTCTCCAACGGCTTCCGAACGGGCGCTCCCGCCAGCACAAAGGGTCCCCAGACCTCGTAGACGATGGACGGTTGACGGGAACAGGGGATAGCGCGGGCGTGAAGGTCGAAGGGAACAGGAGCATGAGCGACAGACGGGTTTTCTCACACTGGCAATGGTATTGCTCGGGGCGTTATTCAGCATCCCCTCTCCCAATGGCTCTTTCCATCCCTTGACAGACGGTGAGGGTGGGAGATACCTTCTGGGCCTTGTGGCATAAATATGGAAAATTTCATCATGGTCTGTCACGAATGAAGACATGAATTCAAATGCTGTCGTGCGGAATTGGTGTTTGTTGATCGACCTGCGTTTACCTGGGCTGTTCGACGCTACACGGGCCGAGCCATTGTGTCCCCAAAAGGATACCGGCTATCAGAGGCCGCACCTAATTGAATCTCGGGCATGCACCATCCGCCGCGCACTGCAGTGTTTGCATAATGACCTTCAGAGGGGCGTCTATTGCGGCTGCCTCGTCAGCCCTCCCCACCAGCCCCCCTCTCAAACACCCTCACACTCCCATCCCCCTTAACCAAATACAACAACTCCCTATTCTGCTCCTCCCCCTTCCCCTCGTCCTTTCCACCACCGAACCCCAAATCCACCCAGCTCTCCCTATTCTCCGTCACCCGCAGCACGCCGCTGACATCTCGCGCAACCCCCGTGTCCAGCACCCTCACGCTCAGTATCCGCCGGCTCATATGCGCCATCTTGACCAGGAAGTTGTGCTGCGCGACTTCGAGCGGCTGCGGGGGCGTGCTGAGCGACAGCAGCGGCGTGTCGGCTTGCATGTGGACGAGGATGTGGGAGGCTTGCGTGTGGAGGGTTAGGAGGGTGGATGTCAGCGCGGAGGGAGAGAGGCTTGGGACTGTGGCGAGGAGGATGTCGGGGTTGTCGAGGAGGAGGAGGGTTTTCCTCTTCGTAGATGCGCTGGAGGCGGATTGGATGTGCATGAGGGCAGAGGAGATAGTAGCTTTGAGGTGCGCGAGGTCTGGAGATTTGAGCGTGTAGAGACCTGGTGTACTCGATGGGGAGCCCGCTTGTGATATCGCGGCCGTCGCTGTCATGGTCTGCGCTGCTGCTGCTGCTACTGCTGGAGTACCCGCCAGACCTCTGACCGGTCCTACCCTCCCCGGTGCTGGACCTCTTACAGGCAAACCCGCCCTCCCCACCATCCCAACCGCCTGGCCTTGCGACCCCCGCTCCGCCTCATCCTCCTTCCGCTCAATTGGCGGCGGCGGCGGCAAGAAAAGCGTACTCAACCCATCCACAAACGCAAACCTCGCCTCCCTCCTCAACCTCTCCAAATCCAGCCCCCCGCCTTTCCTCGCCTCTTGTCTCCAGAACTCGTATTCCCTCATCCAAGACACCAACACCACATCCGCTCCGCCATGCTCCTCTTCGTCGCTATCCTGCGTTGTCGTTGTTGGGGGAGAGCTTAGCGCATCGCACAGAAACCGTATGACGAGCCAATTCGCGCTGGCTCCGAGCGTGCTCGTGAGCAGGAGTATCGAGTCATCGCGGGGCAGACGGACGTAGGCCTGGAGGAGGGGTGGTATGCGAGAGGATGGTGGCATGGTGGAGGGGTCTTTGTCAACGCTGGAGAAAATGTTGGATTGGGTATAGCCTGAAATTTCCTTATCGATACGGATGAATGATGGATTTGAATACTCAACTTCACGTCACCGAGCACTCAATTGCGGGAACAGTTTGATATATTTTTTATCATTCTTTCACATTTTTTTGTGCTTTTTCTATCATACTCGCCAGTTGGAAATCATACAGGATATACAAGATATTTTCTAGCCGCTAAGAGAAATCCCGAACGCCATGCTTTTTCGCACAGCCATGAGATTCCAGCGAGCAGATCTCCAAATGGGTCCTCCCATGCTCTATCCCGTAGTATGCGACGGTATCCCTCAAGGGGAGACCAGCCGCAGGTGCCCACCGCCACGGATTACGTGAATCGTATGAGCCGGTCCAAAGCCGAGGGCTTCTTCCGCTTGAAATCAATCGTGACTGCTACCTCATGCTGCTGCTGCGGCTGCGTATTGTTCGTTTCATCCTTTCCGTCCTCCGTGTGGCCACTACCGCTCCCATCCGGGCTGGATGGTGGCCTCGTGGTCACACTTCCGCATTCGTGGATTTCTTCTTTGGTCGCCGCTGGAATCGCATCCTGCTTCCAGCTATACGACGTAGCGACTTGAGATGAGGTAGAGTCGTGGGAAGAGGATGCTTCAGGTGGCGGCCTCTCATCGATAGTCTGGGTCTTGTGGTTGTCGACCGAAGAGGCAGCTGTGCTTGGTTTCGCCTGTTCTGGGATGCTCTGTGCCTCAGGAGCGTTTCCTGGAGTCGCAGGGCCGAAGTCTAACTTCAATAGCTCCCCGTAATGCGTGACACCTTGTGCGGTCTCGATTTCACCCAGGCCGCGCTCAGTCGCGAGTGCAACGTCGGTGTGGTTCTTGTGCTTGTGGCCGACATGCTGCAGAACCACCGGTTGTCGATCGACCTTGCTTCCGACTGCGATCTTGCCTAGCTCATTAACGAACAGCCACGGAAACGACATGAGGGGCATGTGCTCTGGATCCATCTTTCGTACCGGAGCGATCTGACCGGCAACGATCCTCGTCTCCCCGCACTCCTTGAGAGCGGCTGCCATCTCGCGAGCGGTGACAGTATACATGGCGGCGACGAAGGGTGCCATCCGCGCAAAGTCACTAGGATTCGCTCCAGCTGCCCTACAGCATGCCTCGCGAAATTGCGATTTCAGCACTCCGATCGTTCGACCGAACTCCTCTGCGAAGGTGTAGTCACGACTCTCAAGGTTGTGCGAGAGAACAAAGACAGACCAGGTCTCAAACTCAGTTCGGATGGCGTGTTTGGCCATCAAACGCCTCATGGCAGAATCGTACCCAGACTTAACGTTGGCAGCTGCCTCAAGGATAGCTTCGTCTAACTGGAAGGCGTTCAGGATTCGATCGTCGAAAGCATTCTGGTATTGTGGTTTGAAATCGACGAGCTGAACTTGGTCGTACAGCATGCCCAGGATCTTCTTAGACCTGTATATCTGATGCTCGGGTCGATTATTGCTCTCCTGAAAGTGCGGCCATTTGCGCGGTCTCAGCTCTCGGTCCATGATCGCCGGTATCCCGCTCTTCGGATAGTCGACGGCTTGCGAATGCAGTCTAGCCAACTCGAGGCCTGGTTCAAGTCAGTCACTTGGCTCTTCGTTGCAAACAGGGCAATGCTTACACTTCTCATCACGCACACCTTTCTCGTTGTAGTCAGCTTGGGCGAGATGAGCTGTGGCAATACGTCCAAGCGCATCGTTCTTCATGTATGTCACGAAGAAGTTTGTGATGTCCTCCACCGTGATCGGTCTATCCAATTCCGTAGGCTTCTCCGGTGTGAAGTCCATTGGAGGTTCATTGACGGTTTGTGGCAAGAAGTCGCTGTCCCAAAGAACAATATAATCGTCGCCGTCAAGGTCTCCTCCGGAGCACATGTTCGCAATGTCTCGATCGCCGGTTTGTGGAAGTACAACCACGTTCTTCATGTGGTGCAAGGCGGGCACGTCCACCGCACGCACAACACGAACATCGCCCGGATGGAGCGAAGGGTTACGCGCCAGAACACAGATCCCCTCGATGATCTTATAGCGTCCCTTCTTGGTGGGCTCAGATATCTGTAGGAAGATCTCCGGGAGGGTTGCAAGTTTCTCTTCTCGCGTGGCGTCTGGGCGGGATTGAGGATCATCGTAGTGACCTTTAAGCGTCGCTGTTTCGTCAACACATCCCAGAACAAAGGCGCCATCCTCGAGGATAATTCTCGCTTTCTCCTTCAAGAACTTGATATGGTATGCCCGCCACAGCTGGAGTAGCGACATCATGAACGGGTCTTTGGTCTTCATGAACCCGTCCAGTATCATTCCGGCCATGGTTAGCGTCACTTGGTTGAAATCAATATTTCGCTGCAGCTTTTGGAGAGCAACGCTCTCTTCCTTCGTTGCTCGCTCTAGGGAATTGACCATCTCTTGTTGCTTTTTGATAAACATGAAGTCTGGAATGCCGAGGTTGGAGAGAATGATGACAAGCTGGCGATTGAAACATGCCACTGCGAGGGAAGAAGCTCGGATGATCTCTAGGCCGACGTATTGGGCTTCAAACTTGTACTGGCTATCCCGGATCTGGACCACGCTCCCTGTTAGCTTGGGATCGACTGCGAGGACTCCCTTGCAACCACCGAGGCGGAACTGGTAGAGCGAGGGCGGGTCGTCGAAAGGATTCTGAAGGCCCAGCTCCTGTGCGGCCATCTGCGCTAGGAACAGCGACAATTTTCCAACACCATCAGTGAAGGTAAAGCCGTTGCGAACTATGTCGGGAATCATTTCGATCTTGACATTGATGCTCCGAATCGCTCGAGTAGTAGAGAAGCATTGCCCGAAACGGGCACCAAGCTTAGCGGCCGTCTTGATGCGGCTGAAATCCCCCATGGACCGGCGAATGTCGTTTGCCGACTGCGAGGTTGTCGGAGCGTAAAAATATGCACCATGCTCCCGAAACTGCGCGTTCCCGAAAGCAAGAAACTCGTAGTACCGTCCAGCCACTACGATACCGTTGGTCATGGCACGTCGAATTCTCCCAAACACCGCGTCGGACCGGTCGTCGTCTTGATAGTGTATCTTTCCTTCGGTCTTCTCATCGGTAAACTTTACGCGTATAAACCTATCGGCGTCCGCTGCGTGCTTGCGAATGATCCGATTCGACGTCTCCACGACCGGGGTAGCTACGTGGATCATCGTCGGGGTGACGTTAGCCGCGCGTGTGAGCACGCAATAGCTCGGAATTTCCTTGGTAAGGTCTGCCTTGATGCGGATGTTGAAGACTGCCATCGGATCGAAGTACACGTGCTCCTTGTCTGTGACCTTCTCCAAAATATATACAGCATGTGCCGGATCCATTGATGCGAGTCGCTCGAGGAATTCGCGGGTAATGGTATGCTCCTTCAGGAATCCGTTAGATAGGCAGGCCTCGAGTTGGTAGCGAACTGGGAAACTAAGATTGACTTGGCCCATGAGGAGCTCGTTGAAGGCAGACTCTTGGAGAGATGGCTCGAGATGCGGATGGGTACCAGATATCTCCTCTTCCAATAGAGATCCCAGCTGCGAGACAGTCCTCTTCATCAGGCCATACTCTTGAAGACTTTTGATTGCGATTCCATGATCGGCAAGGGCGTTGCTGAATTCGTCGTACTTCTGGCCTTTCAGAGTTGATGGATCGAACGAAATATGGTAAGTTGACCATCGGCCTATGGCAATCAGTGGGCGATCTATTTCTGTCCCGGACGGTTCAACTCACCAATGTCAATGATTAATCCCTCTTTGTGGTTCATCACAGGTGCGGATTCAAGCTGCTTCCTGGTCTCTCTATCCACCACGTCTGTCTGCCGATACCACGAACGGAAGTCGTTCCAAACCCTGTCTTTGCGGCGGCATGTCTTGGAGATCGAAGCGGCCTTGACCTGCATGAAGAACTGCGGCGTTGAGTCGAAAGGTATGATCAAGGCGCATTCACCAGTCTCCTCGTCGGTAACCCTGTAGATGGTTTCGAGAAGAGAGATAGGTAGTCGGAACCTCAACTTCCGAGATTCTCCATCGATCATGAGAGGAAATTGGAAATCGAGCTCTTTGCGGTTCAAGCCAAGCGTCATCCGCACTTCCTTCGGCGCCCTCACGTTCTGCATGACGATCATGGTATTGTCCGCAACCGCCACGCCGAAGTCAATGGAGTTTGCGTAGAAGATGTTGAACTCATTGTATGCTTTTCTCGGGTCGACGGGGCTACGGACAGTGAACAAGCGAGGTACGGCCTCGTCGGCCCTCACACGAGCTGAGCCGACGAAAATGGACTGATTGTGGATGTCGTTATGAGGCGGGGGTCTGAGTATCAAGCATTAATATCATATCAACGTCTGCGACAGAAGACCTACTGGAAGGTAACCCAGGCGCGTGAGGAGCTCTCGGACTCCATCTCAATCCTGACGATAGTACCATAAGGGGATAGGGCGCGGTAAAGATCTCCCGTCCAGAAATCTCGTGGAATGCCTGTGACCCGTACCTTGCCCTCTTGCATGTAGGCCCAATTCTGCCCTCCGTTGCGAAAGATGCCGTGGTCGGGAGTGTTTTGCCTATTGAAGGTTCGACCGAAAGATGCCTGAGAATTCGGTGGCACTTGGAATGGTGCCTTGGGTCCGTATGCTGATGGCGTGCTATATTTCGGTGGTGTAGAGAACCTTTGGAATGATGGGGTCCTCATGTCTGCAGCTGAGCGCTGATGGTTTGGGGTGACGGTGGAATTCGTCAGGGTTAGCCCAGGATTGTGAGAAGAGCTTGGAGTCGCGGTGGCCGATGGAGTGCTGAGTGGCTTGATGACGGGCATGCCCGGGCGGCCCTGCCCATTGGGATTGTCTGACCTCGTGAAGCTACCCGCCGAAGAGCTCCTGCTGCCCCCGCGCCCGCCTCGACCGCGTCGACGATAGCCGTTGGAGTTCTCACGGTCCATGTCGTGACCGCTCGTCTCAGAGCTCAGTTCGGAGTCGTTATCGCGAAAAGGACTTGACAATTGTCGCGGATATGGCTCGTAGGCGTCGAGGGGGGAAGGCGGGGAGCTATCGAAGGCAGAGGCTGGGTTATGTATGGACGCGTCCATTATTCCGTTTGTTGACGTGTTTGCCCCCACGCCAGGGTCGCGTTCGATTAGAAAGCGCCGGAGAAGCAAAGCTTGGAAGCTTGCAAGGCGGTGGAAGCGCGATCGTGGGTGACCGCGTAATGGGGAAATTGCGACAAAGGCAGGTGGAGACGGGCGAAAGAGAAAGGCGCTTTCTCGGGCGTCTTTGCGCCTTTACTCGCGGTGAGAAGTCGGTGGACGGTCGAAGGACAGGTGAGTGTGGTCAATTGGAGCGATGCGGGTGGGTGCATGCGTTGTTGTTTGCTCCGGTCGTGGAAGCCGAGCCGAGAGCAAACGGACGCCCACCTGTCGGCACAGAGATGGAAAAAGCGGAGCTGTCGCAGCTGCTTCAAGTCGTTTGCGATAAGTTTCGGCGCAGAGACTGGGAGAGAAACAGAGGTGGCGGAGCGTGGAGGGCTCCGAGAAGCGGTGAGGAAAGAAGGAGGAACTCGGAAGCGTCCTTGCCAACTGACAAAATGTATAAGGTAAAAGAGATTTGCGTGTAAGGGGTGTATTATAATGGCCTGGGGCTCGGCAGCGACAAGCCGTGGAGACTCGAGACAGCAATGGCTATGTCTTATGTAAATTGAAACACCTGGTGGGTGTAGAGATATACAAGCGGTCGTCTACCGGCCGGTCCCACAACTGCAACGTATCGGGCAGCTGCAGGGAAGGAGCCAAAGGTCAGACGAGAAAGGGAAATTTGGCTTTATCTGAACGAGTATTGTGTAAGGGTGAGGGCGAGGGTGAGGGTGAGGGTGAGGGAAGACAGATGCCAGCACGAGAGAGGTCGGAAACAAGCCAGCCTGTAGTATAGACTACAGTCATCCAAGCATTACCCGTTACCTCGTTCACCGTCTATGCAGGAACCTGTGTACTCAATCAGACCAAGTGACTACCCAACCAAACTGACTGAAGCGTCGTCGCCACAAATTCCCGCATAAGGTTCAGACTCATTACCACGATCCAAAGCTACGAGGAGTCATCACAGCTCAGTAGTCGACTCCTCATACTCCGGGCACTCTTCTGGTACCTGTGGAGAAGTTGCCGGGCGTAAATGGCGTCCCCACAAGCCCGTCCATCTCCAAGTCAGCTTGCTCGGCTTCCTGAAGGCTTCCTGAAGGCTTCCTCTCCGCTTTCTCAATGCCAAACTCTGCTTGAGATCCTGCTCTTGCTCGTTTTCTAGAATGGCAAAGCCGACCGTAGTGTGTCAACGATTAGGGGAGACTGGACGCAGAGCAGAACGCTTCGTTGGCGAGAGATTCTTCGGGGCAGGTCTCGAAGGGGAAACGGGGTTCTTGTTGAAGTTGCGGCTGTGCGCAGCACGCATGTTAGGCGCTTTGTATGAAGGACGCGGCTTAGGGCGTTTGGGAGTCGGCCCGTTTTGATTCTCCAGATCCCTCAAAGCTCCAGGGTCCCAACACCCCTGCTATCCGCACCACCGAAGCTGTTAGCGGATATATAAGGCGTCATAACTAGAAAGAGCAGAAGGATTAGATCCTTTTGCTCCGGAAAGAAGCTATTCGGCCCCCAGTACCTCTCGACACCAATGGCGACTTCGTCTTTGAGCATCCCACCCGCCATCGAGACGGATCCGCTTGACGGCAGATACGGCGAGCTCATCGAGATCAAGAATATCGGGAGCAAAGAGTACATCACGACCGAGTACAGCTTCACCAAGCGCCAGCCTCTTCGCGTCGCTCAGGGTGGCTCAACCGGGTGGCAGTGGGGGCCGCAGCGCCTTCGCAACGAAGCCCTGGTCCTAGACTTCCTTGGCGCCAACACCACCGTCCCAACGCCCAAGCTGTATGAACACGGCTGCGACAGCCGGGGTCGCTATTACGTGACCATGGAGCGCATTCAGGGCACCCCCCTCTCCGAGATTGGCAACCAATGCCGACAGCCAAACGGTGTCCAGCACGTGCGGACGGGGCGATGCCAAGCTTGCCAGCAGATAGCTGACGAAAACGCCGATGCATTCATCCAAAGCAACGTCCTTCCCCAGCTTCGGTCGCTCCAGTCTAACAAGACAGGCTTCGACGGATTCGTCCTGCCACCCCCGCGCATCGTCGAGACGCGCACTCGCGAGAGCTGGCCAGTCAAGACCTCTAAGTCGAAAAAGTACTCTTTGATCCACGGAGACCTTGCACGCCACAATATCATGATGAGTCCAAGTACGCTACAGGTGGAGAAGCTCTTTGACTGGGAGCACGGCGGTTTCTTCCCCCATGAGATGGAGCGGGAGGTGTGGTGCGTTCAAGGGCGTGAGTACTACGACCTGTTCAGGAACGATGAGCTTATCGAGCACGAGATTGCTCTTATTACGCCCTAGTGCACATGTAGCTAGCACAATAGCAAGAGCTCATGGTAAACGGGTATCAATTTGCAGTCGTCAATCTGTGTACAAAAATTCCCAATCTCAAGCTCTCGTGTGCAATCTGCCTTCCTCCGAAACAGACATCGCGTGCGTAACCAGATCCAGCTTTGCGAGCGACCGTCTCAGAACCGCCTCGACACCGTGGCCACGCAGGGCGCGTTCCCGTCCCTCGCCCGAACACGCCCGTCTTCCAGAAGGACTATGACGAGGAGTTCGCCGCGGCGCTGGACTGCACGTTCAGCGCGCTCGCCGTCGAGCAGCTCCTCAGGCGCACCATGTATCGCGAGGCTGCAGACGAGTGGCCCATTGGGCACACGCCGCCCGAGGTGAAGGAGCGACGCCTCGCTGAGCTGAGGGCCCTGGATGAGATGGAAGGGGCGACATCAGACGAGGGCAGCGACAGGGACGATGGCGATGATGCCACTGCCGACGGCAAGGCCCGCGCGGACAAGGCCCGGCCTGCCACGGGGCCGGTCTCCCGGACACAGCCGCAAGAAGCACAAGGGCTTCTGACGCCGCCGCTGTCTGCGCATAGTCCCATGCCGACACTACGGGGGAAGAAGCGACGACGTGGTGAGGAGAAGGACGAGGAGGAATATCCGAAGAAGACTCGAGTCATCTCCACGGCAAGAGCGGACGCTCCAGAGGAAAATAAGCCAAATAGGTCCTAAGGGAAGAGTTAGAAGCGGCACCCCCTCTCCTATCCCATGTTGGACCCTTAGGGAAGTGTTTTCAGGCTACCAAAGCCCTTAAGCCCCTTGCCTATTGATATCCTCCAAGTCGCCTGGTTTGATGTAGCCATTCTCCACGCCTTCAATATTCTCCAAATGGTCATAAACTTCCCAGCCATCTTCTTCTTTCCAATCTTCCTCCTTTCCAGGGAAAGGATTATGCATCGAGGCTAACAGTTGTGCCTCCCTTTCTCCACTAAACAAGGCTTTGTTGTCGCGAGCGGAGCATTCTTGAAGTTCATGTGTGCTTTGCCGTAATGCTTCTCGAACATTACGTTGATGAGAGATGAACGGTACAGTGCCATGGCTCATTCCAGACAGGACATCGAAATGATACGGACGATGCTCATACATCAAGCGTTCTGCAAACGTCCGCTCTTGCAGCACGGGCGCCCAGTCATACAAATAGGCGATTTGAAGGGCGATATGGGTTTGAAGCATATCATTATCGGCGGGGCAATCCAATAGGCTGTCGATCAAAGCGTCTAATAAGCCTGCTATTGGAGGAAAGATGGCGGTGACCAGGGTTTTTGTATTTCTGGGGCATATTCTTCAAGGTTGAAATTCCAGTCTGCAGCTGGAAGGACAGTAGTTGTTGGTCCCGGAGGTTTCGTACTTGGTGGTGGCGGTATAGAGGTGTGCGGGTGAGGCTTAGATAGTTCTGCGTCGTGACTATCTTGAGATGGTGGTGTTAGACGACGCTGTGCGTAATCTACGTTTGCATTTCCAATTTTGCCCTTCTCTTGCGGAACGAGGGTCCATCCATTTTGGATAAGCACCTGTGCAGCTGTCTCAATGTCTGATACAAGTACGTATAAGTCGAACACAACTGTTGGGGCGCCATAGTACGCGACAGCATCCTCGAACCAAACTACGCAAGGCATTCCGTGGTCGTGCTAAACATAGCACGGCTGGTGTCGCGGGTTCGAATTATTGATCGACATCGTGCGGAGAGGATTCCACGGGCGGGGAAGAAACGATTGAAATCTCCTAGCAACGCCGCGAGATAGAGACGATCTGATGTTGTTGTCTTGGTTTTCCCGAAAAATGAGTTCTCGCTGTTTGTGGTGTTTTTGTTGCCTAGTTGTGGCTTGCGGGATGGTGGTACAGTGAAGTTTCGAGCGGGTGGGAACCAGAAGAATCGGGACTAGAGGCGCTTAGAGGTATGAGTCATCAATTCCCGCACGGTGCACGTGACTGCTAGGCCGTGCTTTTAAACACCTTTTCTTTCTTGCAATGGAGCTCGCGACACCTCACTTCTGTCGAGCACACGTCGCAAGCAAAACGCCCGTCCCAACTCTCCTACTACTACTGCAGAGGCCGACCAATTTGTTGCTTTATTCAGGCCTACTTGCCACACTGTCTTCGACGCACTCTTGTCTCGATGTCGACACCTACAGCATTCAATTTCCCGACACCATCGGCGGCAGCAATTGCGGAGGCCTTGCAGAAAGAGCGCGAAGCCGAGACTCCGGAACTGGATTGCTTTGCCTACTTTGAGCACGACTACAAGTACGTATGCGAACAGGAGCACCAGCTGCTTACGCTCGTCCGAGTCGACCGACTCCGAGACACGATCACGGACGCTGAGTATCACGAGATCGAACTCGACTTCTACCGCTCGGTATACGCCCAGATGGTTCACGATAAACTGCTCGGCAAGCACAAGACAGACGGCGAGCTCACGCTAGATGGCCTTCGAGGGATGAAGGCATCATATAGACGAATGCTAGCAGCAAATGGGCTCACTGGCGATGCATTGAGGGAAAAGCGGCTGGAGATTACGAATCAGAAGTACTGGAAACCAGAGGCCGAGCTTCTTCAGCAAAAAGCCTCCTCCGCCAGCATGATAAGCTGGCCGAGCTTGCTAGACAGCATGCGGAGACGAAGGCAAAATCGGGATCGAGGAGAACACCACCCAAGACTACCCGCAGGTCTTCTCGCGTGGCGACACGAACAGCCAATGCCATACAATCGCTTCCAAAGTCAAGATCGAACCCGAAACCAGCAGGTCGCATAACTGGGCGCGTTGCGAAACACAAGGGCAAAGGCGGCCTAAAATCCCGCCACCCCTGAGACTCCCACATACCTTATATTATTATATGCTCCTCTGCACATTCTTCCTTGGCAATAGGATAGGTGGTAGTCGTCCCGTCTAACAACACACTTTGTGAGCTGCACTTATTTCTCGTCATCGACTTAGACCCTTGGTCATCATCTCTTCCACTCGCTCTCCCCTTCCCCCGCCCGTTTACTCTACCCCTACAACTAACAGCCATGGCTACTACTAAAGCTGACGCCGCTCAAGAGACCATTTCGGCCGCTGAGACGACGGACCTCAGTCGCTATGTTCTGATACTCGGCAACTTCACCAATCTACCCGACGTCGCCAAGTTGTCCGAGAACTACAGATATATCTTCACCCCTCCAAAGGAAAGCCACAACTGGAAGGAAGCCATGACCGGCGAGGTCCGCGGCCCCTTTCTAGCTCTGGAATTCGAGAAGGACATGTACAACCCGGACGGCTGGATGATAGGTTCTTCGGACGATACCGACCGATGCGTGTGCAGATTGCTGTGGCTGGCGACAAGTCTGGCATTAGTAGGCAGCACCTTCGAATCGATCTTGACGTGGAATCTACATGGCCGCGTCTTACTCAATTCACCCATCGGAACCCATTGGCCGTTATTGTTCACGGGAAGCGTGGAGACCGCAAAGCTCCTCCTTACCCAGAAAAGGTCCGTCAAGATCGAGACGTTTGCCCCATCACGGTCAACTTCGGCACCTCTAGCTTCCAGGCATGGCGTCTGATCCTCACGTCCCCAGACGAGACGAGAAGCTACCATCAGCGCCTTGAGAAGCACTTCAAGAACTACTTCGACACCATGCCGGTTTTCCCAAGCATTCAACCCCTTTCCGGGCCCGAGACCTTCGCTGTGCGGTTTGGGCAGAATAGTGCAGTATACAAGCGGGAGGGGGAGCTAAGCAAGGGAACAAATGGGACGGTCCATCGGGTGGTGGAGGCGACCTCCAGGAAGATCTATGCTGCAAAGGAACCGTACTATAAGGCGTCCGACTCGGGCACCAGGCTTGTAGAGCGGTTCAAACGTCTGGAGGCAGGGTACGACAAGCTAATAGAGCTTAAGCGCGTAAGTCTATGTCTGCTAATTCACGATTCTCGGCATACTAGTGACCATGCTTCCGCTACCTCAGCCGCACATAGTCGAAGCCGTAGAGCTACTGCTCGTCGCCGACAACAGACAGCTTCCCCCATGGATGATTATGGAGTACATCGAGGACAGCCTGGACAGTGCTCTCACCCACTTCAAAGGCGCCCGGAGCCTCGTCATCGTACCTCAATTCATCGAAGCGGTGGAATTCATGCACGCCAAAAACTGTCGCACATAAGGCCTTCGTCTTTCTTTGCCATTATGTTCAGGCTCATAGAGGCGCTTGCCTCGTGTGTCGCATCCGCGATACCTTCAGTCTCCCGCTAGTGTTCAGCTTCGTCTGTGTGTACCTGCCCTCGCACCCTCAGGGCTTGAATATGTTCTATGATGTTCCTTCTGTGTGTTATTGTTGCCTCCCGCTAGGTTCCTATGTGGCCATGGTGTGTGGTGTGACCTGCCGTCGAACGCAGCCGTAGCAAAAGCAATCGTGATATGGCATCATGAGAGCGATGCTCCACTCGTACAGGCCGCCGAGCCTACTGAGCATGAGAGATCCGCCATGAATCTCCTCAGACCTTGTCGGGTGTGTCGAAGGGGGACCAGTCCTTCTGCATGAGGTTGGGAGGAGCGACAGTGGACGAGGCTGTCTGAGTACTGCTGTATTGTGTGGCATCGATCGTAGCATGCCGGGTGTCTGGGACTCGATTCGCGTGAGAGGTGATGCCGTTCGGCGGGAAATAGTCGCAACAGCCACTGCACTGACCAGCCACACCACTTATGCCGGGTACCACAATACAGAGCCTTCCAGAACGACTGTGGTGTGGCGCATAGCGGTAGGTTACCGTTCTTTATCTTCTTTCCTCCCTCCTTACGTTTACCTTCCTGGCGCTTCTGCACCTGCCACCCTGTCTCGGCGCTATGTCGGTCATCGTTTTCACCCGTAGGATTTGTGGCATTGTTGCCCAGGAGGGCTGACGTTCTGAGCAGCCGACGAAATGGTAACTTGCTGCGTCACAACGGGGGGTGGGGAGGGCGAAGGGGTTGCTTTTGGTCGGACGGGAGCGAGGCCAGGAGATCGTGGGAAAGCGTCGTCTCAGTCGTAATTGAGGGATATCCTTCCACTCGTGGCCAGGCTGCGGAGATATGTTCAGCCGAGATCCGCGCCTCATATTTTCCCGCCGCTTTGAGTCCAGCGCGAACAAGTTCGCCCAACGCTCTCTACCAGGGAGGGCGACCGACCTGTGTGGCGTTGTGGGATCTGCTGGCAGAGCTAAACCTTTTTGAGTGTCTCTTGCAGCATAAGCGAGGCAGCATCTACAGCGAAGAGCAACGCGCCGCATGTTCTTAGGCTTTCCATTCAGCGGTGTGCGCTGGTTCAAGAGCCTCAACCGGCATATACCGAGCGTTAGCCCTTATCACCGTCGAAATATCTTTTGAACATTTCTCTCAGTATGGAATGGGACGAACGAGCAGAGCTTGCACATGACACGCTGTGCGACGAGTGGTTCAGCAAATTCCGAGCACAACGAGGCCCGATTATTGCCAACTGGGTCTCTTCTTTCCGCAGTGGCCATCCAAGCGCGATTGTTGAAGACCACTGTGGTTCCTTCAATTGGAGCTGCCGCGTTCGCTTCAAAGACAGCGTGGAATGGCTAGTACGATTTGCCGTGCCTAGAAGAGTTATGGACGGGGACGAGAAGCTACATCGAGAAGTCGCAGTGATGTGCTTGGTCAGGGAAAAAAACAAAGATCCCGGTGCCCAAGGTTCATGCTTGGGGACTGTCGAAAGACAATGCTCTAGGGTTAGGGCCCTTTATCATGATGGAATACATTCCGGGCGGCGAATGCCTCGGTCATCTTTGGCGAGAGGGGCCTAAGGAACGGATACTAAGATCCGATATCAGCGAACGGGACCTGCGCACTGTGTATCGCCAGATAGCGGATTTCTATCTCGAACTTTCAAAGTTAGAGTTTCCCAATGTTGGGTCTCTATCTATCAGGGACGATCAAAGTATCCACTCGGACTTGGGGCCGCTAACGCTTAAGATGCAAGAAATAGAGGCACATGGAGGAGTTAAAGTTGGAGGTATTGTAAAATCCAGTATCTGGCTCATTTACGTGCTAACCTAAATCTAACAAGGCAATCACTCGACAACATTTCCATCCGCGAGAGGATACTTCGACTACGTCGCTAAGCAAGATATGGAACATTTGTGCGGGCAGCCCAGCTCAGTCGACAACGCTGATGATGCTCGGGCCAAATACAGGTTCCGCCATCAGGTTAAGGCCATCATTCCACGCTTTACCGCCGACGAGTATAACCGGACCGGCTTCAGACTAATATGCGATGATTTTCGCTACGGGAACATGATTGTCAACAACGCAAGAGATCTTAAGATAATCGCGGTGATAGACTGGGAGTGGGCATACGCAGCGCCGTACCAGATGTTTTGCTCAGCGCCACGATGGCTTCTAATAAAGAACCCAATCTTCTGGGCAGCACCCAACGGTTCTGAATTTCATCGATACAACGCATGCCTAGAAATTTTTCTCGACGAGCTTAAACGGGAGGAGAGCGAAAGAAACAAGGTTACGCCGCAGCTTGGACTTCAGGATGGACTTTCTGACCTTATGCGGAAGTCTATGAGCGACGGTAAGTTCTGGTTCCACGAATTGATATATGACTGTTTCACAGCTGCCGACAACTCAGCCTGGAAGGCCATTTGCGATATCTACCCTAACACCGATGAGCTCGCCCCTATCTCAGAGCCGGAGCTTGATAGGTTCGTTGGAAAGAAAATGAAGCAATTGGCGGCGTATAGGGCGGACTGGGGCGCGATAAAGGCAAGGATCGATCGCGAACAGGCTGAATTGAATGAAAAGATGCAACAGATGGCGTTCGAGGATTTGGAAGCTAGCGAATGCAGTACGGAGCAAGTCGGGCTTGCGACGAGGAACGGAGACGTGGTCGAGAATTGGAAGGTCGGAGGCGTCGATGAGGGGTAAAGGGAGACGGGAAGCGACCCATTTGGGATAATATCTAACGTTGGTTCAGTGGTGTTGCCTTCCTTGCTAGTCATGCAAACTTCGATCATCGACGGCGGTGACACTTTTTCCGATCAATCATGCCACTGGACAATACGACCCTACCAAGCGACCTCGATATTATCAAGCTGTGCGTGAGCACAGCGCCATTTGCTGGGACCCCTTATGGAAATCGACTCGTCGCGATATCGAAGAGGCTGGTCGTGAAGTTTGGGATTGGCGTCAAAAAGCAGGAAACCGACAATCAGGATTATGCACGCCGACATGTGAATAGTGCCATACTATACATCCCACGTATCTTTCGATTCTTCGAAGTAACACATCCAACTTTCACAGTCGGATATCTTGTCATGGAGTGTATAACCGGAACCAACCTTCAAGACGTAGATCTTGCTTGTCGACCAGAGGTTGTGGAACGTACCATCGAAGCGATACAGCACCTGAGATCGATCCCCATTCCTCAATCCCAAGGCCCCGGGCCTGCCGGCGGTTCACCTGCACAAGGATACTTATGGTCTGAAGATGGAGCGGGATATGCCTTTAAGGGTATTCAGGACATGGAGAATTGGATAAATGAGAGGCTTGACGTTGTCAATGAACCCCACGTGTCTTTACATCAATATGTCCTTGGCATGTGCCATATGGACCTTGTAAGACGGAACATCTTCCTCCTCCCCAATTCTGCAATATGTTTTGTCGACTGGGCATTTGCTGGATTCTTTCCACGGATCTTTGAGGTCCATGTTTACCGAGAACTACGTGTTCAAGATGAGCTTTGGTTCGATCAGCTGTTAGAACGTCTGCCAAGCCCAAATGAGGATGACGAAAGAATTATGAGTCGACTAGGCATACCAGCATTTGTAGACATGAAATACGCGTAAGTCATACTACTTCATTACTTCGAAAGCTAACAATCACAGAGTTACAGCTAGAAATGGGAACGCTACTCTGAAGAGCGCTACTTTGCCGACGCCATGAGCAAGTTCAATAGAAGGAACCTTCTAGCGTTTTCAGAGGAATAGGAGAGGTGTTCTTCGAATAATTGAACTGAAGTGCAGGCACTAGCTGGGTTTCAATGTCATTTGCATCCACCCATCCCCGGGCGGCAAGACCTCGAAGTACAGCGAGACTGGCAGGGTGATTAGCGGGGCTTTGCTGTCTAGAAATTGATGCTCGTACACCCAGTGCCTGCAACCGACTCCACCTGCAGTCATATTATATCGGTGCCAACCTTTGGAGCTTATTTCTTGCTCGATTTGTGCCACAGCCAGGCCATTGACTGCTGGGAAGTCCCACCATCGTACAGCCGTTCGAGACTCTGTAGCTGCGTCGAGTGACTTCGTACACTCCTTGGACCACACTAGGACGAGGGTCTGTCTTCATATTGATCTGCACTGATCCTGAACCATTCAGAAGTAAATAAATAGTCCAATGGTTTTGACTCAAGTCTCCGTTGGGCATGACGGGCCCTAGTTTCAACTGTCTACGCAGACCAGACGGAGAACCCCTTCTACGAAATCTCAGATTGATAAATAGAAGAGTCAACAAGCACAGCGGCGAGGTCGAATACTATGTTCGGTAGAAGAATTGGGATCCTGCCCACCAGGAATGGGTCCCTATGTCATGTCTGAAATCCGCGAACGACCTCCGCCTGGATTACGATGAGCGCTTTCCTCCAACTCCCAGAGGAATTCAAGAAAATCGAACGAGCGACACGCAAATGGGCCAAAAAGACTGAGAAGGTAATGCGCAATCCAGTCCGGCAGCCTGCGAGGAGACCGAGAGCGGTGTCAACTCTCCCAGGAAGCTCCTCATCAGATTCAGACACCAACGAGGTCATACCCACCCGGCAAAACACCAGGTTGGCTGACAGATTAAATCAACGAGGAATTCGTACGACCAACAATGAGCCCCCAAATGACCGGGTACCATCAACAGGTCCAGATCAGGAAATACATCATGAACAACCACCGGCGGACGACCGCGATGGCCGGGAAAATCCGACACTACTAGGTGGCCAACATTCCACGGCAGTACGGAACCCGGACGACAATCCGAACGGCCGGCAAACTCGGACCCGTCGCACCCAGGCAAACCCGACGATGGAAACACCCCCGTCGCGTCGAGACTCTGAGGATCTCTCGGACAACTCCTCACACAGCCTGGCAAACTCAATGAACGAAGCATCCCCGCCACATCCCAACTCTGGAATCCATAGCTGCGCGAAATGCGCAAGTTCCTACACAAAACCGACAGTTCTCAACAACCAGAAGAAGAGACGCCCGCACCCTACCAGCGATCACAGTACGGACGAATACCTGGCCAGGACCGTTGGTGGTTTCGTGGATGAATCATGACGAGGCAGACCCTCCGCAACCATTCCGAACCCACTCACCGGAAGTCGCAGCCACACTGATGGACACCCAGCCCCAGGACAATAAGTCGAAGGACAATAGCGTCTAGCGGTGTAAGTGTCGGTAGTGTGGCTGATAGGGGCGTGGCGGAGGGTTTTGTGGTTAGCGTACATGGGGCGGAGGTGTGAGTAGGAGAGGCAGAAATCGGTTTTGCGGAAGATGGGGGTGGGCTTGGAGCGGTGGGGGACGGTGGTGGAGAGATAGGTGGGCTGGATGGATTGCGATTGTCTGTGTTATTAGTATGCAGAGAGGATACGAGGAGAGACACATACACGCTTTCCTGCCGGAATCGTCCACGCCCGTACAAGATGATAGCTAGTTGGAGCAGCGGCGTCATAACATGCAAGCACCACGCGTTCTCATCCATGGTGTGCTCCTTGCACGGATGGGTCCCCTGAAACACGGCTTTGACGCGATCTAGCGCCAGCGCGGCATCCGCATCCTCCTCCTCTTCGTCATCATAATATGCCGCATCCTCAATCGGATCGAACAGCAGCGACGCCTTGTACGTCGGATCCCGCTCCAGCGCATCCCTCACACAAGCCGGAATGTATTCTGTTTCCAGCCGATGCCGGAGACGGTTCCTGTAGTGTCCGAATACGTGGCGCAACAGCCGCAGGAACGCATTCGCCCGCCGCAGCCAGTGGGTGGAGGAATATGGGCGGGTGTGCGGTTTGGAGCTGGGTGATTTGACGCTGCGGGGAGGATGATCGCGAGGCGCTACTGCGCATGCTGAGCGTCGTCTTCTCCGTCAGGCTCGTCACACTCGTCACGCTGCCCACCACCGACGCGCTTTGGGTGGGCGTAATGGGCTCGTCGCAGTCAACGCGGGGCCGTTTGGAGGGAACGGGTTGTGTGGGCGTGGTCGCTCCATGGGGTCGCTGTGTCGGCGGCGCTTGGGCGGGCGCGGGTGCGAAAAGGCGGCCTCAGCGTCGCTTTCGGGGTTCGCAGAGTCGCGCAGCCATGCGTTGATGCGCTCCGCGGCGACCCAGGACGGGGGGCGAACAGAGGCGGACGCGCCGCACGCCGATCCACGTATGCGACGCGGTCGTTGTTATAGAGGAGAGGAGCCATGGCCCCCGTTTCGTAAAAGCCAACTAATACGCCAAGCCGCCAACGATCCAAAATGTATTCAGGCGGGTCTAACGTTCATCCTGTCTTCTGGAAGCAGTCCAAAGGAAGATGGTGGGTGATCTCCCAACTCTAAGCATGTTATAATAAAGTATAGAGGCGTAATAAGACCCCATTTGTACTAGTCCCGAATTGGCAAAGCGCTATCCCGACATCGTACTACCAATGTTGCTCCAGGGCGGAGCTAGCTCGCGCTCTTCACCCCCCACGATCAACCAGGCCTTCATCACTTAGTCGATTAACCAGTACAGACCCAGCGCGGCACCCGGTCGAGTAGCCATTGGGGACTGCATCCGGTGAAATGTCGTTTGCTACCTACCCTCCCGACCCGAAGCCCGACCCGAAGCATATCAAGCAAGGTACAATGCGTCTTCAATTCAACACTCACCTACCGTTTGCGCAATATGGGCTCGTCAACTCGATCTCTCTACTGCGAAGATCCGCAGGCAAATCATCAATCCGCCTTAGATCCTTTGTCTGCCTTCAAGGAGACCCAACAAACAAAAGACAATCTTCCACCACACCAACGGCTACTCTCAGACGAAGAGCTTGCTCTTACAAATAAAAAACCACAATTACCAACAAACAAGACACTAAGCTCTATATCTGGCCCATCCTCCACCGGCATCCATGGGCACCACATACCGGACACAGATCCTTGTTTCATAGCGGAACTGTGGGACGCAGTGCTTCGCGACATGGATACCGCGCCGTTGTCAACCCAAGACCTCACCACCATCACGAACTCTCCACATGCATTCGGCATTCCAAGCGACATTTCCGACATAAACTACGAGACTCTGCGCACCACCATCCTGTTCCCCGACGATCCACTAGGCTCCAACACCAACGAGCAGCGCTATGCAACATACCAGGAGCAATTCCCCCACCTGCACGTATGGCTCGACCCCGCCTCTTCAGCGGAGATTCTCCCAGCGCTCAAGGCTATATTTAGCACGACAGTGGCAGACATGAAAGCCTATGCGTTTGAGGTCTTGTTTCGGGCCGGCGAATCCTATATCCAGGACCAGAGCTCAGGCATCAGACGGGTTGCAGAGGAGACGCTGAAGTTCGGGCCGAAACGTGCTGGCAGTGGACATGTTGTGTCGAACGACGCAGACAGGATGGTGCAGCCGCCGAAAATTCTCGGTCATCAGATACCGCCTGTCAGCGGCAGGCTATCCCGGGCCGTGACCAGTGTGTTCTCTCCCAGCAAGAAGAAGCATGCGTCCAGCGCAAATATCAATACCCAGGCCGACGGCATCCGCATCTTCTGCGTCTACTACCTGGCCCATATCTCGAACAAGCCGTTCGCTTTCCAGCGCAACCTTCCGACATGGACTCCAAAGGATCCGCGATTCACTCCCTATCTTTCTATCTACGTCGATCGCGAGCCGGACAACTTCTACACCATGGATGAGCTGAAGATTGCTTCAACCGTTATGGTATACAACCAATGGTTGTTGCGCGAACGTGCAGCGAAGAAGAAAAATTTCCACGACAACGCACATCAACTCCCACTCTGTCACTGGAGCATCAAGATCTCGTCCTTTGACTGGGGTCTGTACGTCACGAGGCCTTCCAGCATGAAAGAGTGGAAGGGATCAAAGGTTCAGGAAGTTTATTGTCGTCGCCTTGAACTACAGACGCTCCAGTTCCTGATGGCTACTATCAACGACATCCACTTCTGGGCACTGACTAAGTATACGCCGGCATGCAAGGAGCTTATTGGAGCTATGATGGGTACGGACTTGTGAAGGGAGTGCAGCCGGGACGCCAGATGGCCAAGGAAAGCACGGTGGCGTTATTGAGAGTTGGGAATCGGTATCAGGCTCATGGGGTTTGCACCGGTCTTGCAGGGAAACTCTGCATCTGTGAACGGAGGTTATTAGTCTAAAACTCCACCCTTCCTCTAGCTGTAGATGCAGGAGTTCCAGTGCACCAGATTTAGAATTGCGAACTCGTTCATTTCGTGGCTGATAACTGGGTGATTAGTAAAATAGCCCTAATCCCGTCCAGCCGGTAGACTTGCCTCTCGACACGGAAGGGAAGCTCCAACCGTTGGGATGCGAACAGGGTGGCCCAGCGAACACGACGACTTCACCCCGTTCCGTTATTATAGCTGCAATCCGGACACACCCCACCATTGCCCCTCTGCAGCACGACACTGTCACCGTCAGCAAACGTAGCTCAACGCCGCCGCGTTGCCGATGCTCGATTCAAACATGTCCAGGAACCGGTATTCTTTGTCGCTCTCCAGCCAGGCACACTGCCTTGCACCAGCCGGACCGACATACCTTTGCCCTCTGCGTATACTTCGTACCGGCCAGGTATAAGTGCTCTGCTCATCAACCTCACCAACAATGTCATCAGGTTCACGACACCAGAATCCAGTAGCCCGATCCAGGTCCTTAGTGTATCTATTACCCATCTTTCTAGTCATGGAGCCTCTTTCACACGTCTTCTCCAGCAAGCGCTACATACTGCTTTTCTCGAATGTATAACAGACAGGCACACTCGTGTACACCGCAGTCGCTGCGCGAAAATGCTTTGCAACGCGTTAGTAGGAGAGCTCGGTCAGACACAGAAAGGTTGCTGCTGCAAAACGCATAAGCAAGGAGCGTCGTGCCCGAAAAGCCGATGCAAAATCCACCGCAGATCGCGCCGGCGAGAAGCGCCGACAACGGATCATGGACCGTTCACCAGCAGAGCACCCACATCGCGCGCCCTGATCGGCTCACATCCGCATCGAGAACCCTAAGCAACGGCTCGCACCGGCGTCGAGAACCTACGTCGCGCGCCTTGACCTTAACGATTCACATCCGCGTCGGGAACCGATGTCGCATAGTCTGGGCTCAACGGTTGACACGCTGCCACCGAAATCGTCACCACGCCCTCTAGGTCAGTGGCAGGCATGCTGCATCGACGGTCGACTTCGCGCGGCATTCCGGTCACCAGCGGACCACGTCGCCAGGCATCTGGATCATCCGATTGATTGCCCGCCTTCGGCCACCCACTCCACCCATCATTTCGGTCGGCGGTCGATAGCCCGCCTTCGTCAATACATGCTGTGAGGCTTCAGGTCACCGATGAGCAACCCTATTCATGCAGCCAGGCTTCGGCGCTGCTCCCTCCCGGATCTGCGGCCCCGGTCGAACACAAATATCGCCCCGTTAGTGCTTCGAGCTATCAGGTCATACGGGAATGGCGGTATCGGCTCTGGTGGAGATGCTTGTACTATATCACGGAGCTTCAAGCGGTAAAGCCGTATGCGGCAACCGCTTCGGGATCGTCGATGGGAACGGTGGCGCGCGTTTCTACTTGCGACTGGCCGCATATGGCTGTTATAGAGGTTTGTCGCGGCATAGCCTTCTCTCCCGACCCGCCGAATCGCGTTCTTCGGATTTTTCCACCGCCAATCTCCACTCGCTCGGAGCTTGCATTCCGCTAGGATGGCCGTGCTTGCTCTTGGAGAGCACCGAGCATTCACCGTTACTAGAATTTTCACCGGTTTGACTCGCACTGGAGAAAGACCGAGGCGATTCTCGTCGCTCCCCATCATGTGCCTCAAATGGGTGAAAGCTCCTCTACGACGTCCTGTCTGCCGGAGCACCTGACTGCGTCTTCAGCCTGCCGCACGAACGGGCCGCCTACCTACTTTCACTCGATCTGTGAACATTCCCCGGGCGTCGCACGAAGCCACGCTACGGGGAAATCTTTGCCACATACTGTAGGAAACGTGATCTGACCATGACCTCGACTCGATCACGAGACGCGGATTTTTGCGAAGCCTCTCCCACCTCGCCCCCCGAAACCCCTCCGGGCCCTAACCACATTCCTTAACATTCGAAACGGTGCTAAGACGGATGGATGGACAGGAAAAATCTGTAACCGATCTTTCGGGGCGTGCTTCTCGAGCGCAATAAGGCTCTAGAACGTCATCGACACATTCCGATGGTGGATCACGGTACGCCGGAGGAAATCCAGCCCACAGGTCGGTCGTCGCAAGATAGCGTCCAGCCACTTTCAAGACTAGAGATCGAGGTGCGATGAAGAGATCGACCCACTTGCCTTTGAGAGCAATGAACTGGTACAAAAGAGGCTGTACAAACCACTTGTATCACAGCACTACATTCCATTCGATTGAAGACGGCGTAAGAATTCTCACAGCTTAGCGGCCAGACTTGCCAGGCGACCCCGCACCGAGGCTTTACGTGGCAAACGGAGATGCAACAACGGCCGCAGCCAAAAGCCCCTCCTCAACTTATCCCACTCCTCGTCTGCAACTGGCGACCGCAACGTCGCACCCAATTCTGGCAACGTATTTTCCCGGAATTTCGCCTCTCTGGCTCCCACTCCATTCCATGACTCCGATTAGAAGGCTTTTTCATGTCGTGGTTGAGATGCCCGCACAAAGAATGGATTGGAAGTTGCTATCCAGGTCTTTGTCGAAACCAACTTCGGGACTGAGAGACTCTGCTCGCGATATGGATCCTGCGGAGACGTCGAACCAAAAACCACGTCCTCAGCCAACACTCAGTCGACCATCTGGTCCTCCGTCCTCGTACGGACCGAGGAGTGAATCAAATTTTGGGCACTAGTACAGCGACCCTCGCAACGACGTCTATCAACTCTTTCCCTTAGCCTCTCGTCTTCCGATTACATATTCGGACATGTATCTGCAAGGCTGCGCTCCGCTGATCGTACGACCCAAAGCACGTGGGACGAGATGATTCCCTCTCATCCAAAAGTCTACTAAAGGCCGAGCGTCCAAGCTCCGTGTACTAACCGCCGAACGAGACTGAAAACCACTGGAGAAACTTGGAAAGCCATCAGTCCACACTCTCCGGACTCTTCGGAATAGGATTCATGCCGTCGAAAAGGAAGCAGAGTACGACGTTGGTCTGATACGTTGACAAACGTGAGCGTCCTCCCGATTTCGAGCTCGGACGTCTTTCCCATCGTCGCTCAAAGCGAGTTCTATAGCGTCAAGAGCGACTTCTACGACTCGTACCACGCGCGAGTTCAAAACCGATATCGCTCGGGCGTTACAATCAACAACTCTGTCAACATACCTGGGTTTAGCATACAGCCACAAATCATCTGGGAGCGCCCCGTCTAAAGCATCCCGACGCCAGAGACTTCAGCCTTGCCAAATCCCGCACCAGAAATACATATTTTAGGTGCCTGGGCAGTGTCTTCGAACAGGATGGCTCCCACGTTCAATGCACACAGCGCCCTTTTCGGGACTAGAACCAATCAGACCTGGCAAGATACAGTTCGAACTCGAATTCTCAATGCCTGGAGAGAATAGCTATCTGCACTAGCCCAGCTTTGGATTAATTGGCTGTGTAAGCTCCACAGAAGCCAAAGCCGAGTTCATTTACCATATTGCGGACATCACCTATTCTATCGCGCAAGATAGAGCTCAATAGACATTCTGGCATGAGCATGGCGTCGTGGTTTGTTCCTGCTCGGATTGCGAGGTTTTTTATGGATGGGAAGGATGTTGCCGTTCAGAGCCGCCATCTGTTTGCGCTCTCGCCAAATGCGCAGACAGCTTTTTTTTCAATCTTCGCAAAGTCCATGGAACAATCACGGCCGTGCATGTCCATTCTTCATTTATGGGAGTCTGCGAGCACACCCAGGCAGGTATCTGAGTGCGGTGCGTTGAGAAGAAGCACCTGTTCGTACCAAGTTGATGACTCCGCATTATCTCGTTGACCAGCATCTACCATCACGTGCCACTCGATACGAAGCATGCTTGTATTTACTACCGGACGCGATTGGGCGCCTACACTGTCCGATTACTATCAGCGAGTTCGCCAAGAGCGCAACGACGAGATGCCGCGCTCCGACCCTTTTTTTATCTACTTGCACGGGATGATCGTAGAAGAGCGCAATTGGCCAGGCTGAGATAAAGAAACTTCAGCTCTTATCTATCCTTTGGCTTTTGGCACGAGACAACCAAGTTTGACGCTGTCGTTTCTAACGAACGTGAAGCGCACCGATATTAAGTCCGATAGTGAGGATGAGGAGCAGTGGACATGGCGTTATTGTGGAGCTCCCGGATGGCGCCAAAGACGCTCATTGAGCCTCTCCATACGCTGGAGGATGGATGCGATTTGTTCGTCTGCTGCCTTCGCTTGCTCCCGTCTGTGGGTCACTGTGCCGTGGAGCAGTTCCTATCGATAAGCCACCGTCGGGGCATGGTTCGAGACGGCCTTTTCCCCAACTAAACTCTGATTTTTTTTTCGCTCTAGCAGAGGCCCGGCGGGATGACATGACAGCTCCTCTCCGGTCAGCTGGACATGGGCCCCTCTCTGGACTGGGTGAACAGATCAACTCCATTCTTTTTAATGCCCATCATCAACTCTCTGATTATATGCTCCTGGACTTGCTACACTACGGGCTGCATCTTCTGGCGCGCTTGAAGAGTGTACGTATCCAGCCCAATGGCTTACAATAAGCGTAGCCGACGAGAGATAGTCCTTGATAAGCACCCCCCTAGACACCGCCCATTTTTACCAAGATGATGTGAGACGCGTGCATACGGACAGTTTCAGACGGCATCGTCACGACTCATGCACTCCAACCAGCGAGCTCGTCGGGCGCCGTCAATCTTTCGGGCACACGACAGGCCGTAAGGGGGGGGGGGGGAAGGATGGTATAGATGGTTGGCGGCTACACCTGGGGCTTGCTCGATAGAGACTTTGTCACCGTCGCCGCAGCAAGCGTAGGTTCAAATCCTGCTCCTCTCTTAACTTTCGCCTTTAACGCCGCAGAATTTTCGTTGCTGGACAAGGATCCTTTTTTAAAAGGCAAAGATGGGCATGCAGATTAACATAATGAGGGGTAGTAACCCGCTCCTTACATAATGCAGTTTCAAATTTAAAGAACAGAGGCAAAAAGAGGGAGGTTTTTCATCACTTCGCGTGGTTTTCCTTCATCTGCCCTGCAGGAAGAAATGTAGAATAGTTGCATAGCTTTCAAGAAGCTAGGTCAATTCAATGATTTCAAGCCAAGGCCGTAAGGGATTGGCGGCTTCGTTCTCTGCAGACTTTTAGAGGATAATTGAGGCGAGATTAGTTCTCCGCCCTCCTAAGGCTCGCGCGTCTTCTCCTTTCCCTGGCCACACTACAGGGTTCCGCGTTATAGAGAAGAAGCAGTTGAACGCATCCAGACGTAGCGGGTCACAAACTCTCAGAACATCAGTCAGTCCACATCAATCTCATGTTCAAGATTCCAGAAGCGAAGGCCTCCAGACAAAACGGGCATTCGAATCAGCTCATGGATCCAGTCATCCATATTCGTTTCTTTTCGGCCGCCTATCCGTCAACAACGATCTATCTTTACCAAGAATACTGCCGCTACCTAGACGTATTCCATTAGTTTCAGAATCTCCGTTGGCAGCATCACCAACACGCTCGCCGCCCTCCAACGTTTCTCGATTCCGTGCCCGTCGTGCCGAGAGCCTGCAAAGGCGATGTCTGCGTCGTCCCGTAGAGCAAGTACATCCACCCCTCTTCTAGGCTCGGCAGCCGAAGTGTATGGGGAAAGGGAAACAGTGTCATATCGATTAGTTGAAAGATATTAGAACTAGCCTTGATCCCACACTAGAGCTCTACTCTACAGCTCCGAACATTGTTTGAGGAATAAGCTCAAGCTCTGGCGCGAACCCAACAGAGAGCACATACTATTGCTACTACCACCTGCGCCTTCGGCTGTCTCCGGGCTTCGCTATCCAAACTGATGACCGAAACCTAGTCGAACTTGGCAAGAGGAGTTCCCGGAATTTGCGGCATTTGGAAATGCGAATATATTGGGCAAAAGGATCGTCCAATCCTTCTGCTCTTCAGTTATGATGCCTTATATATTCGGTAACACACCCCCCCAGCTTGTAGGTCGCTGTTGCGAGTGGAAAGCTGCCTCTTATTAGGCCAGCTACCTCTGGGTCATGCCTCTCTGGGTCATGCCTCTGGGCTTGTGGTGGTTGATGCGGGGTTCGAACGTGGGATGTGGTATGACTCGCGGAGTAGCGATAGCGTCGTGAAAATTTTCGTGCGGAATTTCCGGGCTCATAACTATTGGGCAAAAGGATCGTCCAATCCTTCTGCTCTTCAGTTATGATGCCTTATATATTCGGTAACAGAATACGACCTCAGGAGCTATATCAGGCAACAGATATGTACCTCAGGCAGACACAGCGATGATCTGAACCCCGACCCCGACTGAAAGCATCTCGGCGTTGCACAGCAAAGCGTCCAATAAACCCCTACCCATCTGATGCTCCCTGTCCGCTGCCCGCGTCTGCCGCCTAACGCAACTGATGGCTTCGCGGGCTACGGGTCTAACAGCATCATTGCCAAATAACGACCGAGCGCAAAAACTACTAAGAATGACACGTAGGAGGGCAACGGGGTCTCCGCAGCTATAGTAAGGACTACCATCTCAAGAGAGTGAAGAATATGTCGGATTAGGCAGGACATGAAGAAGTGAATTATGTGGTTATGCTCGATTCGTCTAGGAAAGCGCATTGGGAAGCTTTGAGCTTCGTATCTTCATAGGTCATTCGCTTCTATCTCTTGACTGCTGTCTCTTCTTTGAGGCGACCCGCTTCGATTTATGCGACATTCTTCTACAGACTCGTGCGATTACGACGGCTTCTACACTATTATCTCACCTGCTCCCAGTCATTGATGGGCGTAGTTAAGATACGATTCGGCGAACCTAGCACCCTGTTTACCCCGACCCGAAGATGCCTATTAGGGAAAACACCATCGCACACTTAAATACTACTTGAGAACTACGGGCGATATTAAGGATGCCTTCTGAGCAAGCACTTCAGTGCTCGAATGGCAGAATCTATCCAAAACTTTCGATGGAAAATTCCCCAACTGCGGCCAAGACAAACGGCCATTATCGAAATGTGCTTGACTTTCACACTATATCAGTATACTCGCTATAGAGTTGGAGAATTTCTTGTAAGTGTCTTCAAAGCGGGATTCGAGAAACCATCACTCATCTGTGTGGTGCGACAAGCGACAGCAATCAAACCGCCTAACCCGAATACAAATGCTCACGACGTGATGGCTAGACCCGTCGATCAGATCGGTCCGCTTAGACGGAACGGCGCGCGCAATCTCAGATCTGCTTTCTCCTGGTCGAGAAATACGCGAGGTAATAGGGAACGGTCTTAACAAGTCTGCCGTGTCCAGGGTCGCAATGCTCAAGCGCGTGTTTACGAAGCTACCCATTTCGGTCCTGCCATTCCCATTCAAATCCGCTGGTATGCGAGAGTCGCAGTGTGGTCCAAGATAAGGCCCCGAAGACCCTGGGACAAGATCCAGACCTCCACCAAATCGCGGTTCAGACGCGCCCCTGGCGAAGCTTTAGCCCTGTTCCAGCCGCACCAATTGTGGAGTCTGTGAGACGAATGCCTGACAAGCTCCTCTAATTGGGCTCGAACTCGGTGTCTCGAACGCCGGTATCATAGTATGTGGATAGATACCTAGGTAACATGGAACAGACGTGTATCCGGATACGAGGATCAACGCCTACCATCAAGCATCTGTGCATTGGCGCGGCCCTGCGGGCCGTTCTCGTTCGCTGGGGGAGTCTCAAGCGGGACAACCATCGGCATAGCCTCAGATAAATGCGACGCTCCGACGAAACGGAAGACATGGCCATCCAGCCAGTGATTCTTGCGCAGATTTCTTTTAGAAAGCCGGGGCATCGTCCCGGGAGACCTCGCCCTTCGTGCGGCGTACGGCGGGAATAGAGGAGATAGCGGGGGGGTATTCGCTTACGGATTACGTTGCATATCATGTCGGTGGCCTGCGTCTCTCAAAGAACTCGGGCTCTGAATTTGGTACGTCGAATTCCGCACACTTGATGTGCATGCACCAGGCCAGTCCTGCAGGAAGTCCCTGCTGAATGCTACGCGCCTATCTCCGGTGTCGAGCTCCCTTCTAACACTTCTTGGATACGGACGCTCTCGTTCTGAGTTTACGGTTATAGGGATGGTCGTTTTGGTACAGGTTGAGCTCGAAGAGAACTTTGCGGTTTCTGTAAGGCCTCGGACGTTCGAACGCCGGATCCGGCATTCCTTCATAATAAGGACATCCCACATGCAGACATCAAACTCAGCAGCATCATGCTACATATGGGGACGTTCACTTTTACAGACTCCAAATGCTCAAAATCGGGGAACCGACCTTATCTTGAATCGCGTCGGCGTTTCGTAACCTCGAATCTCGAACATTATCAATCAAAATGCCTAGCTACCTTGACTACACGCAGATCGTTTTGTCGTTATGATTCAGGACGGTGTGATGCGAGTTACAGAGGATCGGTTTCGGTCGTGGGCGATAGTGATTTGCGGGCGGTGCATACATTCTTCCATCCGATCTCTTCGATGCGTCCATGCTCTCAACTCGAAGTTCCTGCCGATGTCAGAAACAGATCCTAGATGGAGTAGTCTACCTTGAGATCCACAGGATACAGACCGAGCTGGCTGGGAAGATCGCACGTGGGTAGTTTAGGAACTTCCAAGGTTTGCTTTGCCAGGCCATTAGAGACCAGCGCCACGTGAAGGATAGATGCCTTGAGGCTGTTTGTGGTGACGAAAGCCGACAATAACATTGCCCCGCACAGTCTCACTGCTACGGTCCCTCATAATGTGGCTTCTAATTTCAGATTCACCCACTCGTAGAGACTGCAAACGCGATTCCTTCGGGTGGCGGGACTTAGGCGACGGTTTCTAGTTCTTCATTTGTTGCCGAGATTCCCTTTCAGAGTTCAGTCTTGATCCAATCTCCTATATATGTTTCGACAAAGGTCCCGATACGCGTAGAGGACGCGTAAGAAAGGCGCCAGGAATCTGCCGCTATCCGCTCCGGTCGCAACACTCGCTTCAGCTCAGTTACTACGTTGTCTTAGCAGCAGTTTTCGCACTTCAGACGTCGCTGAATTCGATATTTCCCAGGACCAACTCATTCCCGCACGACTCGAACAATGATTGCGATCGTGCAGATCTAGCAATGACTTCTGTCATTCAACACCTCAACATAAAGTGTCCGCAAAATATCGGAACATGACCTGGTACCTGCGTCCTTGCTCATCCTGCTGCAATTACCCTGGATCGTACGACGCTTGAGCAGCCGCGAAGTAGTGCCCAGTATCTCCAGGGTGTTGCTCAACTAGCACGCCGACGCCGGCTCGCTTCTTCTTCCCTCCACGCTTGGGGTCCGGCTCCACCTCCGGCGCCAGCTCAAGCCGTATCATAAACCAGGACATTAGTACGCTTACTCGAAACCTTGATCCCGTAAGCGGGCCTGCATTCCGCCACACATGCATACGCACAGAAGTCGATTAATGGCCCTTTGATAGGAGTTTCCGGCATCGACATATCAAGCGGTAATGTCGCTATGAACGTTTGGATGCCCTTCTCGGCCTTTTGTAGACTGGTAGGCGATGGTATTAGGCCGTAGTTGGGAACCTGGTTGAACGGTCACGTAGCCATCGATCAAGCAGCTAACCCGCTAAGCCTCGCAAAGCCGTTCCGGGCCATGTACCAAGAAGAAAGATGTTATTATTGCTGAGTAGAACGTCTTGCGCCTTACGAGGCGGCCTAATGACAGACTGATAATTCTGGAAAGCGATAGATGCTGGACACTCGGAATGGAGAGTGGCTTATTGAGGAAGACGTGTTGTAGTGGAAGTAAGTAAGCAGCTGGGAAGATGAAGCGGTTCGGGGATATGAAGAAGAAGAGGAAGAAGACGAAAGCGAAGGCATAAAGATGGCAAAGTCAAGGTCGAGCCTTCTGATGGTGTTATGATCGCGATATCGCGTGATACATGTGGGGATGTATCGGTCAGCGATGCGCCATTCGTTCCCGCTTCGTCCCAAACCAAGCTCTTCCCCGTCTCCTTGTGCGCCATGCTATCTTCCCTAGCCTACTACCTTCTATGAGCGGAAAATGGTCTCCAGCACCGCCCATCTCGTCCTAAAGGCGCAGGTGACCTGAGGTACTCGGCTGCAAAAAGGCTGGAAGTAAAGGGTAGCAGTGATAGGCTCGATGCACGAAACCCTCCGTTTCGCAAAACAGGTCATACATAACTGCTCCCTAGGCGAGAGTTGTCCCGCAATTGCGCGGCTGTCCGGCCTAAGTCGAGAACACCCGGAGACCATGCCGTCAGGTTATGGGGAAGTGAGCATGGGTGAACGGCCCGAGTGCTATGTGGGCAACATCTTGAGACCGGGATGAAGCACTTCAGAGCGCTGCTGTGGTGCGCTTATGGTGCAAGCTTGATGACGTCTTCCCACAGTCGATATCGTGGCCCCTCTACCACGGCAACCGCTTCCTCTCGCTTCTCCTTGGCCTGCTCTATGGCATCAACGACGCGACCAACGCCGGAAATGGAGTTACCAGCTCGTCATCGCCGACTATTCCTCTCTCGGATAGCGCCTCGACGCATTCCCGAGATTGCTCATCCTCGTGAACTCCAGGGAGATCAACAAAATGGCGCACTGGCCAGGGAGAATCGGGAGCCCAGCGGCGCCATCGCAGTAGTCGCGGAGAAGGACGGGTAGCACGTGCTCTTCAAGCTCTGTCCTCTTGGCCGGCAAACTGCGCAGGCGACGGCGGGATGGCCACCCACACAACATTCCTCAGGAATATGTCCCGAACTCCGGCGACAACGATGACGACACAGTCCGTTAGCATCCTGTCCGTGGGTCTGCGGGCTGACATACTGCTGTGTGCGTTGCCTCGTACCTGGAAGTTGAGGTCATAATTGATAGTGTAGTCGCCTCTCTTGTGCGACACGAGAAAGTAACAGGTTCGTGATTTACACCTTTTACGGGAGCGAACTCCAGTGCGAACGGAAACCGATTTGTGAAAAGTGGGTGCCGCTAAGCTGGCACGGAAATCCACCGTACGGGTGAGCTCATCGCAACCGTTGGCATCTGGTGGTATTGGAGGTGCTCTTCCCGCTCTTGCGCTGAGTACCAAAGCTTCGGCTTTCATCGAGTTTGAGAGGTTCCGCAGCCGCGTTCGAATGAATAAGTATAAGTGAAAGCTGGCTAGCTCACGGTGACATGGTGAAGCGCTGCGCGTTTGAAGTGGGTCGAGAAATGGCATGATTTAATTCGACGCGATTTAGGGTTGAACGCGACATGCTAGATCTGGCGGCTTCCCTCGGGAACCGTATTATGGATGGAGCATCAAACGGCTGCTTCACGATGCCGTGTGTGGCGCCTGAGTATCCTCGGAAATTGGATCATTGATGCTGACAATGCGGCATCGAATACTTCTCGACGTCTGGGACTTGAACGAGCGAGCGACCCGCTTGTAGGTGAGATCCTTAGGTTTGTCGCGTTCATAGTCGAGTTTCGAGACCATACTGCGTCTTCATCTCATGGAACTTGTGCTGAGGCGACGCCTACGGTAACATTACTTCGCCTCGTTACTCTTCCCCTTCACCCTCACCGGTCTATTAATCCGCACACAGACGTCGAGGTGAAAGGCGAGTAGCCGGCTCGGCGTTAAGGCCTTCGCACTGAGCCCGTTCGGAATTCTCATACCAGGCGGACCAGATCTGCGCAAGGCGCCTTTTGTCTCTCAAGTCAAAGGTCGTCGTCGTTGTCGAGAAGCCTAGCTTTCGCTAGCTCGTCGTCAAACACCCGGCATTTCAACCAAAGATGGCCCCGGAAAGAACGCGAAACGGAAGAACAGTTGCATCCGAACTAGTCGCCGAAGATGTAGTTCAAGCGTTATACGCGAGTCCGCAACTCCGGAGAATCTGTAAAGTCGTCGTAATTATCGTCTGCCCTAACTTTCGTTCGAAGAACAGCACCTTGAAGTTAACTCAAAGGTTTTGGTACCGGCTCGCACGAATTTGGATACGTGCCGAGCGATGCTTGTTGGCCTCGTGGTTGGCCTTTCCGTTCTCGGATACGGCGATGGTCGCGCCGTTCATCGCGTATGATGCATCAGTCGACAAAGATAGAGCCTTCAATCTTGATAGTCGTATCACGGGCGACCGTGTCCCCCTCCTCTTGCTGTTATCGTGTTCCGAGCATCGAACAGTAAGCGGGTATGGCCAGTCGCGCATTACATATCGCGGGGAAAGAAAGCTCAAGCGAAAAGTTCGGACTTGTACAGATCGCAGGCGAACGTGTCCTCCGCTTTTAGAGTATTCCAAGCTCCTGTGTCTACCTCCCACTCTTGTCCCGTGCCCCTGCCTCCGCCTCTTTTTCACGCAGTATATGAATGACGCCTGACGTAATAGCAACCTGGTAGATCTTGTCTGTAGTCGAATCAGCTAGATGACGATTCGGCGGAGTGGAGGGTTCTACTCACATATTAGCTTGAGTTTGGCGTCCATAATGTACACCTTCAGTGCCGCTCGGTTCGTACCTTGACTGACGATGAAGGCGCGACCAGCCAGGCTGCTGAGGCACTGGACCGCGCAACAGCATGTGAAGCCAGGAAGTACATCGACTGCGGGCTCCTAATATCCGAACAACCCGGCTGCGACAGCACGGCGGAAGGGGACGCGAAAAGGGACCATATCGGAATCAACAATCGTCGCTAAAAGAACGAGTCAGTTACACGCACCAATCCCAGCACAAAGCACTGGCTCTTTGCTAGTGACACTTCCTCCTCTCGCACCGAGGCCACAGCCACGTCTCGCTCGAACAACGAAAGCGGGCTGACAGTCCGCAGAAGACGGACAGAACCGAAACGAGGGCCTCTTTCGAAAACGAAGGAAGCGGAAGCAGAAGCAGGCGAACGGGAGAGCGGCACGAAAGAAAGAGAGGCCTGGCCACGCCGCGGTGCCTGCCGCGCTTAACTTCGACCGCCGCGGCCAGAACCAAAGAGGAAGACCAATCGGTGACGAAGGCTCCGTTGGTACTGTCCTTTCTCCTGCATTATAGGCGGGTGAGATGAGGTGGTGGTGTGAAGGAAGGAGGTCGTTGTGGATCGAGACCGAAAAGGAGAAAAGCCGAGGTCCTACCTGATCAGGATTAGTGTGTCTCGCTGCTTAGTAGCTGCGCAGTAGCTTCCTTCGAGCTATTTCTTCGCCCTGTCGCCCGCTTATTAACAACTTGTCACCTCCGAACCGTGAGAAATGCGATGCGACTCATTTGTAGAATTTATTATCATATTCTGCATCCAGCTAGTCGTATAGGCACCGTGCCAGCGGAGCCAGAGGATGCCGCCCTAAATTCGTTCCGGGCGCTCTCCTGGCTGGCCGCAAGATACAGCCTCTTCAGCTCACAGTCACCGTCACCGTCAATTAAACCATGCTCCGCTTGTTGGACAGCAACCAGAAGAATGATAATTCTGTTCTTAGCACTTTAGTACAAGTCGATGTGAGTGGAGAGGCAATGAAAGGCGAGCGTCCACGGGTCGCTTATCGATAACGCTAGGCCCAACTTGGCCGTAGCGCGCTCACTCTATTTCGAACGACCAAGCCCACTCGCCCATCACATCCTCAACCGTTTGGAGCTGCAACCGCCTCAGATCGTCAAATTCCCGCTACCCAGCTCGGGCGCCTCAGATATGCCAGGCCCAGTTCCCTTTGGGCCATGTTGTTGCCCATTTCGGGTTCCCGGCCACACAAGCTGCGCCAACTGACACGAAAGCACCACAGGGAAGCAGAGGGTAGGATGTGCCCGGCCACGCAAGTCCTGCTCGAAACGAGAGCACTACGGAAGCAGAGGGCTGGAGGAACAGTCTTTAAGTGCGTAATGCCGAAAGATGACGCCGGGCCGAGATACCTCACGCCAATCGGTTCTCGACACCACACTCCAGCCATATCTCCGCCTCTTGCAACTGAAGTCGCTCGAAGATCTCCTCCTTATCGACTATTAACGGAGAGACATGCCCAGCGCAAAGGCAGCGGAAGGCGTCTGTCGGGGCCTCTTCCTCCGCATCACGGTTAGTTCAGACGCCGTTCGCGCCGAACGTCACGGACGGCTACGGATGCGAAGGGCTCTCTTTTCGAAGATGTAGAACGCTGTATCCGTTCGCGCGCGTATTAAGTCCGTCGTTCCGCGTATGATAATGCCGCGGTCGTTTGCAGGTACAAAGAGCCCACTAAGGCGGAAGAGCTCGGCCTCAGAGAGCGTAGGGTGGGGTGAGAGATTATTAATTCGACTGGGCTTACGTTCCGCTACTGGATTTCGCACTATTGCGATTTTTCGATCCCCTAACGCTAAGTTCCGCGGGTTGAACACAGGTAACGTTGTGTTAGCTGTTATTAGGTTAAACCTGTCCTGCTTATACAACACTCTTTAAAGTAATAACGGCGCCCGTAAGTGTCGTCGCAGAATTAGGACGGCCAGGAGAACCTTCACGCGGCGCGTAGCAGGATGTAGTTCATGTTAGAAAAGCGTATTGGCGGCGTTGCACATGGACTAGCGCGGGATCGTTATGCGAGACGGCGAATTGCTCGAGACGGTGCGCGGGTATGGAAAGCAGTGAGCCCTATTCCGTTTCCACCCAACATGCCATCATAACTATTCGGAAGCTAGAAAACGATACAACTAGGTGTGGATAAAGGTTGTCGAAACGTGGCTCGCGACGCAGAACGCTCGCACGCATAGACAAGATCGCCGACCGACGAACAAATTAAGTGCTTCTTATTGTAACTTAGATAGCTCACTTCTGTAGGATATAGGCCCTCCGATGGCGGACAGAGCGTCTAGAAGGAACACTCCACGCACTGGGAGGTCGAAAGGTGACTAAACGTCGTGTCACGGCCGGCGCGCAGCCCGGTCCGCTTGTTCAGGGCAAACCGACGCTAAACCAAGTCGACCGCGATTCTCGAACTGCTCCTCTTTCACCTAGGTCGATCGCCGCGCTTTGACTATGTTGGTAATGCTCTAAAGCGTAATATCTTCATGAAGCTGGGTTGCAGTTATACTGTCAGGCTCTTAACTCATTACTAGCATAGCCGTGGCGCGTTCTTGTAGGCCCAAAATTCTAGGAGACCCCGCAAGGTCATATGGCCAGAAGCAGTTCGTGCCGGCGAAAGACGCATGATATCTGCGGACGTTGGTGCCCGACATATGAAAATAAAACTGCCGTGCCTCAAAATTCTCACCGAGACGACTATCACGTGCACCATTTCCGGCTTACTAAAAGGGGTAAGTAGTTCGCCATGACACGCATCGACCTAGCTACTTGGGCGCATGCGCTACGGCTGATGCGGTGGGAGGCAGAAGACTTCAAGCACGGCCAGACGCCAGCAACTTAGGGCTCGTATGGGCCAGAAAACAGAGAATGCTATTTGGGAATAGCAAATATAGCTTCACAGATACCATCCATATGTTGAGCTGAATACTGTCCGCCTCGCTCGGGGGTGCTGCACGCACCGAGAGGGCCATGTGTTTGAAGTGGCTGGCGTCAACCTGTGAGCCGTAGATGCTTTCCCTGCGCTGCAGCTGCCGCTCCAGCCGGCGTAGAGCGTGGGTGAGGGCGGCCGCGAAGGTGGGCGTTGAGATGGGTGCAAAAGCTTCTCGAGGTCGGTTACCTTACGTAATCATTGGAAGCGAGATTTGCAATGCTCCCTCGATCGTCTAGAAGTGTCTTCCAGTCCACCGACTGACTGCCCGCGCAAGCAGATTTTGGAGCAGCCTGCACCCATCTTACCATGTGTTAGTGCGCCTCGCAAATTCCGTTCTATTACGGTAAGATGATAGGCCACAGTCTCAAAATAATTGCTGAGCTTTGTTCTCCAGGGCATCAACAATACATCCACGGTGCACGCTTCTCGGCCGGTATCCATCTACGACGGTATTAAGACATGGTCGTCGTGCGGAAATGGGGCGAAGATCATATCAGCAAGTCCCTCAGACAAATCGATTCAAATACCTGGCTCATTGGTGGCCTTATCCTCCATCGCTCACCGTGTCCATCCGATGGGGCGACTTGGAATGACGACGGCGACTATTCAAGCTACACATTGACGGAAGCACCGGTCCCTCTTCCACCTACAACACCGCCTGATAGCCCGTACATTATGCTAGTTCATGAAGCTGGTGATGCTTCTGCCGTCTGGTCCATTGGAAATAGTGCTTTTTGCAAAGTTCGGTACATTGAGGAGGGTATCACACCCGAATCAATCACCTTGGACTTTGTCCAGAATCAACAACCCAGCTTTATGACACCCAAGGTTATACATCATGCGTTCGGCAATGATCGATCCTACCTGTTCCTCCGCAGGCTCCAAGGTCGGACTCTGGACGTTGCATGGCCAACCCTGAATACGCAGTGGCGACTCCACTATGTTAATGCCGTGGTAGACGTCTGCAAAGAAATGGCAGAGTGGAAAGGGCATAGGGTTGGCGGTGTGGACAATCAAAACTCACCCGAATACTTTCTCGTCACGCCCCGAGGTAGCGACAACTTCAATTCGGTTCAAGCGGGATGTGAGGCGATAGGAATGGATTGCTCTAAACCCGTCTTCTATCATGCTGATCTCGGACCTGGAAATATCATTGTGGAGGACGAGCCGACTACAGGAGATATTGGGATTATTGACTTTGAAATCGCTGGTTATCTTCCTCGAGGTTGGATTAGGACTAAGTTTCGACTTTCTAGCGGGATGAACTTGTCTGCTTCAGCAAGCGATCATCCAACCTGGTGGAGAGCAGAAGTTCAGAAAGCGCTTGAAGCTCATGGGTTTGAGGATCACGTAGATGCTTGGATGCGGTGGCGGGGCTATGGCGCGCCCTAGCAGTGATTCAAACATTTCACTATTGAGGATTGAGATAGGATTTTACGATTGCTGATTTAAGTCATGCATGATAAGGAGTGTCTGTCTGCATCCCCAATCACATAATCGAAGGCTTGGTTGCTCAAGGTGAGCGTCGAAGCATGTGGAGCATTTTAGCAAGTGGGGTGAGCTATTGCGCAGGATGACTGCCCAACCTTCCACGCAATCCGAAATCAACCCCACGTCACAGCAGACAAACTATCAACAGCGGATCAAAACCTGTGAAAGCACCGCAATTATTGCACATACGTAATGGGTTATGAGAGATTTAAAACTGTTTGGGCAATTTCTAGCGATTCGGCCCCCTCAACAGCATCCGACTTCCATGAACGATCTACGACGCATGCTCAGAGAGATCCCATCTCCAGCAGGAGCAAACGCAGGGTCAAGCCTTGCGACATCTAGCGATGCAGTCATTTTGAGTTGGAAGAATCGTCCTTCGTGTCACGTTCACCCTTTCCGTGACAGAGACCACAATCCAAATCACCTTGCTTTCCAGAGCCGCCACACAGAGGGCAGGGAGACATCCGCGTCCAGAAGACGAGCTGCGGACTACCATGTCAGCAAACTTACACAAGAGCAGAGGGAAGAGCGAAGAGCTACCGATTTTAGATAGAGCGGTTTACTATCGTAAAAGTTATTTGGGTGATTCTTGATGGTCGAGTATGTCGTAGAGATGTCGATAACGGCGTAACGGTGGGAGTTCAAGTAATGTGTCATGTGTGATGAGGAAGGTGCTGCATTTATCGCTTGTGTTCGTCGTACGAGCGCGAGCCTCGGTTGGCAAAGGCGCTGGGCATCTGACCACCCAGGATGGTAGAGTTGTGCAGCCGCGTTCGAAACCCGCCGCCTGTAAACTCTCTGCAAGAACGTCCACCTCCATCCTCAACCTCATCCTTGCTTCCTTCCTCGTTAATTTCTCTCGACTTATTCTGCCTTTCAAGCGTCATATAATGCCTTTCCTCTGCACTACCCTCGCTTACGAAGCGCTCTGTCATCACCCTCCGCGAACTCGCAATACCCTACCGTTCGAATACGCCTACACTCACTCTCTAGCAAACGGTGTAGTTCTGAGATAATGCGGTTAATGGTGTGAACACGCTTGTGGTTGATATCCCCTATGCTTGTTAGCAAGATGTACTTGCATTGAGACTTTGCGATGGCTTGGCAAACCTACGCGTAGCGCTGAGGGATTGGAAGGCTTAAAGTTTGGATTGACCCTATGCTCTCCCGGATCGCTATAGCCGTAGCCTTCTCGAACTCTGTTGACAAATTAAGAACTGCCGAAACGCACATCCACAACACTAAGTCTCGACTATAAGAGGTTGGAACCGCGTAGCTACGCCTTACATGATTGATCTAGGTGTTGACATAATCCTTAATGGCTTCTGCTTTCTCAAGCTCGTAATAGTTAACAAGCACGGCGATCTTCGCAAGCATCTTAACGCTCATGATCTTTGGGATCTGGCGTTTGCGGAGGTGGAAGATGTTGAGAAGAATCAGAAAGGCTTCTTCGTCCCAGTCGGAGGCATTAACGTAGAAGCAGCCGTCGGTAAGGTTAGGCACCGCTTCTTTAGAACTAGACGACGTCAAAGTCCGCTTGAACCATGGTGAAGCGAGGGTTAAGTGGCGCGAAGAGGTAATGTACGACCTCTTCCTCAAGGTTAGCCGGTTGGGTCCGTGGTTCGGCCATATCAACGTTTTCGCTGCTGAGCACATGGTCGGCGTTGTGAGATAGCGGCAATTGGGGAGTTTTTCGAAGAGGGGCAAGGTACAAATTTTAAGCTTACGGAAGGCTGCTTCCCTCTATACAAGGACCGCACTTGCCGGCCGGCTTCACTGGCGCGCTCTATGCGAAGATGCGCGTCCCTTTAGATGAGAGTACAGTACTACGTCAAAAGTCTGGTTCCCGCACAACGCACGGCCCCCATCCTCAAAAAAGCCGCCACCACCTTTTTGTAAATATTTATCGTACAATACTCTATATACAGAATTTTTTTGGCGGTTTCGATAATTTGGTGTTTAATACTTCGTTTGCCGCCCTTAGGCTTTACGGCAAGCCTCTAGTCGTCGCGGCATACTAAGTATAAGGGTCTTAATAAGCGCATTAGGTATTTTCCGCTACGACGCCTTCAGAGCCTCACAAAAGCCATCCCACTCACTTTCTGCTCTGCTGAAATTGGCGAATTGAGGATAGTCGCGATAGAGTATCTTTTTTAAAGCCCACTAGAGGTGCTCGATTGGGTTAAGGTCCGGTGAGTAGGGGGGCTATTCTGCCACCTAGATGCCGTAAGACTCCAAGAACTCGCGGGCGTCGTGGGACTTGTGTATACGAGCGTTATCTTGTATAAAGATTTGCCCGGGTTTGTAGTAAGGCAGAAGGCCTTCTTCAAGAGCTTCTAGATAACTCTAGGTGGTGTAGCTATTGCGCTGTGAGGTGTTGTCGCGTTCCATGATAACTAAGGGACTCCGCCTTGGGCGACCCCGTTCATCCAGCCATATTGCTGCCTATACTATTTGCGCGGGCGGACGAGACTTAGGGACCTCTGTAATTATCTCTAGTCTCTATTTCTCTTCTGGGTATCGAAAGCACCACTTAGTGTTGTTGCCAGAAGTCTTCTGCACTGAGCACTCGTCCGAAAACTTAACTGTACGCCTGCGCTAGCGGAAGTGGCGATACTCTCTGCAGAACTTAAGACGTAAAAGAGCGCTCGCGCGATTGATTTTTGGCCTCTTTTTACACCTAAAGTTCTTTAAGCCCTCGCGTTTGAGAGCCCTGTACACTGTTGCCTTCGAAGGTCGACTATCTGGTATTGTGAACCCAGCGTCGGTGATAAGGGTATTGTACTCAATTTTCGGCGCGGACCTAGCCAGTCTCTATAGTAATCGAATCTGGCGACGCGTTAAGTGCTTAGGACGGCCAGAGCGACTTCTGCTTTTGTTGCTGCCGGTTGTATAGAATCGTTTAATGGTGTCGCGTATACACTTCGTTGTGCAGCTGAATTCGTCCGCCAGCTCCGCGTTACCAACGCTAGCCTCATGCTTTAAGATAATTAAATCGCGCGATCTAGGAGATAATTCAGCATGCCTTCTGCGATTTCCGCTTATTTCTTGCCCAAAAGAACGTCGTGGCGGCATTGTGTAGGTGGGTGGAAGTTTGGTGTGGGATGACGCGTAAAAACGCGTTCTCGCTTAGCGAACCAGACTTTTGACGCGCAGCTGTAGATAGCGCTTCATCTGGCTAAAGAAGCCTATTCAGTACTATTTGCTCTCTTACGACTTGTTCCTACGGACGACTTGGCCTAGATGTCGCTGGCATCCCTTCGATGATGAAATGGAGCCTCGCAAAGTTTCCAAGCTTTACCGTGCCTAAAAGTGTGTTCTATGCGATATCATCAGCTGCCATTATCCACTCATGATCGATAATGCCTGATTGTGCCATCCCAGAGAACCCAGTTGTGTCCACCTTCCCAAGGGGTGGAGCAATATACCCAGACGTTGAGAGGGGCATGCGCTTGTGAGTGTTGGACTCCTGCCTGGGTGCCGTATTGGTATTGTCGTAGTTGTGCATTCCACTGCCACCATGCTTCACCAGATGTACTCTGGGTTGCCGCCGCGGTAGCCGATAAGACAGCCGCGCGAGGTGAAGCCGTGGATTGTGTGATTGCGTAGGATGGCGACGCGGCAGCGGTAGAAGTAACGGCTGTAATCTGAGAAGGCTGGCTATAGGGAATACTCTGGACCACCCTGGTTTCCCACATAAACTCGAATTGTATGGCCCCTCCCATCGGCAAAAACGGTGCCACGGTCCCGGTGATTGTTGGTGAACGGGACACGATAAGTCTGGCTCGTGTCCACGGTTAAGCCGACATCACGAAGCGCTCTCTCCATGATCCTCTGCTGGTCGGGAAGTGCAACAGCGTCTCCAAATACCACGCAGACAACCCAGGAACTAGAATTTGCCGGGAAATATGCTTGACATTGGCGGTAGTAGGTTGTGACTCGTTCCATGAAGGATCGTACATATTTGTCCCCAATCTCCGGGTCATTGGCATCAGCATCGTCAGGACGAGGGGGTATATGTGCCAAGATCGCCGCAAACGGGGAAACGATCAGGACGACGGAGCAGGACCCAAGCCTGTCAGTCCCAATGCATGGAGTTTGTGAAAAGACGAGGCAATTCAAGCCATTCATTAGGACTGCCGTCGCCAGGCCACCCTCAACGGCCTGCCGGAATCGGCTGCGCTGACTGGTAGAGGCGGACATCCGGTGCAGCCTCTTGAGGACGGTTTAAAGTAGGTGCTTTAGAAGTAGATAGTTGAAGGTACGGTAAATTGCAGAGATACAAAACGAATGATGTGAGCGGGACGTGATTTCGAGGAGTCGTTAACAGCCAGCACCCGCAGCCGGTCTCGACTTCTAACGGGTTCCGGAGTGGTTGATTTTCAGCTTGGGAGCAGCTCGTTCATATTTAGATGTAAATGCCTGCCTAACCTAGGCTTAAGCGTACTTACTGTGCCGTAGTGCGCCAAAGCGTCCCCTGGCGCTACCTGAGGCGCTGGGCGCCATTCTGGTCAGCTTTTACCAGTCGTTGTTGTTTCAGGTTTCTCTTGTCATGGCCGATAGGAGGCATTGCAAATAATTAATAAGACGTGTTTCATACAGAAAGCCCAAGTACAAACTGTCAAAGCTGTCTCTTCTTCGGACTGAGTGAGTGGCCGCGGGACAATAAGAGGTGAGGTTGCCGCGAGAGCTTGGCGGCCACAAGGCAGGCGTTCTCCAAATATCTGCATCTGATCGGGAGAACTTAACTCCGGCTACGCCAAGCTACCTCCGCGGCATTTACATCTCCCGTGACGTGACTTACTGCGGATGCGCTTTTATCCTCAGATGACCTCATGACTAAAACAAGGTCAATATCCTGTGTACTTCCGGCATGATGTTCGAGATTCCTCCACCTCCGCTGCCGAGAGATGGTGCCCTCTTTTATCGGCCACCAGAAGTTGAGCTGTGCGATGACGCCGCGCGTAATGGCGATCTAAAAATGGTCAAAGAACTCGTCCAACAGCTCCTCCACAGCCCTCGGCCATCGTCTGAGACCCTAAAGCCGCACCCGGGGTGGTTGTACAGCTCGATCACCACCGCCATCGAGCGCCATGACCTCGACATGGTGCAATTCCTCCTCGACGAGAACGTCACAACCCAGGACGCCTTCCTCCCCTTTGAGGACGCGGTACGTTGTCGAGCTTTCGAGGTATTAGAACTATTCCTACAGCGTGGATCGGATATCAATAAACCCCTGCATCGGAACGAACCGCCCGTGTTAAGGTAACTCCACCGTCTTAATCTCCCTATTCCGCTAACAGTCTTTCCATATTAGCATTCCTCTCTGCACCGGAGACAAAGAAATGGTCATCTGGCTACTCGACCGCGGCGCCGACCCCAATGCACGCTGCGCCTGGGACTACACGCCGACATCGCAAGCCATGTTGGGGGCGCCGCTCGATTTCATAGACTACCTCTTCACCCGCGGCGCCGATGCACGACGTGGAGAACTGCTGCAGTACGCCGTCCTGAGAGACACGCCCGATGCATTGGATGTCGTGCGGCGCGCTGTGGAGCACGGTGCCCCGGTCAACAAGGTCAAGTACGAAGACGAGCCTAAAGTGTTCCGGGAGCGGGAGCCGTTTGGGTTGGGGACGCCGCTGCACCGCGCGGCGGAGTTTGGGAGAGTTGAGATTGTGAAGTACTTGCTTAAGCAAGGAGCCGATCCGTTAAAGTTGGATAACAGGGGGAAAAAGCCGCGCTACTGGGCGGATATCAAGGGCCATCCCGCCGTGGGGATTGCGCTTATTCATGCGGAGGATCAGTGGAGTAAGATGCGGCCAAAGGAGATGAGCAATTTATAGGTCGTAGGTGTGCTGTGGTGAGGCTTAAGCTGTGGCTACTGATTTCTCCCTATCACGGGTTTGCAGTGACGTCTATTTGTAGACGATGACCTGTCCTTGACAGCTAACAAAAGGAGAGTAAAGAATATGGCTAGCCCGTGTGCATAGACAAATTCGATAAATTTACAAAATAGATATTAACTTCCACCACCTCCCAGGCAGAACGAGAACCCCTAGTCGATTAACATCGAGAACGCTGCAGAAACCGACAACGAGTCGCACTCTCCCAACAGAGCAGCCAGCCGCCCAGTCGCCCTGCAAGATCCCTCACTCACCTACTGGATTGAAGCCCTGAATCCAAGTGCTGATAGGCACGAGCGAAGAATACGACTCTGCCCACAGCTAGCCGAATACTGCAGCGCACCACTCAATATTGTATACTTAGTAACTAGCCTCCGTCTCATTACTTCGCCTACCCCTACCCCTGAATCACAACTTCCCCGACCCGCGCCACTCTCGATCCATTTCCATCTGGTCCATCCATCCACCCAGCAGACAGTCCAGTCACTCTCTACACCTTCCTTCCCCTAGTACAACTCGAACAAACACCATAACTATGATTTGATGCTGTTGAAATACTAGATGCGGGATGTCGTAGAATTTTCGTGGTGTCGTCCTGGCCGGGGCGTGGTGGCGGGGAGGAAAGTTTCCCCGAGGCTGTGCCGCCCGCTGCGCTAGCCGTCTGTGGCGATAGCCTGGCACGTGCCTGGATCTCGAGGGCGCCGCCACAACAACACATGCCCACCCCAACATCACAACCAAGACCCGCGCTCTCGACACACCCGCCGCCATTTGCGCCCATGTTGACCCCAGAGCGCTCGCTCACCGTCGCCCGCAAACGGAAGCGCGCCGGCTCGCCAGCGCCCGATCGGCGCCTGCACAAGCATGCGCGGCACTCGCACGACCCCGCTGCCGTCTACTACGACTCCCTCTCGCGCATCTGGCTGACTAAGGGCGCGCTGCGCGAGCTCGACCGACGAAATGGCCAGACGCACCAGTCGCCGCTCTCCCCGCCGGCGTCTCCGTCCTCGCTGCTTGAGCTCGACAACGCCCACGCAGCAGCGCTCCGACGCTTCGCGCGCAACGGCGGGCCAGACCTGTCAGACCTCCGACACGCAAGTGCTCCAAGTCCTCTCCGCTTTGCCTCACTGACAGCCCGTCTCCAGTACCCGGCACCCGCCCTGCCGATAGCGCCGCGCGATTCCTCGAGGCCCGCCCGCGAACGGGACCGCAGCCGCGGACAGCTCGACCAGACACGCGGACGAGGTGTGAACAAGGATGGCAGGACAAGATCAGCGTTGAGGGGCAGAGGTCGTAGGCTAAGGTCTCTGTCACGCGACCGTGGGGGCTCTGCGCGTTCGGTGCCGTCGCAACCTGAAGGCGAATCTCGGGCGCCTACGCAATCGAGCAGCCCATACGACGAGAATTTCCGCCAGCATCTCATCGACCACAACGTATTCCCGCCCTTCTATCAGCTACGCAACGACGGCACACTGCAAACACTGCCGCGGGCGCACAACCACGACGAGGTGCTGGCAAGGCTCCGACAATCTCGTACAGACCTCTCATCCGCGCCCTTCACCAACGCCGCCTTCCACAAATTCCAGGTCGACTACGCGAACGGCCCAGAGGAGGGGCTGCTTGATTTCGTATACAGTGTCCTCGAAGGCCCAGATATCGACCGTGGAGGCCGCGGTGGAAGATCACGCTTGACCAACCTCGCCAATCTAATTTCTGTTACCCTCACCGCGCCAATGCCAGACCTCTACTACGGTGCTCACCCGGAGGAGATTCTCCCAGGTCTTTGGAACCACCTGTCCAACCACATTGAGCCATCCACCCAGAAAGATCTCCCTGCTGCACCAAATTTCTTCCTTGCTGCCAAAGGACCCAATGGGACTCAAGCTGTCGCGATCAACCAAGCCGTCTATGACGGCGCCACTGGAGCAAGGGCCATTGCGGCGCTAGAGAACTTTGCGGGGACTCCATCAATGGACGGCAACATCAAAGCGATTTCTTCAGCCTTGGTTGGAGGATCACTTTACATCTATGGTGTCCACCTGGCCCCGCCTATGAACAACCGTTCCTCCATCACCTACATTGTACAACAGCTTGATGCCTACTGCCTTACTGGAAACCTCGAGAACTGCCGGAGAGGGCTCACCATCTTTCGCAATGCTATTGACTGGACTGGAGAGCTTCACAGTGCAGCTATTGCGAAGGCCAACGCCGCGTACTCCGCGCGGCTGACGCGCAACACACCACGTCTCCAGAGGGAGTCAGCGAGCAACATCTCCAGTTCTTCCGCCGACGGGTTAGCACAGGAGGTGGGGCCTAGGAGGAGAGCTTAGCTAGCTAGGCACCTCGTTGGCTTCGATGGGGTGGTTGGGCGTGAGGGAGAGTAGGGTGTGGGTATAGGCTGGGCCGGCATGGGCTGGACTAGCATGGCTTGGACTGGGGCTGCATTGGTGTTTTTGGTTCATGGGCAGGGTGGTGAAAATGTATATGTATAACCAGAGACAGAGCTGAGAGAGCAGACTGTGGCTGAGCAGGTGCATCTGCCAAGGAGTCAGATAATAGGCCAATGGGGAGGGAGAGAGGATAAAACGGCATGAGGCCTCGCGCTGCTGCAGGGCAGTTGTGAGGTTCGAGGCTGCGTACGATCGGTGCGTGGGGCGGTCGTCGGCGGGGATGGCGGTGGTCCAGTGAATGGGCAGGTCACCGTGGGGGAACCTCCACTCGCGGAAGCTCGGGACTATCGCGTATGGGCGCTCTCCAGCGAGATGGAAGTAATAGCTGGGCTTCGCCAATATGCTCGAGGCGTCGACGGCTGCTGCTGTCGCGTCGGCAGTCTCGGACAGCCAGCCATCCCAGCGGTTGCCGGCAACAACGGCGCACGCGTCGAGCACGAACTGCGCGCATAGACCGTGGCCCCCTGCCCCGCCCTGTGTATCGACAGCGAGCAGGCGTAATAGCACGTTGTGGGAGGAGTCGTAATGAGGGTGTCGCACGATGATATGGCTGGGCGCTTCCGGCTGCTGTTCGGCCGGGGCGGGGGGCGGTATCGGCGTGCGCGCGAGGCGCATGGCGGGAGTCAGGAGTGGGAAACGAGATGCAGAACGATGATGGTCAGATGCGCGACGTGGCGGGTGAAGTATTGTGGAGCTGGTGTAGTGTGTAGCCTTGGCGGCACGGCTGACTAAACCGTCCGACTTCGGACTAGCCCATTGCACCGCACATCATCGCCCACGAGACGTTGGTCAGCTGCATGGCCTAGAACGAGTGATGGAGCAAAAGTGTGCGGTTACTCGCCGTTCGAGAGAATGTAGGCCATGGCCATAGAACTGGAGGACCTGTTTCGGCAAAAGATCGCTTGCGGTGATGATAGGTCCAAATCGAGTTAGCTGAGTCGCGATGACGTCGGACCAAAGCCACAATGTGGCTTGCCTCCGAACTTAAAATCAACCTCACCCAAGACCTTTCCCTATCCAACTCGGCACCTTGACATGCATTTCACGGCTGCATAACGCCGCTATCAATAATTCTCATCCTAGTCGCCATGATTAGCAGCCGTACAAACGATTGCCGGCTGCTTTCATTCATACTGGCATACCCAAAAGGCATGGCCCTCGCTTCCATGCGAAATGCACATGGATGCCACGTGCATCTACTTTGGGATCGTGGGAGATCGTTCGCCAACTGCGGGGGTGGTGCCGTCAGGCTTGATTGCTTCAGCAGAGTTGGACTGCCACGTTCCATTCATCGTTCAAATCCTCATTCAGGATCCAGACCACAGACTCGCCTTCCATGAGCAGATGCAGCGCTCTGCTCTGTGCGAAGCCGAGGAAACGCGGCCCATCCGAAGGTGCTCGCACAGCAAGAAAATTGTGTGGATGGTGTTTTAGAGCAACACCAAAACATCGATTCTAGGGCAAAGAGGCGGGGGCATGCTTGCTCTCGGACTGAATACGCCTTCGATTACGCTAAGGGTACTATTACCGGCAACATGGGCTCTCTGCAAACAAGTTCAGGACCGAGATATACAGCTCAGGCAAGAGAGCAAATGGCGCGAGGGGCTTAGCAAAGACAGATTGCAACAATACACGTTGATTGATCTGGCTGGCTTCGAAGACTATGGATACCGGGATACCTGATACCCAGCAGGAGACCAAGGCGATCGATCAGCCTCTGTGAAGGTGCTTGGACAAGTACAGGAGCGGCCAGAGGCCCCGATAAGCTAGACAGTGCTAGACGGGAGCTATGGGGTGAATAACAACCCACAGAACGTAGGTTCCCCATGCGATTTGTCAGATGCGGTCCCCGCTCAGCACTGATGATGTCTCGACAGTTTCCGCGCGTCACCCCTGGCTCTGGAACAGCATCCACAATGCAGTCGGCGACTACTCGCCTGCTTGCTCTATGGGACAGCTATCTCGCTCACGCCTTGGTTGCGTTGGCGTATGTATTGTATTGTAGATCGAGAGCTTAGGACGTAGATGGTAGGCAGGCGTGAAAATGTGATAGGTGGAGCGGAATTGAGGCGAAGAGCGGACTAGGTGGGGTGCGCTGCTAGGGGCAGGGATGGGTATGTATAGTAAGGACTCAGGCATGGTTAGAGATTGAAGAGGAGTGCATCGCCTCGGTGTCTGGGTTGAGGAGGGATGGATTCTTGGCGAGGATGAGAAGATAGGTAGACTGGTGGTATGTAATTTAAATGTAGAGTTTTGGGTGCAGATGGTGGGAGGGTGTAAGGATGGGATAGGTAGATTGAAATTGTTAGACAGCGCAGGGGTGTGGGTAGGAGGAGGCGATGGGCTGGTATAGATAAGTGCAGATAATGAGGACTCGGACAAGGCTAGAGATTTAATAAAAGCAGATTGCTTCAGGGTCTGGGGTAAGATGCAGAGCTTGGAATGCAGACGGTATAGCCTATCCTGCTTCGCTCCAAGTCCCTGTTTCGCTACCAGTCCCAGGAAGAGCTTTTCGGCCATAACCGCAGTGAAGAAGGAGTGTTACTGCCCAGATGTGCCCAGGCCTCCTGAGCGAATATTGGGCATGTGCTGTTAGAATACCCGAGACCCCCTAGTCTGGAGTCTTTAAATTCGCAGGTAGTATTACTACCCTGCTAACTCCTACAGGCCTCAACTTGCGACTCGACCACTTAGTCTCTGTACTTATGGACTCATCTACACCCCTGAAGGATTTGTCAACACCATTAAAGGATTCACCAGCGTCTTCGAAGACTTCGCCAACACCTTCAAAGGACACCCTAGAGAACAGTCTCAAAGTAGCTCACTCAACCCCAAGGAAGCCAAACCAGCAAGCATTACTCGAAAAGGTCGAGGTCGCCGACCTCGACGCTCCCACTCATCTACCGAGGCTAAGGCATCTGCCTTCCGAACCTTCACAGCCGCCAAAAGTATTAGGAAAGGGTATAGCCGGTACAGTATCCAAGGCTACATACAAAGGGATGTCTTGCGTTGCCAAATCCTTTATGTGGACTTCTCCCTACTTTGTCGCCGAGCAACATGCCTATCGGATTTTACAAGGTTGCAAGGATCTGACTGGTCGTGTACCAGCCTACTACGGCAGCGACAATGTTAGGACTATATACGTTGAGTTTGTATACGGAAGGACGCTAAAAGACGCTTCTTCTTCCTTGTCAGCAGAGTTGTTGCGACAGTGCAAGGAGGCAATGGAGCGGACGATCAAGATTCTTCACGATTCCAACATCGCACATGGCGACATCCATGATGGCAACATCATGCTCCGAGACGGCATCGAAAAGTGTGATGCGGAACTTATAGACAAGTATGTTGTCCTCATCGATTTCAGCCACGCTGGATTCAAGCCGGAATATGGGGAATCAGGGGGGCCTGAGAGAGATTTGTATGATCTTTCCAACATCTTCTCTTTCGCTATCAAGAGCGCAGTGCGTATATCTCCAGTTCCTTCGGATTTGAGAAGACACTAACGGTTCTCCAGAATACCAGGGCTGTGTCAGAGTTCTTCCACCGACATCGTGCCCACGGGCTTTCCCAGGAAGAACTGGCACGGATTGTTAAGGACTGCCTTGTCAATCAACACATCCAAGAGGAAATACTCAGCCTCCCTCACCTTCAACCAGTATTGGCTCTCGCGCTTGCCCACGCGTGGATTGAGGGTGGTTGGAATAAGAATGGCCTTGATGCTCTTGAACGATACGAAAGGCTTACCGCAAAGTCAACTACCACAGAACATGACCGGCGCTCACTGCTGCTCATTCAATCTGCGAAGGCTCGTTGCTCTCCCCTGACCGATCGGCTTTCCACACTGCCTGATATCATCCATCAGTTTTCGTCCGAACTAGGGCCTATAGATACCTGTACAGTGCGATTAAGGTATTCCTATGCTTGCTGTTTGCGGCTTATGGGGAAGATAGACGCAGCTGCATCGGTCTTTGGTTCTTTGCACCAACTCCTCCTTCCCGTTAGAGTCGCCAATGGCGGCGGATCCACCCTGGAAAGCCATGTCTTCTATGAAGCGCTCAACCCTGACTACTGGATTCATTTAATTAAGTCTGAGTTGAAGAGGTTACAGCGTTCGAAGCGTATCTGAAGTGCTTCTATTAAGGGCATATGGGATGAGATAGATGTCTATTAAACCATGCATTCCTGCGACAATTTTCGCATTGAGGATACCTACTAAGAGTTTATTCTTCGGACTTCTTTAATGTCTACTATCTATTGCTTTGTGTGTCTAGAACATCCCACATTGTGTGTCTAGAACATCTCACATTGTGTGTCTAGAACATCGCTTAATGTTTGCATACCTTTGTCTATATAATATAGCTTAAGACTAAATCTATCTCATGCAACCCAAAGTCCTTTGTCTATTAGCCTTGTACCTTGCTTCCCAGGAACGATGAACACCGAGGATCCGGGCAGTACCGAGTTGAGATTACTGGATGCCTACCTATGCCTACCCAATCCAGAGCTGCGAATCAACGCACTCTCTTCCAAGGCGGCTAGTAAGCGCGAAACCGAGTGGGAACATGTCGAAAGTTGGACGGAATGGACAGACTTCAACCCTGACGAGATACTCCGGAAGTTCCTGAATGACGAAGTCGCTTTTGCGGATCCCTGTCAACTCCAGCGTGCAGAGTGCTCTATTTACAGTGAACGTTGTCTGGAGCACGTCCTGTCAAAATGGCACAATATGGTTGTCAACAATGCCTTACAACATATCTGCAGCAAGTTGGGGGTTGATAAAATTAGTTGGGTGCCTGGTCGACACGGGGATGGAGTCAGGCCTGACTGGAGTGGCGTCAAAGAGGAGGAGGACTCTACCAGCCTTGTTCCGGGGGAAACGAAACTGCAAAACCCTAAGTCCGCCAAACCACTACCGAAAGAGTGGCCGACTGAAGAGAGCACTGGGGAGCATACGGACTTCATAAGCTTCCTTTCCCAAGCCGCCACATACAGTAAGATGGAAAAATCGAGATACGCTTATGTGATCACCAACATGGAGCTTGTCGTCATGCGACTGTCTAAGGAGACATCAACAATACCCACCAGGCCATCAGGAACTTCCAGGCGTCTCTCAGCAGAGAGCAACCAACTTCAGGGAGGAAATATGCAGCCGCCTTCCTCTTCGCCACCAGCAGCACACGATCAGGATGACGAGACAGGAGAGGATGAATTGCCCCAGACGCAGCAGTCTATCCAGTCTGAAGAGGTCCCACCCTTCTCACCACCCCATGAACCCCCATCAGCATCTGATTACGTTCCATCCTCAAGCCCAGTTGCCGAATTGGTACACCCCGAAATAGCGCGGTTCGCGTGGACGGCATCTACGGTAACGATAACCAAAGCGCTTGTCGCCATCCACATCCTTGCAGTTCTACAGAACGAGCGCCGCGAAAAGTACGACAAGGTTACTGAGGACTACGACTACCGGGAGCTCTTTGTCTCACCTTGAAAGAAAACAAGATCCGAATGGTTGGTCTGATCGTGCGTTGGAGTAAGATAGGACTTAGGCCTGTAAACCTCTAGGGGCTTTAGAAGTCCAATAAGAATGCATGAGTAGAATTTGAACCTTAGAAAGTGTGAACCTGATATCTGCACCTGTTTTCTTGTTTCCGGATCTAGTCTTTAGTGGAGTGTGATGCAACGCGAATCGGAGGCGCCAACATTACGCGAGCATAAGCGGATTATCACGAATAACCTCTAACATGCGAGAGAACAGGAAGCGCGGGAAGTTTGCGGATCGGTAAGCCTCCTCAAATTAGCTCCCAAAACGAGGCATTAATTGCTGCAGTAGTCAAATCGGCATTAGTGGCACTAGATCTGTACCCTGCTTAATGTGAATTTGAATGCAATCCATAGCTCGTGACCATGATGAGCGAGGAGAGTAGCCGCCGCTGTGAACGGTTTAGGTGACAACTTCCCCATTCCGCCTGCTTATTCTCAATTGCCCCTGACTATACAATCCAGCACACAGACTACAACTCTAAGATCCCTCCTCTGTGTTAGGAAGATTATTAAGACTTCCGATCGCAAGCAGAGAATCGTCGGCGAGTGCTTCTACATCAACGCCAAGAGCAATCGCTACTTTCGTCGTCGTCAAGCTGAGCCTTCAGTCCAGCGGTAGTCTGGGAGGCACATGGTGTTGAGTAAGCTGGAGGTTTTCAAGGAGCTGAGCCGCCCGCCACTCGTAGGGACATGTCACCGACAGAGCTGAAGGTGTACTGTATCCCAGCAACGTTGGGCCGAGAATGAGCCACAAATAGAAGACTTGCCGCCCAGTTTCCCTTTCTTCGTGACGCTCCGCCTATCCTCCGCACGCAATCCTCTCACATCCATCCCCGACCCTAGATTGAAGACAAATGGCAAGGAATGAATAGAAGAGAGGTAGGTAGGTATCCATCAATAGCGGGCTGGTGGGACGTTGACTCAAACTATGGATGGAACCCCCTCATCTGCATACAGTACAAGACAGGACAGGACTGACAATAGTCCGCCCCGCCATCCCAAACAAGCCGAAGAATCACCAGGCTTCTGTCATGGGAATAGCTATCAGATACTACACGAAACGAATCGAAACGAATTAAAACAAGAAGCGGATAAAGGGCGGAGAGGAGAGGAGCGTAAAACCCAAAAGCAGCCATCCGTCGAGCAGCTTTCTCTGCACCGCAACGAGCAGGAGGAGATTATGGGCGCAATCTGCCACCACAGAACCGGCGTTCAAGCCGTGCCGCCCATCGAAGCACTCACTCACTCTCTTGATCATTCCTATCTGCCTCAAGACTTAGTTGGTGCTTTCCTTCACTGGAGTAGCCTGGCTTTGCAGGACCAATCCCGTCGGCTGATCAGGAGTCTCGTGATGAACTGAATTGAACTGTTTCCACTATGAGGTTTCGGTTTCCTTGTCCCTGCGGCTGGCTCCACGGGGCTAGCTTACCTGGCGTACACTGCTGCAGCTTTGCAGCTACAGATCCCTCTTGCTCTTGCTCTCCGCTCTCCCCTTCCTCTTTCTCCTGTTACTCTTTTTTAATCTTTTCAGCGACACTCTGCACGCTGGTAGAACCAACCTCTTTCCCTTTTTGCTATGTCCATCGCCATGCATATTCTAGACGCAGACACATCTATAAGCCGTCTATTGGCGACATCAAAGACAGCGCAAGTCCTTTGTACCTCATCCGTCTATAGGATGGGGGAAAGTAGAAGCTAGTACTAGTACCTCAGTGTAGGTAAACCTCGAGCCAGGCGAGAGAGCAGATAGGCGACAGGCGCGCAAATGCCGTGCTGTCGTTCCAATACGCTACTCCAGGGTTGGGGCGGTGAAATGGATAAGGAAGCCTTTGGCTGCTGGAGGAGAGAAGGCATAGACGCTAGTATGCGATCGAAGGCTCAGAATGAAATGGAATGGAATAGAATAGACTACGTCTGGTGTGCATTACCATGCGCGTATGTACAGTAAACTCGCAGGTGCCCATCAATCTGGGAATATCTAGACTATGGAACTCAATGGCGTGTCGAATATACAATTCAGCGTCCATCTACGACAAGAAGGAAGGAGGAAGGAAGGAAGGGCTTAAGCTAGCTTTCTCTCTTTGATTGAGTAGCTGGAAGGCCAAGATAATGTAATAGGATAGGATAGAATAGAACGGAATAAGTTGTAGATAGAACAAGGGTGTGGGCGTATTGCAATACATACAATGATGCGTCGTTTAGCGGACAGTTGAACGATTCCAAAGGCGCGCCTTCGACTGAGATGGCATACACGCTGAGCTTTTCCCCCTACTTGGATTGAATCTTCCTTCTCTCCACTCCATCTTCTTTTCTCTTCTTCTTCCCCTCTCTCTGCTTCCTCCTCTCCCTCTTCTTCCCCACTCCCTCCTCACTCACCAGGAAGTCCAATTCCCAAGACCCCAGCATCCGCTCTATCATGGATCTGATCTGACTCATCCCTCTTCCATCAACCTACCATCCAACGAACCGCGCCATCCCAGTTCAAAAAGCCACGCTCGATTCGTTTTATCCACCGCCGCCACCACTGCCTTCTTCTTCTTCTTCTTCTTCTTCTTCTTCTTCTTCTTCTTCTTCTTCTTCTTCTTCTTCTCTACAGTTGCAAACACTGAACGCCGAACGTCGAATGCCAAATGCCGAATGCCAAACCCCCAGCGCTACTCTCTCCCCCTCCAGCCAACTCTATGCTGAAGTAAAGCAAAGCCAAGCAATCCATCCCGCAAAAGCAAGACCAAGACCAAGACCAAGACAAGCCCTTCGTCTCCATCTTCTTCCCCCCTATTAATTACCCTATGCACCGCACCACACCCCTCCACCCCCACCAACCGCACCGTACCGTACCCCATCCCTTACACCACGCGCACATCCCCAGTGAACCATCCACATAGCTGCGCCTCCGCCACGGCACATCTGCCCACTCCTACCCTCAATCCCATAAGCCATCCATCCCTTCCCTATCCAACACCCCCAACACCCACACCACACCACTCTATATCCCCACACAGACCATCTAATCACAAACACCCGCTCCTCCCCCTTCCCACAGAAATCCCTCACCCGCTCGCTCGCTTCTCTTCTCTTCTCTTCCTTCTTCTACATTATTCCCAGATATGCCCATGTGGAACGAACGGAACGGAACGGCCTTGCTATTCTTCATGCGTAGGCAATATCGAAGCGTACACGTTTGCGGGTGAGTGGGCGGATAGATGGGTTGGCTATTAGGGCGAGGTAGTTGGCTGGCTGGCTGGTTGGTTGGTTGGTTGGTTAGTTGGTTAGTTTCTTGAAGCGAAGTGGAGCGGAGTGAAGTAGTGCACACAGCCGGCCAGGCCGGAATCGCGAGGTGTTGTGCGTAGAGCGAGAGAGCTAGAGCTTGCGCGGGTTGGCGCGGTGGTGAGTTGGCGAGGGGGTTTGAATGATGGATAGATCCCAGGGAGGGAACAGGAATGGGGGGAAGGATGGGACTGGATTGATTAGTGGGGAGATGCGGGAGATTGGGGAGGGGGGATTGGATTGGTGCTGGCTGAGTCTGTTGAACGTCGCGAAAGTAGCGGAAGAGCAAGGATAAGGAATATGGATGGGAGAGAAAGGTAAGTAGGGAGTATGCAATGGTTGTGTTGAGGGATGTTAAGGTAAAGTCGAGGGGTGTGGGAAGGAAAACCGTCGCGAGGAGTAAGTGATGAAGCGGAGAAGGAAGCGGGCCTGGGAGGGAGAGTGTGTAGAAATGTGAGGTAACAATGGACAGAAATGTGGAGTAACAGTAGAGAGAGATCTCATGCAATTCGTGAAGCGATTCAATTACCCTGTGCTTGTTCAACGATCCATGCCCATATTCCATCATGTTTGGTTGTTCTGGGACACTGACCAGCCATCCTTCCATGCTCTCCCATCTTCGTACCATGCATTTGATGCGATGTGTTGTCAGTTCTCGCGTACAAATACATTTGTCAAGCGGCTAAAAGTGGACGGAGGCATCTACTCTTTCGCTGATGGACAGGAGAAACGGCAAAGGGATGTGTCGATGCGGAACCAACCTCCGGCTATCAGCAAAGCGCTCGGTCTTGATCCAAAGGCCCATATTCGGGTTCAGGGGAATACCACGTTGTATGGAAGCATGTTGAGCCCCGCAGGCCGTCGCGATCGTTCAGCCATGCGTCGCTCTGGTTCGTGAGCCTGACAAAAGTGGGTAACTGGCCCTTCGTGACGTTGGAACCGAATATCGCCTTAGTAGTCCGAGGGACATTCCGTAGCGTCGGACACGGACCGTTCGGCGTTCATTGGCCCGAATAGGCAGCGGAGCTTTCTTTGCAGACCGACGATCTCCATGCTCAATGAGTCTTCATCCATGACAATGAGGACCCCCTTGCTCATCCGCCTAAGCCTCGTTCCGGCAAAGAAACAGCGTCAGCTCGTCGTAGCAAGCACTGGAGAGGCGGGCCATTGGTGTTGAAGTGAGGCAGGGATGGCAGCTGCCTCTAGCGTCCATGGGTGGTTCACGAAAACAGGTGTGCGTCGCTTTCCCTTCACATCGGAACAGACCGAGGCGATGTTCGAGGCTCCGCCGTTCCAGAGGGATAACGGCCGACCGTCGCCGCTCTTGCTTCCCTTTGGAAACAGGGTCGGGCGGTATTGGGATCTTCTGCCCCAGCGGGGATGGTGCATCGTTGTTGTTGCTTTCGCTTCATCGGAACAGACCAAGGCGGTGACCGAGGCGTTCCGGAGGGGTGATGAATGGTCGTTCCCGCTTCCCATCCCTCGCCTTGTAGCGAACTCACGTGCAACCGGACCCGTCGCCGAAATGCCTAGCTTCCTCATGCAGACCGGCATTTCCCCCACTCAACCCTGCTCTTGTACCTCTTGCACTCGCTGCCTCTTCCTCGACGATGCTAATGGATCTCCGGGGTCGCTGGCTGGCGTCAACGGACCAGATTGCCGCGAAGAGACGGACGAGGCGTCGGTCCTCGTATCAGTATCGGAATAGCGAGCCGGCTTTGCCGGGCGGTTATCCCAGAACAAAGGTAGCGCTGTCTTGAGGGACGCCAGCCTCTCGCCCAAGGCCCAGTCGATGATGTTCCGTAGTAGGCGCCTTGCATCCTGTACCTGCTCTAGGTACTGCAGGAAGGCGGAGTGTATCGGCTCCATGTTGTAGACAACCTCGCCATTGGCATTGGTCTCTCGCCAGTGAACCCAAATCGTGACAGACCACACGTCGCACGTTATGGAGAAGTGGCAGCTCTCGACGGCGCTGGGCGGGCTGCCATTCGCGATGGAGTAGAAGTGGTGTAGGAAGTCGCAGATGGTGGCGCCGTCGCGAGCCGACTGACAGGCGGCCTGGAACGTGCTTTGGCCGGAGGGCATCGACTTGAACTGCGCGGTGAGGAAGGGGAAGTGGAGGTCTCGTCGCAAGCAGAGGCGGTACCTGTGTGTGTGGTTAGCCAAGCGGCGCAAATGTTGAAGCATTGTGCATCTCACCAGTCCAGCTGGTCTTCCTCACCCGCGCTGAAGGGGGCCGCCACTTTTGGCACCGAAGCCGCCGCATCCACCCGCGACACATACCCGATCGCGCGGTCTGGCTGCGGGCGCGAAAGCGGTCCGTGTATTTTCTTGACGGTATCGCTCGGCGCTTCGGGCAAGAAGTGCCGACTGAGGTTCAGGTGCGGCTTCATGGCCAAGAACGGTGGGCCGCCCTCGTCCTCCCCCTCGAACAGCAGGTGCTTCTCCAGCATATTGGTCGCGCCGAACTCGATCTGCTTCCCCGCCTTGCGGCGCTTGTCCACGATCTCCTGTGCGTTCGGGGACGGCGGCTCCGCGCGTTTCGCCTTGATTGTCTCGTCGATGTGCCACTGGAGATCATCGGCCGGCTTCGCGCCCGTGTCCCAGTATATGTGGTATGAGTTGAGTTTGTGGAGGTCGTCGATGTCGGCGCTCTTGTTGCTGTTGCTGCGCGCCGGAGACGCCGGGCGGCTCGCCAGGGACGCGGGAGAGGGCGAAGGCTGGCTCGCTTCAAACGAGGACAGATTCTCCTCGGTGAGCGGCGCCGGCGGTGGAGTGGAGTCGACTGAGCGAGCACGGGGTCTTGTGGGAGGCTCGACAGCACACGACGAGGATGACAGACGCTCGACGGATTGCGGGCGGGGCCGCTGGGGGGATGGTGAGGCAGGACGGAAGCGCTTGCGGCTGAGTGCGCTAGCCGAGGAGGAGTCTTCGCACCTCGCGCGCTTTTTGGTCATGGGGTGCAGATGGACGGGGATGAGACTGCGCGGGTGGAGGTGGGCGTGCGATGTAGTGGTGGTCCGCGCGCAGAAGCGAGGCGCCTTTCCCCATCCGTACTAGCCGCGGATTCGCCCTCCGACATCCCGACATCAGCCATGCAGAGCCGTGAGAGCTCGACCCCACAGCAGGATGGCCTGCATACCACTAGGACGAGGACTTCCTTACTAGTCCACTTCTTCGCGCCGGAGGCTGTGTGAGGACCCACTCCCTGACTCGATGCGGCGCACCGCCACCTCGCAGTTCTCGTTCGCCGAGCCATCCCCACTCTCGATCCAATCGTTGCATGCCTCAGCTGCCCTTCGACCCAGAAGTCCGCGCAAGGCTATCCGCTTGCAGTCCTTGCGCCATCTCCGCATACCCTCTCGCATTGCTCTCTTCATCCCCATTTTCGCAATCATCATGGACTCCCCGCTTGACGCTTGCACTCCCCAGCAAGCGCTTGAAGCAGATCGCGCATAGCTAGAGTATTATAGGAAACAGTCCCCATCGCATACACCATGAATGGTTTGGACGCGCGGACCTTCCGTGCGATTCCGGATCAACGAGATGTTCGACTAATTTCTGGGAGCCACTATCATTTTCCCCCAATTCGGATGCGCAGTTTGCCTTCGCTCTTCAAGAGCCAGCACATCAAGCCCAGCTTCTCCAACAGAAACCGCAGCGCCCGAACGACACGTTCCGCTTCGCCATGTCCGGGAAGCGTATACATCTGGTCTGGTCTCAAAGCGCCCATTAGCAGACATACCTTCATCCCACGAATCATCATCGCGCTCAGTTCAAGCATAACACCACAGCGACGAGCTTCGCGGAATCGTTTTCTACAATACAGGCCGGCCTTTGTATTGAGGTGCCCAGCATAGCACGATCCCGAACCGGGCGCAGGAAGTTATCAACTTGAGGAGCCGTCATCTACTGCTCGTCGAACAGCAGCCGCTCCTCTACTCCGACGAGATCAGCTTTGACGAACCGTAGTCTGCCATAACCACAATACTGGACAGCCCAGGCTGCCTTCGTTTCTGCGGCCCTGGTCCTCCTTTTTAATGTCTGCCTCGCAGAGGCGGGACATTGCTGCGCGTACACACCTCGCCTGAGCCTATTGCGAAGTGGCTGTGTAGAGGGACAGGTTTACGGAATTCAATAAGGCTCTGCCTTCCGCGAACGAGAGCTTCCTTCCTCCGAATGAGCACGCCGGGCAGTCTAGACGTAACAGACGCCGAGGCGGCAGACGAAGTGGTGATGGCATTGGAACTCGAGGCATATATAGGACCTATACAGTTCAGCGCTATGTTCCACGGCGATGGAAATGGCGCATGGTCTTACGCTTTCGGCGTGTGCTAGATTGGGTGGTTATCGGGACGGGTGCGATGGAGGTGGAGAGCGAGCCGCTGCTTTACAGCGAGAATAGCAGCGGCCGCATTTCCCCTTGTATTTCTCTTCTAGACTTGGTGTAGATTGAAACTCTCGGGCGTATACGTAAGAGTAGGAATTCGCGCTTGGGATGGAGGACCGCGGGATAGCGGTAGGCTCGTATCCTGATTGCTGGAATTCGGCATCTCTGGAAGCGAGGTGCCCAGTGGAAACATCGCAGGATCGTGGCGGTTGCTCCAGCAAGAACCAATAGATAGATGTCCAAGGAAAGAATATCCGCCTTCAGCGTATACTTGCGCTGCATCCACGAGTGCTGAAGCCTGGGGGTTCCTCTTCGAACCTCTTCGACCTAGCGGTAGATGGCTAGATAGACGTAGCGATAGTCTCTCTGTGTAGCTTCCGCCTTCTCTCGCATAACACCTTATTTCACCGTCTCGTCTCGCGTAAGTTGCTGGGCTTGGCCTTCGGTGAAGTCTGGGGTGTCCGAGCGCGCCGAGAGCAGCGTCGCCGCGCCAAGAGTGGCGCAGGATCGCGACGGAGAGAAAGCAGGATGAGTTACTAAGAGTGGCTGGAGCTGGTCAGAATGGGGAAGTTGTGTGAAAGTTAAGGTCAAGCAGGATCGGGATGCCAAGGAGTGTGCGCGTTGCGATTATGAAAGGGAAAGAACATAAGGCGTAGCTCGCGGAAATGCCAAGGCGGAATAGGAGTGATATCAGTGTGAGGGACGGACTTTCGCGCTTGATAACGTTTACTTGAAGCTCGCGTGGCGTAGGCTAGCCACGGCTCATAGTATTTCGGGCCAGAGCGGTTGCCGTCGCTTTATTTATAAGGGGCAATATCACCACGCCAGTCATAGCGTTCACTTCAGGGTGGAGATGCCGAGCCTGATGATGGCGTATTTCCACCTACCAATTGCGGAGTTGGGGCCGAGCCGCAGCACCGAAGCCTCAGTATCAGAAGGGTATCAGGGTTTTAATCCTTCTGTGCAGGGAGCAAAGCAAAGAGCGTCGTAGCCTATCGTCTAGGTTGGGAGAAGGTGTTACAATAAGGAAAGGACTAAGTGGCCGTGAAGCGTTGGATCTTCGGCAGTAGCTGATGGAGAGGCTCTCATTACTAAGCTACGATGGGACGGTGTTGTTCAGGGCGAGCATGTATCTTGGGCCGCTAGCTACCTGATGCTTTTCGTTCGATCCTTTGCAATTTGCCTCTCCTGATATTGGATCGCAAAGCTGAGCAGCTGTATCTTTCCTTAGGGATTACTTACTCCGCGCTCTCGTTTTGCAGCTCGCCTATGCTCTATGATGGCGATTATTGTGGTTCCATCTGGCACGTTCTTGAAAGTCCGGTATGCTTCTGATTGTTTGCTTGAAGTTTGTCTTGTAGAGTTGACGTGAAAACTTTCGTATGCGTGTATTAACGCGAAAGCAGGGGTCTGGAGAGGCGGAACCCAGATGTATAGAGATACTCATGTAGATCGCGCACCTCTAGATGTCATCAAGAAGAGATTGGAGCATGTCCAACGTATCCAACGTATCGATACGTCGCTCAAGGCGGAGTTGAAATATATATTTGTTCTTGGGGCGAGGAAGTAAGCACGCGCGTTCGCGAATACGCGGAGATGAGAAGCATTTGGTCTCTTCGGCGAGCGAATCTTAGACTGTAGGAGCAATAAAAGGAGTATTCTTAAACATCCCAGTCCAAGACGGTATGACGAGATGCCGATAGACATACAAAGGAACTGAGGACGAACAAGCGGTGGAAGTGGACAGAATGTAGCGGAATGCTTGCATTCAGGGGCTAAGGGCCAAACAGGCGCATATGGCTTGCAAACAGGATGACTCGCAGGTTTGTTTCGAGTCCTCGAGTCCTACGTGTGGACTCGAGGTGGAAGAAAACCAGGCATGGAGAGGCATGAGGTACCTCAGTGAATTGGTACGTTCTCGCGCCTGGATGGACCATTCGCTGCCTTGCATGTGGTAAGTCTTTCACCAGCCCTCGACTCACGAAAGCGGACTATAGGGATGAAGCTCGAGCCGTGATTGCGCAATAATTGCGCCATATCGAGTCCAGCCCAGCAGTTGCTTTTCTTTTATAAGACTCGGCCCCAGTACTCAACCTGTTGGTTCGACACTTTGACTCCCAAGGCCAACTCTACTAACAACCCAACGCTCCAACTTTCTGCTCGAGTCTGCAACCTCGACTCCGCTATCACGCTCAAGCCGCTACCAACCCACCAATTCCAACTACCCATCTTCCTCTGCTCGAGTCCGTTATCACGCTCGAGTCCGCTCTCACGCTCGAGTCCGCTCTCTCACGCTCGAGTAGCCCGCTCTCTCACGCTCGAGTAGTCCGCTCTCTCACGCTCGAGTCCGCTCGCACGCTCGAATCCGCTCTCACGCTCGAATCCGCTCTCACGCTCGAGTCCGCTCGCACGCTCGAATCCGCTCTCTCACGCTCGAGTAGTCCGCTCTCTCACGCTCGAGTAGTCTGCTCTCTCACGCTCGAATCCGCTCTCACGCTCGAATCCGCTCTTACGCTCGAGTCCGCTCGCACGCTCGAACCCGCTCTCACGCTCGAGTAGTCTGCTCTCTCACGCTCGAGTCCGCTCTCTCACGCTCGAGTCCGCTCTCTCACGCTCGAGTCCGTCTCTCAATCGAGTCCGCTATCAACTTACCAATGCCCACCGCGCGTCTTCCATATCTTCCCGATGGGGCTGCGCGAACCCACCGCCAGCGGCCACGTCGGAATCGGACTAAGAATCGCGGCGTTGGAGTCAAACCCAACGCACCTCCTGAGGTACGGGCACATCAGGAGCAGGTTGGTGATCCCCCAACCGGGCTCATACCCAACGCACCTCCTGAGGTACAGGCACATCAGGAGCAGGTTGGTGATCCCC